AGTCCTCTGCGAAATCGTCTCTTCATGTTCCGCCTCTCATCATATACTCGCCCAATATTATTGTTTGCGCCGATGCTGATCCACTCGTCCTTTAGCTCTCCGTGATTCTCGCTGTCTCACTGTTGTGTGTGGTATGATGTCTCAACATGCTTTTTTGTTCATTGTGTTCTGTATGTCTATGTCTCAGTCTTTTTGTTCGCTGCGCATGCTCTGTCACCTGCGCCGTACTTGCGCTCAAACTCGGTGATAAATGGCTCGTTATTCATTACACTACTCAGTGCAAGGCGGTCAATCCTAATACAATGACGTAATTTGTAGCCTGGCAAATCCAAATGTTCCCAAGGTCTTTTGCGACGGTGAGGTGAGTGAACACCACTCATGCATCTGCGCCCATCGCCTTAAGTGTCCCATTCCTGCTTATATGAAGTGGTGCTGCGAAGCCTCAACTGGTCCGACAACGATATCGTCGGTTACCACTCCATCAGGTGCTCTGCACTTAGAGAGTAGAGATGGTCGACAGCAGACAGAGTTACGTGTTTGTAGTGCCACGCATGTCAAACAAATATATTTTTAAATAAATGCTCGTCGCCAGATAAAGGCAAGGGTTTGGGGTCCTAGAGTTAAGCGAGTCGGACTGTGAAGCGTAGGAGCATGCGTGACGGAGCAACTTGACCTGGCGGTTCTCGGCCACCGTACTCCTGCAAATACTCTCTATTCTGAAGTGTACATACCTATTCTGAGACTTTCGGAAAGCGAATCGGCTTGAACTGTAAGCGAGCTGCAGGAGCCTGAGCCCTGAGGCCAGCTGCAGTCTTGAGACCTGGTCCAAGTTGCAACCGGGATACTGAGTTCCAACTGATCACACAGTGTGCGAGTCCTCTACCCCGACGCCTTTGTTGAAATATTCCAAGCAAACGGAAGACAAGCACGTTTGCCCCAGGCGGTCGGTTGCCCGAAGGGCAATCGCATACAGTACATCGAGTAGATACAACGAATATATATGAATTTCTTATCACCTTATACCGTTGCCGAGCAGGACCAGGTCGACTTTAGGAAATCGAGCACAGCAATGCGGGCTTGCACTCGGGGTCCTGGCACCGCGTGATGGAAAAGAGTGACATCCACCTCTAAATATCGAGTTCCTCCTGTGCTAATGCTTGTTGACTTCTATGTGCTCTCTAAGTACACTTCTATTAGGTCTGAGAGTATGGAGAGAGCCTATATACATAGTCTGGTACAGTATATGTGTAATTAGCACCCTTCTCTGTATGAATTACGCAGTACTATATATTACCAAGGTCTGCCTATGGTATAAGTGACAACTCTGCTTCGTTGTTGAAGATCTAGAAATACCATGAAGTCCGGTTCATAGCTTGTATACACTCGGCATGGAATTGTAGGAGTGGTGGTGTTTCAGGATTGATGTGATTCTCTAACATGCATCCCTAGTTGAAAGGTAACAAGGTACATTGGTGAAGTACTCTGTGCCTCAAAGGCTCCAACAAGAATTCCAGTGGAGGAAAGTGCTATTTGAAGCAATGTATTGCACTTTATAGCAGGTTGGATAGCTAACAACAGTGGACTATATGTTGGTATCAGAAGTACATGTCCTAGGCTACTACTAAATCTGAGTGTGACCAGTCTCATCTCCTGGCAGCTTGTATCATCAATGTAGAGAAACATTGAACTTGTCACCATTGAAGCTGCTACTTAGTTGAAGCTTCACTACAGCTGGAATGAACAATGCCTCCCACTTGGGTATGGTGGTAGTCACACTATATATGGTAGACGTCTAGCTACTGGAAATGTGACTACAGGTCACAGATCCACGCCACAGAGACCCCAACGCCACAATCCGAACTCGCGACGCTCAAAGTCGACCTGGTCCTGCTCGGCAACGGTACCTTATCAGTTGGGCCCGCCTGCGGCGGTCCCCCCTGACCACGCGCAACACGGCGCGAGCTCGCAAGCTCGATCCCGACTCCCGAAATCCAACAGCCTTGCGCCCGAAGCACCAGGAAAGACGCACATGTCGAACACTAGTACTTACATACTTTGGGGCAGTCGCATTTGGAAAGCTCACTTGCAATTGTGGCAACCTATATGTAGGAACCTCCAGAATGGCGCGTGGTAAGCACAGCCACAACCCCTTCGAACGCGGCCAGATCCTATCGCCCAAGTTCCCAACCCCTCCCTTAAACCCTCTCTCACTCGCACAACAACGAAGCTGCAAAACGCACGATTACATTCCGCAAGCATGAGCGCACACCAGCTAGCTAAATGTCATACGATACAAAACAGAAGCTCAAAGGAAACAGTCCGGGACGAGCGCCAGCAACAAATGTCCAGCTCGTATAGTCCGCAGCCCTCGTACTCACTTCACTCACACACGCACACTCGGGCCTGGGGTTCAGTCGAGGTCGAGGTTGAGCCGGCTGACGCGGCTCGTGCGCCTACAGCGATGGCTCGTCAGCGTGTGTTCAAGCGAAGGGGCGAGAGGGACCGACCTCTGCAGACCGAGGAGCTTCTTCAGCTTCGCGGCCTCGCTCTGGAGGCCCTGGGCGGCGGCCGCGCCGTTCGCGCCCTTCTGCTCGGACGACGCGGCTTGCTGCGAGGACGACGACTCGGTGGCGGCTGCTGACTCCGCGGAGGCGCTGGCGGAGGCAGCGGCTCCTTCAGCAGCGGACTCGGTCGCGGCGGCGCCCTCAGCAGCGGACGACTCGGCGGCGGCGGCGGAGGACTCGGTGGCGGACCCGGCGGCGGCGCTCTCGGTTGCGGTGGCAGTCGAGTTGTTGCTAGCGTTGCCGCTGCCGTTCTTGTTCTTGTCGCTGCCCTTGCCGCTCTTGCTGCTCGACTGAGCGCCGGTGCCAGTCTCGGTCGAGTTCGCGCTCATGCCGGTGTTTTGGGCGTTACCATTCTGGTTCTTCTTGCCGCCCTTATGGTTCGCCTTGCCCTTCTTTCCGCTATTCTACGCGACATCGAAAGTAGTCAGCATTCCGCGAAAATACAAGGCGGTGAGCAGGAAGTACTCACAGCGCTACCGGTCTGGATCGACCCGTCCGCCATCTGGGTGACCGTGACGGTCTGCGCGACGCAGCTCGCGGACGTGTCCGTCGAGTTCGAGCCCGAGCCCGAGGCGCTGGTGATGGACGCGCCCGCGGCGGACTCGGTGGCAGTCGCGCCGTCGCCGCTCAAGCCTGTCTCGGACGAGCCGAGCGCAGAGCTGGAGAGGGTGGCAGCCGCGCCGGAGGTGTCGGTGGAGTTGGAGCCTCCTGCAGCGGCGGTGGCGGTGGCCTGGAAGAACGGTGAGCATGTGTCCGGGGGGGGACAAGAAGAGGATGGGCTTACTGCCACGGCGGACTCGCTCGCGGTTGCCTCGGCGTTCTTGGGCATGGGCGCGGCGAGGGCGCTGCCGGCGAGGGCGATGACGAAGGGGACGAGCGCGTTACGGAACAACATCGTGTAAAGGCGGTGAGATGAAAGCTTGGAAGACTACGAGACTAATGGGACGGATGCGTCGAGGAAGAGTGCACTGCACTGGACTGTCTCAGATGAAAGGGCGAGCTTCAAGCGTAAGCAGCAGGAAGACCGATCGCGGATCGGTACTTCGAAAAGACGAGGAGAGCAGACGAAAAAAGAGGGGGGAGGCCGAAGAAAGGTCTGGGGAATCCCCGCCTCGCAGCATACCTGGGTACTTATACGCCCTCGGTAACGGCCGCGCGTAAAGGGGGCCCTTCGCAGGGCGGATTGGCATGGCACCCGGGGCCAGTCGCAGGAGACGTTGGAGCGCGAGCTGATGGTTTAGCGTTGAAGGATTGAATTGGAGCGCGTCGAAGACTGGCAACGGACGCGTCCTGGAAACGAGGGAAGCGTGCGTGCTATCCTTAGCACGTTCGCACAGGAACAAGGTGTGATGACGTCTTCTGGGGTATTGGAGCGTGATCGGGCTTGCCTGCCGAAAAGGGAAATGAGTGCGGGAGAAGCACTCGGTCCTCTCGGGGACACCCAGCCTTCGGAACCGGGCGCTGTGGCGCTAGCATACCACGATGGCGGATGTGCCGACCATCATACATGTAGCTGATACTGGAAAGCACTGCATGGACCATCACAAAGATCACTGGCAAACAGATGTGAGGCGATATATTAGACGCACTCTGCACGTCTGGTCATCATCGACGATGCCACAAAGCGATCTGACCGCAGAACCCAGCTCTTGTACTCTCGGGACTCACCACTTTGTGGCGAGAATCCAAAAAAAATTACTGAACTTTCCATGGCAGCCATCAGCGGATTAGCCTGGACCCAACCTCCGATCCGCAGGCATCTCAATCTTCGTGATGTCGACACCCATTGACCTGAATCACGGACCACTGACAGACTAGAAACAAGCGCACAAGGGCCGGTCATCATCGGAAACACCGTCCCATCACCATAATCTACGGTTTGGCGTACGATTCCCCATACCAAATCCGAGAGGCATAACACTCACAACTCAAGGTACATGACCGAGATTATCAGCTCCATATGACTCCGGTCGTCATGTAGTCGCCGTGAATGCGCCATCCTCCAATCAAGAACCAGGAGCTACAGGTTTAAATGTTGAATACATACCAGCCTGCTGATGTAGCTGGAGTCCCCTGCTATTCGGAGGCCCGGCGACTCGGAGGACGACGCGTGGCGGATCATTCTAGTGAAACGGCCGGAGACTTGATGAATGCCTACCAGGGCCAGTCCCGCTCCTGCACCCAACCCGAGCCCGAACCCGACTGATGAACCACTCACAATTCATCTCACTCCCGGCGACCACGCATCTCGCCCTCACCCGTTCCATTCATCTCACTGCGTTCACACCTCTTCGATTCTATCATCCTCATCGCTCTCCTCCTCCTTGCGTACGGCACTCGCCCCCGTATCTACCTCCAAACCCGCGTCGTCCCGCTCGGTCTCGGGCCCTTCGACGCCCTTGAGGAGCACCACGAGGCGCTCGACCGCCTCCGCCACCTACACCATATTCCTCCATCAGCCTTCTTCTCCCAGCCGAAAGCAAACGCACCTTCTCCACCCCCTCAGCCAAATGCATCGCCCGCACCACCTCGTACACGCCGTGCCCGCGCAGAAAGTCGCGCCCCCAGCGCGTGGTGCAGAGGAGCAGCAGCGTCTCGACGTGCGTGCGCCGCAGCACGGGGTCGGGCTCGCGCGTCTTCGTGGGCGGGAGGAGCTGCAGCGCGGGCGGGAGGCGGTCTTGCTCCTGGCCGGGCCGTGGTCAGTGCGGCGGAGGGAACGAGCGGGACGGGCGCAGCGCACCTCGAGGTCGAGCTCCTCCGGCCCGGCGAGCGGCAGGAGGATGGACGGCAGCGCGTCCATGCCGGGCGCCGCCGCGGCGCCCGGGGGGGCCGCGACGCGCGCGGATTCGGGCGCGAGCAGCGCGCGGTGCGCGGGGGCGTGGAAGGCGCAGTTCCTGGCGTGTCACGGGTCAGGCGGGAGTGCGCGCGTGAGGAGGAGGAGGAGGAGGAGGGAGGACGGACGGACTTGATGGTGGACGCGACGCCCCCGCGCCGGATCGTGTCCGGGTGCTCGGTGAACGCGAGCAGCTTCGCGAGTGGGTACTCGAGATCTTCCGAGGTGCCCATCGGCTCTTTCGGCCGCGGGGTGAGGAAGAACAGGCGTCCGGGAGGGGTCTACAGGACGTTTAGCACCGGCACTGGCAGTGGTAGTACCGCACTTACCAGCGACAGATTGGCAAACACACTCGCGAGGAAATGGAGCTGGCTCCCGGGCTCGCCCTCCCTGCTCGGCACGCGCGCGCTGAGCACGAACGCGTCCAGCAGCAGCGGGAGCGCCTCCACCTCGCGCTTCGTCCCCGCAGGATACGGCTCGGGCGCGGGGCAGCTCCCGCAGCGCGACTGCTCGGCGTAGTACGCGCCGCGCACGGGGTAGTCGGCGATGACGGGGATGGCGAGGGCGAGCAGGGCGGACTGGACGGAGGGGGCGGCGGAGAGGTTGGAGAGGAGCATTGCGGCGAGGTCGGCGAGGACTGCCTGCGGGTTCTATGGCGGGGTGAGGGGGAGGGGAGGGGGCGGAGAGGGGGACGTACAAGGATGTAGGAGACGAGGAAGGTGAGGAAAGGCGTGTCGCTGAGGCTGGGCGCGAGGAGCGGCGAGTCCGAGAGGTTGACCAGCGCGCGGAAGGCGTCGTGCGCGACTGTCTGCAGGGCTTCGTGTCACGTCTGTCACTGCGGTGGGTATGTGTGCTTACTGTAGGCTCTCGGCACAGGAGCTTGAGATCGCGGATCGCGTCGGTGTCCTGCGTCTTCTTGAGGCCGGAACTGGGCAGGAATATCTTGCGGTAGGGAGAATCGGCGTCGGTGTGGCCGAGCAGGTTGGAGAGCGCAATCTGGCGGACTTGTGGGCTGCGGTCGTGCAGGAAAGGAAGGAGCTGGCGGAGAGTTGTTATCATAGTGTGCAGAGAAGGATATCCATGAGACAAACCTCTCGCAGTTGGTCCTCCATTGCGGGGTGTGTCTGCAGCGAATTTATTGGGTTGCAGGTGGTCCGAGTCCGATCTCGAGATGATTTGCAAACTCTTGCTGAGTTGAAGCAACCCTTATGGGATGCAAGTGTACTCAGTACCGCTGTGGGGTTGCTTGTCAGCTGCTCGTGCTCGGAAAGTAGTAGGGCTGCTCAATAGTTGATCGTTGGTCAAAAGGTTAAACAGCGGAAAATGGCTATTCTAATATAATTACAGTGAACCGCAAAAGTATTGCACCAAGTTCTCTTTGGTGTCAAATGCAAGCTTGTAGTACTGCTTTCCCTCTACATCATGATAGTATTACCAAAACATCCTGCTGTATTATGGCTGGAAAGGAGGCCAAATACAACGGTCTGGTTTCAAGACTGGACACCCTGGGAACCAGCGCATCTCTATCCTTTCCATTTACGGGGTTATCGTTACTCGATCGGGTATGTCCTAGTTTACAGTATTGACATATGTCAACGGTACGTTGGGCTTCTTACCTTTGCATCTTTGGTATATAAGGCCCTCTACCCTCGTAATTTCCGTCTCTCTTCCCCAGTCCTTCTCCCCATCTCCTGTATTGTCCCAGAAGGTTTTCCCTATGCTCGAGGACACACATTTCATTGCTACTAGTCTCCAAGCATCAGCCCTCCAGCTCACCGAAATGCCCCAGCCTGAGCGTTTCGTACAGTCTCCTTCAGGTCCTTCGAAAGTATGTCCGAGGAGTCCCTCATCTCACGGAATCTAGGAGGACACGACTTGAGTTGTTTTCGGGGGCAACGCCGTGGAAAACAAAGCTACCAAGGCGCTTAACCAAAGCTCCGCTTCGCCGTGGTGGCCACAGCCGCGCCCCTGCGTCGTCCGTTCCGTCATTGCCACAACCGCCTCCGCTCATGCCTCGATGACAAGCTACAACCTGACGCGCTTCGTCCAGGAGCTCCTCTCCAAGACCGACGCCGCCCCGCCCTCCTTCACCGTCCACCTCTACACCGAGCACTGGACTCTCAATAACGGCTCCAAGTTCCTCTACAACAACCAGGTCGCGGTTAGTCGTCTCCCTTCTTGCCACACTTCGCGCGTCTGATCATAATTCAATGTTGCAGTCTCTGCTGGACGACATCCGCCAGCAGCGCATCCCCCCAGACTTCCTCGAGCTCTTTGAGGCCTCGCGCGTGCCGTTCTACGAAGGTGCGCCCATCACATGCATGTGCTCTGTGGCACCGACTCCTGTTAATGCGTGCGCCAGGCTGCCTCATCGTAGAGCTCCTCGACTACCGCCCGCGATCGAAGAACGCAAAGGTTGACAAGCCCGAGCGTAGCCGCGTCGTACTGCACCCGACGCCCGAGTCCCTCTGGGCGGACATATGCTTACTCAACCAGAAGGCGGATAACAAGTGGACGGACGAGGATGCATTGCACGCCGAGGCTAGTCTGCTGGTACGTAACACTCCATATTGCAGTGGGTACATGACTACATGCTCGCCACCAGCTTGCCACCGCCCCGCCAATTTGCCTCGACCCCGACCCCCGCCTCGTCCGCGCCGTGAACGGCATAATCAGAGTATCCACGCCCCCCGTTCCGCAGTCCCTCAAACGCAAAGCGGTCGTGCTCGAGCCCGAGGAGGACGAGATTGAGGTGGCGCGCCGTGCCCGGCTCATGCAGTACATGAACCCGAGGATTCACCGCCCGTCGATGACGCCAAAGTGCGTTCGCTCTCGTTTCTCATGTGTGATGTGGTTAACGCGTGCGCCATGTAGCTACCGGATATTGGAAGCCGCCAAGGCTGTGAAGGCGCGCAAGGAGCTCATGGCCGCCGAGGCCGCCAGAGCGAGCGCAGCGACGACGCCCGCACCCGCTCCGGCGCCGGCGCAGACACCAGCTGCTACGCGTCCGCCGTCGGTACAGGCGGCTCCGGCTGCAGCGCCTATGCCCGTTCCGGATATGATGGCGCGTCCCCCGATTGCCGTTGCGCACGCGAGGATGCAGCCGACCCCGCAGATGAGAGGCACGCCGCAGATGAGAGCGGCGAGTATCCCGTCGCCGTCTGCGCATTCGAACGGGACGTCGGTTACGCCTACGCCGGTGCCGACGAATGGACCTATTGCCCATCCACAGCACCCGCAACATCCCCAGCATTCTCATCATCCTCAACATCCTCAGCATCCTCAGCATCTTCAACATCCTCAACTTTCCCAGCATTCTCAACTTCCCCAACATCCACAGCACCCTCAGCACCCTCAGCATTCTCAACATCTCCTGCACCCGCACGCTCCACAACCCCGAGCTTCTCCCATGCCACCCGCACAATCGCCCATGCCCCGACCCGTCTACATCGCGGGACAGCACGCGGGCGAGCCATCGCAACAGCGCAATCCCACCCCCATCCAACGCCCGCCGACCACACACCAGTCCCCGCGGCCCCCGTCCTCCCAGCAGCAATCCCACCCGCAACCACAACCGCAGCTGCAACCACAACCGCAACCAACCCCCGCGCAGTACCAACAGTTCGCGCAAGCGCTGCATGCCCAACAGCAACAACACCAGGGGTTCCAGGCGCAAATGCCTCATCCACAACTCCTCGCGCAGCGGGGCAAGCCCGTCCCCGTTCCTCGCCCGCAGGGGACGCCCGCGCTGCTCACGCAGCCGTTGGCCCAGCAGCAGCAACAGCAACAGCAAGGACACACGAACCAGGAGCAGCTGAACAATGTGTTCCAGCATATGCAGCGGATGCAGATGGAACGGCGGATCATGGCGCAGCAGGTGCAGCAGATGCAGGGCCACCACCCGAACGCGGCCCAGAACCCCCAAAACCTGAATGCGACGCAGAACCACCAGAACCCGAATGCGAATGGGCGGGTGACGCCCCAGGCGCAGACGCAGGCGGGGCGCAGCCCGATGGTGGCAGCTGCGCAAGCTCAAGTTCAGGCGCAGGGGCAGGACCCGCGCAACAGTCCGGCGGTCGCGAACAGGCACCTGTCCGCGTCGCGCTCGCCGATGCCGCAGCCTGCGCAGGCGCAGCCCCAGGGCGCGTACAACGGGTACAACGTCCACGCGATGTCGCAGTACCCGCACCACATGGTGAACGGCGGGCAGCAGCAGGGCGCGCCGAATCTCAATCCCCAGCAGCAGGGACAGCAGGGACAGCAGACAGGGCAGCCGATGATGCATTACCCGCCGCAGATGTACTTTCCGCGGATGCCGCCTGGGTACTGGCCGATGCAGATGCCGATGGGACGCCCGGTGGTGAACGGGGGGCAGCAGCAGATGGCGGGGGCGGCGGGGATGGCGGTGAATGGCGCGCAGAAGCCGGTGCCGGGGGGGTTGCAGGGACGGACGTGATTTGTGGGTGTATTGTATTCATGTATTGTACTACTCTTCTACTGGTGCCGTTGGAAGGACTTGTATTTTTGTGCATTTGGGTAGATCTATCTACATACGTACGCTGGAGCTTACCTAATCGCTGCTGTGCGCCGGGGATATCCAGAGGAAAAGGAACTCGGGAAGGGACCAACTGTTGACGACTGGATCAGATGCATCTGACCTGCACATCTTCGCGTTCTCGGGATCGTTATCTGGATGCACGCAGCGGAGGAAGATCGGCTGTTTTAGGCAATCCGCAGGAGTGGATTGGGTCCCTCCATGGCTAGCTTCATGTAACGAAAGCTAGCACTTTGCAGCGGACCCATCATCAGGTGCTAGCATTAGTACTAGCGCAGAGCTTGCCGCTGCTGATCGCGAGTGCATGTGATCCCCCACTGGCACTGTTACTGCAGCACGCTCATCAATAAATTTCCTTGTAGTCGTGTCGGTGTGTAATGACTCAAAGCGCGGGGGATGTTGGCGCTTCTCGCGCTCGGACGTTCTGAGGCTGGGGACGGCAGTCACGGTGAAGGAGGGTGATACAGCTGTTGAACGTCAAGGGGTGGGGGCGGCGTACTTATATCCATACGTCCTGGGAATGCTCAGGCTCGCGGGGAAGCGATCCTTCAAAATTATGCAGGGCTGCGCGACCGTGCCACCGTGCCGCTGTTTCGCGACAACACCCCGGTATCACCGCTCTCGCAGAGGACAGGGAGACACTATTGCACGTACCTGACATACGCGATTCGTCGACCACGCGGCCGGCGGAAGGATGCGAGGACTCAACGCACACACTCACCACTCACCTCCGTCCCTGCGTCCAGTGGTCGACGGTGAGCCGGCTGCTTCCATGTGACGTCTGTCTGTCTATTTGACGTGGACATGCATGCACGGAGGGAGGAAGGAAGGAAGTCGAGGAGGCGAGTAATTGGGCGGAACGTGCCGCAGCTCGGGTCGGGGACGAGGGCGATGACAGCCGGCAGAGACTCGGAAGGGCTGACGGTGGCGGAATCCCAGACAGACAGACAGGAGACTGGCGAGCAACTCGAGACGCAGGATACGCGATTGGGACTGTGCACGGAAACGGAAACGGAGGAAATGGCAGATGAAAACAGGGGGACCGAAGACAACCCATATCCCACAAACGAGACAGACAGAAAAGACGGAAACGACACACTAGCACAACACAACTGCAGACGATGATGCGCCCCGCCCCCTCACTCCCCGCGGCTCCCTGCCTCGCCCGGCCCGGGCGAGTTGAACGACTCGTCGTCGTCGCTGGCGCCCTCGCCGCTCGAGCCGTCGCCGAAGCCCTGCCGCGCGGCGCGGCCCTTGGCGCCGCCGCGCCCGCCGCCCGCTGCATCTCTCGTCCTTCGCTTAATCTGGAGGCACACATGGGAGAATAGACGCGGCCAGCTAGTCAGTCGAGCTTCTCTTCGCGATGTGATAGAGATGGAGATAGAGGTTTGGGTTTGGGAGTTAGCGCACGTACCATTTTGGCGTACACGAGCCCGCAGGCGTTGCATAGTGTTCTCGGGCCTTGAGTGCTCTCTATCAGCGCGAGAAGACCCTTGCGAAGGTGATACGGGCGGAGGCTCACCCATAGGCCCTCTTCTCCACTCCGGCGTGGACGTCGCGCTGCACCCTAGGCACACCTGTCCCTCCTGCACGGGCTGCCCCTCCTGCGTTCCCAAGCACCACATCAACCAAAAGAAAGGGAGCACAAATACGAATCAGAATCAGCACCGCGCCGAGCAACGTCCGACGAAGCCAAAAACGCACCCTCTTCACCGGCGCGCCCGCACCCGCGGGCGTCGCCTCGCGGGGCATCTCGGGCGCGGCGGGCGGCGCGCTCGCGGCGGTGTCGAGCACCTGCCACCCGAACTGTGTGGCCTGGCGGATGCGCTCGAACACGTCCGGCGGCGGCGTCGGCGCGCTGCCTAGTGCTTGCGCTTCGTGGATGGCGAGGCGGTAGGATTCGAGGAGCTGTCAGTAACGTACGAGAAGGGGGGGAAGCGTGGGGGAGTGGGTGTATGCGTGATTGGGTGAACGGATGTGTAATTGAGCGGATGCACGGTTGATTGAGCGGGTGTATGCATGATTGAGTGAATGCATGCGATTGGGTGCACGGATGCGCGATTGCGTTGATATGGGCGTGGCGTGGCGTGTCATGTTATGTCAAAAACAGAGTTTCATGGAAGCCGCCTTGCGAAATCACAAACCTTGTGGAAATCGAGCCCCGGGGGGGCGCTGGGATTGGGCACCCGCCCCGCGGGCTGCGACGCCTCCCTCTTCGCCTGGGGCGGCTGCTGCTGCTGCTGCTGCTGCTGTTGTGGCGGGGGCGGCTGGGGCTGGGGCGTCGACGCGGACGAGCGCATGCGCGGCTGCTGGTACGCGTCGGGTCTGCCGGGCCCCGAGGTAAAGGCGGGGTCGTGCACGGCCGGCGCGGACGCGAACGGCGGGGCGGGGTTCGGGGCGTACTGCGCCCAGCCGTCGCCGGTCCACTGCGGGTGCTGCTGGGGCTGGGGCGGGGGCTGGTGGTGCTGTTGCGGGTGCTGCTGGACGGGGTAGCTGGCGGAGGCGTACGGGGGCTGGTACGGGGGCTGGGGCGGAGGCTGGGGCTGGAAAGACTGGGGGTGCGGGGGCGAGTGCGCGGGGGCGGGCCGCATCTGGCGGTGCGGGTGCTGGGGCATCTGGGCGGGGTCGTACGGCGCGGATGCGTAGGGCGGGTAGTCGTACGCGGCCTGCATGGGCTGGGCGCCCTGTGGCTGGTGGTAGAGATAGCGGCCGTCGGACGACATGTGCGCTGGCTCCTTGTCGGCGGACGGCGGGTACGCGCTGGTGGGGGTGCCGAGCGCCTCGTTGAGCGACGAGTAGGGCGCGTCGGTGGTGGGCGAGACGAGGTAGTGCGGGATGCGCGACGAGCCGGGTGTGGCGGGAGACTGCGAGTCCGGTGAGTAATCGTACAGACGCGGCGGCATGCTGGCGGGACGAAAGAAAGAACACAACCCTAGCGCGTACACGCACGCGTGCGCCGGCGTACGAAGCGAAATACCATCGAAACATGGCCCAAGGGGGGCCCCCTCGATGGCCCGACCCCCGTGAACCGAGTCCCAATCCGGGGAAATCCCCTCGCAGCCCCCGGCCATGCCCCCTTATCGACCGCAAGCCAAACAGAATTTCTTACTTTCTCTGTCCACAATTCTCCCCTTCCTCGCGCAATTCAACCACTCGCAGCGGCAATCCCGTACAAAACGGGCTATCAACAATTATTCGTAATTTGATGGCGTGCTGCGAGCTTGTCGGGTCCTGCTGGCGCCCACCCGGGTCTCGTATCCCCGCTTGCTCGAGTTTCCCTCTTCTTGCTGCCTCTGGATCTCCAACTTACGGAGAGCGCTGCGGGCAACGAACAACGAAGCAACCGCCCGCCTTCCTGCATTCCACGAACCCTGTCTCCGAAGCATTCTCTCACACAGGAACAAACAGTCACGAGCCACACACGCGTTTATCTGGATCATCCCAGGAACTACTAAGCTTTTAGCTTCTATGGCCCATACAGCCGTTTGCAGTTCGATGGGCCCATTTCTCGAAAATCATTTACAGTCGGACCATGTCGGAGAAGGAAATTCAAGTCCCCAAGACCCCAATATCAGACCACTTGGACTTCGTTTAATTTCTGGGACGTCCCTGGCACCATGTCCGACACACTCCGACTATATGTGACTTTCTGAAGTGACGGCCTATCGATCTGCAAACGGCTGTAATAGCCCCCGCGACGACAATCAATATCACAATCCAATAGCAGGACCCCCGATAATCAGTATAAATGCCTGATCCCGAGGACCCATAAGTAGACCCATTTTGTCCGGAAGAAAATCGCCGATTTTGGACCTTTTGTCCGGAAGAAAACAGGCATCACAGCGAAAAAGTGGCTCTAAAAGGCAACTATGGCGTGGGTACGTCTAAATTTAGCCTCCCCGGCAGGTGCCGGGATAAATATGGCGTCGAAATGGCCAAATCTGACCAAAATGTCCGGAAAAAAATCAGCCATTGAGGGCTCTAAAGTCCCAAAATTTGTCCGGAACCTGATCAGACATTTATACCAATTATCGGGGGTCCTCCAATAGCAGATGCATGCGTGCGATGAACAACGATAGTGCGATTATCCAAAACAAACAATGCAATGAGAAAACGAATGACAGCGAAAACATGTTCCCTAGAATGAGAGAGTGTCCGTTCTTCAGCCTGACACCAAGCTGGCTGGCGTTATCCTAATCCAGCGCTGTTCTGCAATCGCCCGCCCCGGTCGTCAGCGGCCCCTCCCCCATCCCCCGTCCACTTATTCTCCGCGGGCACGTCCGCGTGCGGCGGCGCAAACCCGGGGTTCACATCGTCGTCCACAGCATCCTTCTTCTCCGGCGCCCGCGCGCTCCCCTTCCCGCTCGCCGCCGCCGCCGCCCGCTCCCGCGCCCTCCTCCTCCGCTTCAGAATCGTCTTCCGATTCCGCACCGCCCTCCTGAACCTCGCCTCGTCCCCGTAGAACAGGTCGTACTCGCAGAACGGGCAGATCCACTCGTCCGCCGGGTTCGTCGGCAGCGCCGCGGGCGTAACCTCGGACTTCTTCCGGCGGCGCGGCGGGATCTCCGCCGCCAGGAAGCGCAGCGGCGGCGGGCTCACGAAGCTCTGCGCGTTCGCGCCCGCCTGCGCGGCGGCCCCCCCGCCCGAGTGCGGCAGCCGCGACGGCACGTAGTTCCGCAGGTGGTGCGGGTTCGACGCGTTCGCCAGCGCGCTCCGCTTCTTTTTCTTCGTGCGCGGCTTGTTGGGCACCCCGTTCGCGAGCGCAGAGTCCACGGAGGACGAGTTATTTTGGTCGATCGCAGCCGTGGCCTTGGCCGTGCGCGCCCGCTGTTTAGAACGTTCGGTCCGTTTCGCCTTGCTCAGAGACGAAGCCGCCGCCTTTGCCGCTTCGGCTGCCTTTGCAGCCTGCCGCGCGAGCTCGACTTCGAAACGAGCGTGCAGCGCAGCAACTTCCTCCTTTGTCGCGACCAGCCTCTCAGACGCTGTACCAACTTCATTAGACGCTATACGCAGGATATCGTAGATAGAACAACTTACTCGCACTATGACAATCAAAAGTAAACTCTGCCTCGGGCAAAGCACGCTCCTGCCGCTGCAGCGCCGCGGGCACATTCTCCTTCAACACCCGCAGCGCACGCGCAACCCTTGCCGCCTTCCGGCGCGAAGGCCGCACCTTGGGTGGCGGGGTGCTCTTCGGGTCGCCCCCGGGCGCACGATTCGCAAACGGGTAGTTCGCCGACAGCGCCTGGTCGAGCGCGAGCGTGTCCCCGAGCGACAGCGCGCCGAGCACGGCCGACAGCTGCCGCCTGCGATGCCGCAGCAGCTCCTTGTGCGCGAGGCCGACCTTTGTCGCCTTCGACAGCCGCCCTTTCTTCTGCGCGAGCGACAGGGCGCCCGGCGCGGGCGTCCCCGCCCGCTCGAGCTCCGCAACGTCCGCGGCGTCCCCGCGCGCGGCGCCCCGGTCGGGGAGCTCCTCCTCCTCGCCCGACTGCGCCGGGCTTGCGTCGAGCCCGCGGTGTGCCGAGCCCTGCGCGTTCGCGGGCACCTTCCGCTTCTTCGTGTTCCCCGGCTGCTGCAGGTGGTCGACATAGTCCCCGTCACCCTGCTCGTCCTCCTCCCCGCCATCCCTGTCCCTGTCCCTGCCCCTGTCCGCTCCGTCCCTCTCCCGCGCATCCCCGAACACATCCAGCGCGCCCGCGCCAAAGTCGGACTTGAGCAGGAGGTCCTGCACGCCGCCGAGGATCGGCATGTAGTACGACTGGAGCGCCATCTGCGCGGAGAGGCTGTCCAGCTCGTCGTCGGCGTCGTGTGGCGGCACGTCCTGCGGCAGGGGCTCCATCGTCACCCGGCGGCGCTTGGGCAGCGGCTTCACCCGCCGCATCGACGGGAACTCGGGGACGTCGAACACAGGCGTCGACGCTCGGTACATCTCGTCCGACTCGATTCTGTGGCCCCGGCGCTGATAATCCAAAATTGCTTAGCCCTGCAGCACAAGATACGAGAATCATCACCCAGCTGACATGTCTTCTAGTTATGTGCTCTCCCTCGCTCCGGGCAGATCTCAATTTCGCCGAATTTGCAGAGCTCGTCGTCGTCGAATGATGGTATGTCGTAGCCTGCCACGACGCAAAAGAAAGGCCCGGTATGTAAGCGGCACCCTGCGGATAACATCACCGGATGTGGGTGATGGTTTATTCATCTTTCGCACACACCTTCTGCTACCTTCTGCCACACACAATCCACGAAGTTCCGCGATAACCGTTATTGATGGATTGCAGTGAAAGAGAGAGAGAAAAATGCTATGACTACGATACAAGATGTGCGATGCTCTAGTAATACTGTCTCGTTGTGCTTGTGGATATAATATGTCCGACTGCGTCGTCGCAATAAAAAAGGGGTATCGCGAAACGAAGACCGACACTGTAACAACCTGCTCATATAATGCATGCGGAGGCCCCGCTGTAAACCTTCTATAGTGTGGAGAGAACGGGAAATGTAGGGTGTGACGCACGGAAAGGCATTAGGGTGGTGCACGTCATGTAGGGAATAAAAGGAGATTAGGATAGGGCCGTTAGAGTCATCATGAGCAGATGTAGCAACGAGACAAAATCATAACCAGGGTCGTTAGAGCAGCGCAGGATTCAAATCGGAGTCGATAGTCGAGTGGAAAACATGGGAGGGAACGCTAGCAAAAATTTTGAGTTTTTCAGGGATCTTGAAGGAACCATAGAAAGCCATAGAAGAGGTCGAAGCATAGGACGAGAGACATATGCCAGGGAAGTGGTCGCGGGCAAGGCAAACTGTTTACCACCAGCTTCCTCCGCCTCCACCGCCGCTGTATCCGCCACTTCCATAGCCGCCGCCGCCGCCGCCGCCACCGTACGCAGGTGCACCTCCGTACGACGGTCCCTTGGAGTATCCCCCTCCACCACCACCGTAGCTGGAGGACCTGAAATCACGATTGGCGCCGCCGCGGCCACGGCCTCCTCCGCCACGGCCACGACCTCGGGAGCTGCCACCGAATCCAGAGGTCTCATGAGCGACAGTCTCCAACCAGCCTGGGATCTCCTGGTTCGCTTCCCTCAGCAGTTCCAAGAGGTCGCGAACAATGTTGCGATTGCCACGGTTGAAGAAGGCAGTCGAAACACCAGTGTTACCCGCACGGCCAGTACGACCAATGCGGTGTACGTAGTCGTCAATATCGGAGGGCAAGTCGTAGTTGATGACATGAGTTACATTGGGGATATCGAGACCACGGGCGGCGACAGCGGTGGCAACCATGATCGGGGTGCGACCCGTCCGGAAAGTCTGCAACGCCATCTCGCGCTCGCGCTGCGTACGGTCACCGTGAATCGAAGTGGCAGGCAGATTATTGCCCATCAAGAACTCAGACAACATGTCCGCCATCCTCTTGGTCTCCACGAATACCAAGGTCAGGCCGCCCTGGGGCTCGCTGACCAAGATATCCAACAGAACCGAGCGCTTGTCATTATCTTCAACGTACTCAACCTTCTGGGTGATATTCTCGGAGGTGGACCCGACGCGCCCAACGGACAGGAAAATGTAGTCCTTCAAGAAATCCTTGGCCAGCATCTGAATGTCGCGCGGGAAGGTCGCGCTGAACATGAGCGTCTGGCGCTCGTGCACGCCAGGCATATCCTCTCCTTGAACGATTCTCCGAATCTGCGGCTCGAAACCCATGTCAAGCATACGATCGGCCTCATCGAGCACGAGGTACCGGATGTTCGCCAGACTGATACGACCGCGCTCTATCAAATCGACCAGACGGCCTGGAGTGGCGCTGAGCAGGTCACAGCCACGTTCCATTTGGCGGATCTGCTGGTTGATGTCGGCACCACCGTACACGACGGCAGGCCTCACCCAAGAACGGTACGCGAACTTGCGAGCTTCCTCGTGAATCTGACTGACAAGCTCGCGAGTGGGCGCAAGGATAAGCGCCGTCGGGTAAGCCTTGCGGCGCGAATTGAATCCAGTCGCCTGGGGGTCGAACGGAGGGCTGCGAGGCCCACTTGTGAAGGAGGCCGACAAGATCGGGAAGAGGAAACCTCCGGTCTTTCCGGAACCAGTCTACAGGGCATATGTGAGTAACAGTATTGCAGCGGAGCCGACCTTAACAAACCTGAGCACAAGCCATTAAATCCCTGCCCGCCGCAACAATAGGAACCGAGTACTTCTGTACGGGAGTAGGGTTGGTGTACCGGGCGAAAGCGATGTTCTCCAACAGCACAGGGTCCAAAGGAGGATGTGTGAAAGTGGTTACCGGCTCCGGCACGCCAGAGCCAGTGGCCTCGACAGGGATATCGTCGTACTTCTCAAAGTTAATCCCAGTGTGCTGCTTCGAGGGATCATCAGGGTCGCCAAAGAGCTCCTTCTCCATGCGCATATTCCTTCCGCCAACAACATGTTTGCCATCCCTCCACACGCCGTACCCGAAGGTCTCGCGCTGGTCGCTTCTACCTCCACCTCCTGCACCGCCGCTGTACCCGGACATCGTGCGGTCCTCGATCGCTCTGGGGGCGCCGCGGGGCGACCCGAACGCACCGCGCCCTCCTCTGCCTCCTTCGTATCCGCCGCGGGCGGAGGGTGTAGAAGAACGAGAGTCGTTCCAGCCGTTCCTGAAATAATCGTATATCAGCATCCATCGAGTCAAAAGCTACGACTCGCCACGTACCCGTTAGCGTTAGGTATCGAAGGAGAAGAAGCAGCCCGCTGCTGATTTCTCATATGAGGGGGGACATAGGCCGTTTTACCAAGACCAAGAGAAGCTGCAACAAAAAGTGGCACCGTGAGCATCGCCCGTCCGACGCGTCACAAAGACCAAGCAAGCAATTCTGCAACTCACCAAACTTGTCCTCAAGACCGTTGACGCCATTTACAGATCCATTTGACATATTATCAGAATTACTGCGAAACACGAACAAAAGTGTGATTTTTGTCTATGAGTGTGTTTTGAGACCCAGTGAGTGGGGGTTTGAAGAGAGACAGCGAGGCGCCACTGAAATTTGCCTCTTATACGGTGGCGACTGCTGACAAAGCCCTCATAACTTGATTCGGTACATCCATTTTCCATCCACAGCGCTTCATTAGACGTTTGTGGAGGCTAATTGGGACAGTATTACTGTACACGACGCTACCTATACAACAGCTGTGATAGTGGAAAGCATGCCTGACGTGAAATGAGGGCGAAGACATGGAGCAGTGCAGACGCAGGGATGCAGCATGGGGGCGACGCCACCCGGGCCCTTATCGCCTCTTTCGTCGAGCTTTGGGGCGAGTGGCAACATCCTTGCAATCCCTGCAATACCACTTGCCACGAGGTGCTTCAGTCAGGTCCACGCAACCATAATGGAACTGGACCAGCGTTAGTCTGGTCCTGATCAGCGATTGCATGTCACTTACCCATTCACGCTCGCAATTAGGATTGTCGCAAGCAATCATCTGGAATGGCGAGTCAGAGGCATGTACATGGGCATCAAAGACACACGCACCTCTCCGTACGAAACTTGGTTGCAGAAACAGTACCGCGGCTCGTCCGGATTAGCAGCTATATCCGGGATCTGCGGGACAACAGGCGGCACAGTCAACTTCACCGACTTGATATTCGTCGTCGCAGGCGCCAACGGAGCCCCCTCATCCTGTCCTTCTTCTTGCTCCCCCGCGCCCTTCTTCGGCCTCCCCCTCCCCCTGCCCTTCCCCTTCCTCCGCGACTTCGGCGCGACGCGACCCTCGACGACCTCCGAGCTAATCCCCATGGTTGGCGCTCCCTCAGCCTCGGGTGCTTCCATGACGTCTACAGCCATGTTCTCCAAGTCCGAGGGAGGGGGTGTTTGGTGGGTCCGTGTCTGCCGTTTGGGCACCATGACGTCCGGGAGGACGATCGGCGCTGGAAGGGTACCAGGGCGGAGGCCATGAGAGAGGGCTAGTTCTTGTTCTTTGATGGCTTGGTCTAGGAGACGAATATGTCTGTCTACCTATCGTTCTGCAGGTCAAACAGTGATAAATCCAGGTGAGACCTGCGTACTCACCGTGTCATATGCGGATTTAGCTACATTGACCTTCTCTTGGGATGCTGAGACAATCTCCTCGGAGAGCCTTGCTACTCGAGAGAGCATCACCTGTGCCTGAATCGAGTTTTCCGGCACGGGAGGAACGGAGGTCGGAGTTGCTGTCTTGCTGGCAGCCCTCTCAGCGGGAGGGGCAGAGGCGGACTTCTTGTTGAGCAGCTCCGGGGGGTTACTGATGCGTGGCGGCGTGTGTAACATTCCTTCAGGCTCCGTATGATTACTGTCGACGGCAGCTGACGGAGGATCCACATTCATTTGTTCGGGATCATGTTGGGCTTCCTGATCATTTGGCTCCTGCGCCTTTGCTTGATTAAGACCCGCTCGCAGCCTCCGCCATTCCGTATATCTCTGGAGCATCGGTAAAAAGGAGGTTTGGTACTCTGCAACGCACCGCATTCATACATGAGAGAGATCCGTCCCCGTACATGGACCACTTACCATGTACATGCTCATCCAACTCTTTCAGAAGTGTAAAGTGACGCTCTAGCGATAGCGGTAGTTGTTCCACAGCTAAGATCGTCGGGTATAAGCGATATCCCATCCGAGCGAGAATGCGGACTTGTCATTTAAGCAAGTGATTCGAACATTACTTTCGAAGAACTCCTCTTTGAACGCCTCCCAGACTTCAGCCTCTTTCTCCCGCTGCTCTCGCCCCTCTTCCGCGCCCTCCTTGTCTTCCATAAGCACGTCAGGCTGCTCTTCGCTGGGTTCCTCCTCCTGGTCGTGTACCTCCACGAGTTCAGCCTCGGGTTGTGCCGCATCACCTGCTTCAGCCTCGAGAACCTTTCGACTAGGCCGTGTTCGCCTTTTAGACCTCGATTTCGAGGACATCGTACTGGTTGAAGCTACGGAAAGCCAAAGTGCCAACGTCGACTCCCGCGACGCGCACGCGCTAATTGTACAATGAGACGGTTTCACGAGGTCCGCGTTTCCCACGAATCGCGTCCGTGGCTGAAGCTGCAATGCATTGCTGGCATGCTCACAGACGTCCGCTGATTACACGCCCCTCCCCTCCTTAGCCTCCCCCGCTAGCGCTATGTCCCAGCAGCAAATGCACTCGCACGGCCCCGGCCAGCCAATGCACACGCACGGGCCCCCAGGCCAGCAGCCCCCGCCGCAAGCCGTCGTCCCCGCCCCGGACCCCAACGTGCAGGCCCTCATCGACGCGGACTACACACCGGTCGATCTCATCTTGTCGGCGGACGGTACGCAGGCGCTATGCGCAAAAAACAAAGAAGAGAAGGATCTGGACTCTGGCGTCGACTTCACGGCGACGAACCGGCTTGCGCGGCTGCTGCTGGCGCAGCCGAATCTGAGGTGTCCGCCCCCGCCCCAGATCGTCACGCCGAAGCTGTCGCAGGTAGTGAACAACACGAAGGAGGAAGGAAACGTGAGTGTACCGGATATTCTGTCGAATGCCTATTAATGGAATCCTGTCACAGCAACTGTTCAAAGCAGGCCAGCCAGACAAGGCCGTCGCCAAATACACCTTGGCCGCGAACTACGCTATGCAGCGCCCACCTTGGGAAGCCAGTCAACTCATGCGAGACGAGCTCTCCACCGTCATCTCCAACCGATCCGCTGCGTACCTCGAATCGGGCGACCTGATTGGTGCTCTCGTAGACGCAGAAACCGTCATCGCGCTCAAGCGGCCATGGAGTAAGGGGCACTTCAGAAAAGCAAAGGCACTGGTGGAGATGGGCGAGTTGAAGGAGGCGAAGGACGCGATCAACCTCGGCTTACAGTTCGAGCCAAATAATACGGTAAGCTAACGACCCCTTCCATTCCAAGAAGCGATGTATAGTGAAACGCGAATAATATGCTACAGGAAATGAACAGCTTCCTGGCTGAAATATATGCCCTGATCAAGAAAGCAGAAGAGGGGAAGGCAGCAGCACGAGCGTCCTCGCCATTAGCCAAGTCATAGCGCTACACACCGGTATTCACGCACATACTTCCTTCCCCCCTGATACCTCCACTCGCTAATCCTGCTGGTACATGGTCGCATCTTGTATCCTTATCGCACATTGCATACCTTCTTTAGTCCCTGTTTCACTCTATTTATGTACCTCTAACCTCCCGAGAATCTCAAACGCCTCCACGCACTCCTCAGGTCTTCTGAACACCCTGAGCCGTATATGCTGCGGCACCTCTCGCCGTGCGCGCCATATTCGCATCTGCAGCTCCTGGCGTTTCCGCTCCGCCTCGGAGACTGCGTAATTCATGGAGTTCTGCCGCGACGATCCAGGCATCCATGCCCTTGAAGAGCGGCGGGACGACGACGCCGACGATGTGGTCGAGCTTGACGACATGGAAGGTGCGTTCTCCGGTTCGGCAGACAAGGTGGATGTGAACACCGGATCCGACGGGACAGTGTTCGAGGTAAAGTAATCCGTGGCGTCAGCCGCTGCCGCTGCCTGCTGGTCCACCGAATGCCCCCGCGTCGCCCTCGGGGTAGGCGTAGCCGACGACGGGGATATATTCTCCGACGTCCCTCTCGACGGCAATGGCCGCACAGCCGAGAGGGGCGCAAGCCCGGGCGTGCGCGCGCCCCTCGTCGGCTTGACAGTGGGATTCCTATCGAGCGCCGTGAATATTGCCTTAGCGTTCTGCCCGGTCGGGTCGTCCACGGGCTCCGCGCTGTCGTCGACCGTCGCGTCGCGCACGAAGATGGCGAGGATCTGCGTGGGCCGCTCGGCAGCGACGGCCGCGTACAGCTCGAGGTCCTGCTCGCCCGTGTCGCCGACGAGGATGAACTGCGAGTCCGGGAAGGCGCTGAGGATCTCGACCACGCCGGCGCGCTTCCGCGTGGCGGGCGCTGAGAGGAGGCCGTTGAAGAGTGAGCGGGTTCCGTATGAACGCAGTTTTATGGATCCTGTGTCGTCGAGGCCATGAGTAATTGGTGGACCTATGAATTAACAGTGACTTGCCTGGTGGTAGGTGGGATATCTGTAGGAAGTCATTCAGAACAGGAAGCAGCTCGAAAGGACCGTTGGACTGAGCGACATCAATTGTCAGGCATCGATAACAATCGTGCCATAAGGAGAGATGCTTACGACGTAGTGAAACCTGACGCCTCTCTTCCACATCTCCATGTACCACTCGGACATACCAGGAATGACCACGTCCTCTAACTCCTTAACGAAGACGTTATAGAATACCGCCCTCGCACCGCTGAGAATACTAGACAACTTGACTGTATCGTCAACGTCCGAAATAACCCGCACAGGCGAATGGGTCAGAGGAACATGTGTAGCAGACGCGGGCAAATCAGACTCTATATATCGCGCGCGGTATCCAGGGTTGGGAGTGAAATGCGCCATGGGAGAGCCGGAACCTAAGTTGGCTTGCGGAGGAGGCGGCGGGAGCAGCTCCGTCCTGACGAAGAACTCGTGCTCCTTCGACGTGTCGCTCAGCGCCTTCTGCAACGCATACGCGCATATCCTGCTCCAGGGAATTACCACAGTGCTCTGGAACGCGCCGTCGGGCCCCGTTAGGGCGTCCTGCGTCATCAACGGCGTGGGGAGTACATCCGCATTATTATTGTCGGTGCCGTGCTGCATGTCTGAGATGGGGGAGGTGTAGACGGAGATGCGGACGACGCGGCCAGTAAGCGCAGTCGTCCAGAACGGCTCGAGTCGCGCCTCCAGGTTGGCGTGCATCTTGCGGACCGCGTCTGACAGGGAGTTGGCGTCTGAGCTGGTGCTGCTGAAGGAGGAGGAGGAGGAGAAGGAGGATACCACAGACGCGGGGGAGTCAACAGGGTCCAGGGAGCCTTCTCGGTATGCGTCTTCGCTGGATTCCCTCTCTTCGTTCTGACGCTGCTCGTTCTCGATCGTGACGAGCCGCATGGATGCCTCCAGTGCCTGGACTTCGTAATCATCGGGAATGTCGGACGGTGTTGGTGGTAGGCGCTTATCTCCTAGGAGCTCTTGCTCCACCGCTGAAAGTGAGGGTTCAGATACATTGTCTGATGGTATCTGGCCCGGTAGCTTAGGCAGAGCGGCAAAACCTGAGGTTGATGAGACAAGGGAAGTTCACAGAGTATAGTATAGAGACGCACCTCTAGCCATTCTAAGGAAGGCTCTTTGGGCTCGTGTCGCATATTCTGGCGGGCGATGGCTCACGGCAAATCCTGCAATAGATACATGAATGTCAAACGCCCCATCTAGCCATGAGCGACGGAGGAAGTCAGTATTTCGTATCGGTGAGCACCTGCCGTACTGTATCCGACCATTCAACTGCCCAAACACGGATAGCTAACCAGAACCACTACTTGATATCGGACTCACATCGACGCAGCAACATGTCGCCGAGACAGGATTGACTGGAGAGAGGACGGGGCAACCAGCGTACGCTCGTTACCTGCGGGCTCTTTGCTCTTTCAGGATGCATTTTTACAGTACTCCGTTCACGTCATTAATCAGGCAGTGAATGGTCGGACACAAGACGCAGTTTCCAATTAACCAAATAGCGGCTACTTACAAGAGTCCCCTTCCCTATACCGTCTCGTAGCCCATCCAGGGAAAAGTGATATTCTCTCTGCCGTAACGACGTTTCCCCCTCTCCCCTTAATCTTCTCCCCCGCCCACTGCCTCCAGCTCTGCTTCTTCCCCTCCCCATCAACATACCCGTTCTCGCCGGGGCGCAAGTCCCGCCGCCCAGGCAGCGCGTTCTTCAAGTCTGCACTGGTCCGCGCATTCGACAACTTCGAGAGGGCGGAGCTGAGCAGAGACCGCTTGGACATCGCAGAGTCCGACATGAAGAGTTGCAATCGCTAGTGACCATGTCCACAGCCATAAATGGCGCCTCCAGACGCGCTGTGGAGGGCGACGAGGCCGCCACAGCAGTGACGCCCGCCCACGTGCGTGCTTCAAGTTGCCGAAGGAGGGCGAATGCCTCCGCCACCAATGCTCCGTCCTTCATGCGCGTCTTGGCTGTTCTCCTCGTTGTTGCGAAGACAGGCGTCATCCATACATCGGTGGGCCCCCTTTCGCGCAGGTGAACTACTCGCTTCTGGGTGGAGCAAGCCTAGGAACGTAGGACGGAGATGCCTGTCAGAAATCCCGTCATTCAGAGAGCAGGTCGGGCGGACGGCGCAGGTGCCCTCTTTCGCTGATCGCTACAAAAAACCAGGCATTACCAAGCAGATTCTGGTGAGCTCAGAGACGGCTCACGTCATTTCCTCTTACGAACCGACTTAGTTCGCAGTGATCACGGGTGGGGTCTTGTACTTCAACTGGGCAGGCATAACAGACGAAGTCACCGCCATATGGATCGAGCGTCTCAGAATGAGCAGCCCTATTGTCGAGACGAGGGAACCCACCACAGAGGATATCAAGCGCGCGAGGTACTTTCATCTAGGGAAGGTGGGTTCTTCAATGGTGAGCCTCGCGAGCGAGAGAGTAATCCGCGCCCTTAGCGCCTACAAGCATGGCTTTACTCGTTGAAGGAGGAGGCCTCGAACCTCCCCCAGACGATCAAGTCCTTGCCGCTGTTTGCGACGGCAAGATCGATGCAGAACGTTTTGGATGCCTCGGAGGCGAGAAGGGTCTGCTGGATGCTTGTGATGATTAACTGCGGCGTCTATCTTGCATGGAAGATTCGTCGGTTACAGCCCGCCATGTCCAAAGGATTCACGCATAATCCGCTATCCGGGAAGTCATACACTTTGCTCACTAGCATGTTCAGGTTGGCATCTGCTTCTCTCTGTGAAAACGGTTACTGACCCCCTCGCAGCCATTCCAGTTTCTGGCATTTGCTGCTCAATTCCATGGCACTCTTGAGTTTCTGTAAGCTCGTATAGTATTCTCGATCGTCGACCAGTGTCTGAAGGTGTCTTCAGCGGCGACGGCAGCGCAGCACCTGATCCGTGAACAGCGCAAAAGCCCATCTGGCATGCAGGAAGCAACAGTTAGCTACCACCTCTGGGCGTTCTTCATCTGCAGTCCGTATCATACATGAATCCACCTTCGTGTCTAGTTAACACGCGGATTATAGCGGGCCTGTTCGCAAACCTCTTCTCCCACATCGCCCAAGCACGGATTATATACCCCCGCCTGCTCGCTCGCATCGCGTCTCCATCAACCCCCGCAAAAGGTTTATTCCGACATATGGTGAACGAGAACACCCAGATAAGAGGGTCCTTGGGGGCCTCTGGCGCTATCTACGGCTCAGTCGTCCTGACAGCGCTGGCGTTCCCCGAGGCTGAGGTGTCTTTGTTCTTCCCTCCGGGGCTTACTCTGCCTATACAATGGGGCGTCGGCGGGCTGGTATTACTTGACATTACAGGGATACTGAGAGGATGGCGGTGAGATCCATGACTCCCTTATATCCTTTGTGCTGATGGATTCGTCCCTCGTACGTCCAGATATTTTGATCATTGGGCGCACTTGGGCGGGGCGATATTTGGTATGCTTTACTATAATTATGGCCCGCTCGTTTGGGAGAAAACACGGGAAGCGATGAAGGTCACGGTTGACAAGGCGCGTGTGGAGAGGCAGGCGAAGTATATTCAGAAGTTGGAGGCAGAATACGAAAAAGTTATTTCTCAAGCAGATAGGAAGAAACCCCGCGAGGTGTAATGTATTGAGATCTAGAGGGTATAATAGACTTGGATTTCCTCCCCCCCCTCCAGGCCTTTGTCTTTCTTGGTGTGCTGCTCCTTGGGTACATACATCATACCAGTTAGTAAAGTGGAATGGTTGATATCCTTGGCCGGGACCTCATCCGAGCGAGGCCGAGAGAGCCAAGAAACGGCCGACTGCAATTCGTCTATGCATGTGCCCTTGGCAAGGACCTTTGTAAGGCGGGTTATTCGTCAAGTTCCGCACATGCAACAGCCTCATCCTCCACATTTTAATGGCCGAGTCAGCACTTGCTATAGGATAACCCACTGCTGTACGGCTCAGTGCACTTGAGCATGTCTTGGTGGCTGCGGGGGAGGTCCGCGGACCAGATGAGACCTCCGGGCGGTCCGCCAAGTCTCTCGGTTCCCATGTGCGGCACGCGCGGCAGTGCGCGATCTCATTATACGCGCGCTGGCTGCGGGATATAAGGTCTTCTCGTTCTTGTTCTCTTGCGCTGGACGTTCTTTCTCCTCGACTTTTTGCATTCTCTTCAAGCACACTGACGCTCGCAGCGCGAGGACCGGCCTACTAACGTACTAGAACTCTCGACTAATCAATTCGCACTCGAAACCGACTTCGATCCCGGCACTCACCTCAAGTATGCTTTCTTCATTACAATGGACTTTGGCTATCCTGCTGTTAATCGCTTCTGATACCCTTGCCGCCCCACGACCTAATACCGCCTCGCCACAAGCCATCCCGCTCGTACGGAGGGCACACAACCGGCGGACGACGCAGGACTGGGGGGAATGGGCCAAGAACCACCGGGAAATCCTCACAAGCAAATATGGCGGCTCTTCCACGGGCGTTGCAAAGCGTGGTAGTGGCACGAATCTGTGAGCACCTTATTATCTCTGGCTGACATGCGTTCTCATTCATTTCATTCAGCCTCACGAACCAGAACGCAGACTCAAGGTATGATTTTCTTGCCCTTTGCTTGGCTGCTGAGCTCACTGTCGCCGCAGCTACTATGGCTCAGTCGCCATAGGGACCCCTCCCGTATCCTTCAATGTCATCTTGGACACTGGATCTTCGTGAGTCTCATCGTCGCTGCGATCCATTGCAGCTATTTAAGTCGTTCTATAAATAGCGACCTCTGGGTAGCAGACAATGCCTGCGTTACAGGCTGCAAGAACGTGCCGAAGTTTCAGTCGTCGCAGTCCTCGACGTTCAAGAACATGAGCAAACCATTCAACATCCAGTATGGATCCGGAGAGGCCGCTGGGATCCTTGGCTCGGACACCGTCCAGATGGCAGGCTTCTCAGTGGCGAACCAAGTCTTCGGCGTCTGTAACGCCGTCTCCTCTGGGTTGCTCAATAATCCTGTCTCTGGTCTGCTGGGTCTTGCCTGGAACACTATCGCCACGTCCGGCGCGACCCCTCTGTGGCAAACTCTGGCTGGCAGCGGAGCCTGGGACTCTCCTGTCATGTCATTCCACCTCACTCGGTACGTTTCCTGCGGATCAGTATTTTTTCGTGGTTTTGACATCATCTGGCGCAGTTTCGTTGACGACAGCCAGGCGCAGACATTGGAGCCTGGAGGATCGTTCACAATGGGTGAGTTCTAATAGCGATATCCGGTTTCGCAGTTCTATTTCGACACTAACATGATTTCAAATACAGGTTTTGTCAACCAATCTTTGTACACAGGTGATATCGACTTCCAGAACATCCCTTCCGGATCAGAGTCCTACTGGATCCTGCCGCTGACCGGTACGCCAACTCTTCCTCGACAATGGCACATCCTCTGACATTTATCCTACCACAGAAATCACTGTCCAGGGCGCCTCCATGACCTTCCCCTCGACGCAGAGCTCATTCGCCGCCATTGACACCGGAACGACGCTAGTCGGGGGTCCCTCCAGCGCCATCGCGCAGCTGTACTCCCAGATCCCCGGCTCGGCCCCCGGATCCGGCAACTTCGAGGGATACTACACCTATCGTACGTTTCCTGCGCAGCCATGCGTATGCATGTCTTGAGATAAGAAGCTTACTGTGATGTTCCCAAAATAGCCTGCAACACGCAAGTGAACGTCTCCCTCGCGTTCGGCGGGAAGAGCTGGTCCATCAGCCCGCAGGACTTCCGCCTTACGCAGCTCACGCAGTCAGAATGCCTCGGCGCGTTCTTCGAGCTCACGACGGGTGGCAGCGCGCCCGCATGGATTGTCGGCGACACCTTCCTGGTAAGCTCACCTCATCTCCGATCTACCCTGCTCGGTACCAATGCGGTGAACGTCCTCATAGAAAAACGTCTACTCCGTCTTCCGCTTCAACCCGCCCTCGATCGGCTTCGCCGCGCTCTCAGAGGCAGCAACTGCGCAGAACGATGCGGACGGGCCCATACCATCTGCTACCATCGGCTCCGCGGCTGCCGCTGTATCTGCATCGAGCGGGACCGACGCTGTGAACAGCGCGGCGGTTAGCGCGTACTCGTTTAGCCCTGTGGTGTTGATGATTGCGGGCGTTGTTGCTGGGGTCGTGTCGCTCCTTTAATGCGGATTGTGGGGAGTTGGACTTGCGTGTTAGGCGTGGACAGTGCTGTATATTGTAGCGTTTGATCAATGGACTTTGTGGAAGACACAATTTGTATTTGCTTAGTTACTACCGCTAAGGACGAGTTAATGGCCCTGTAATTGCATTCCTGATGAGATCTTTGAAGGCACGATTCAGACTCACGCTACTCTCGTCATGAACTTTGGTAAACATAGACAAACTCCTCCCGGACCGATCACTGGGCTGCCGCTGGTGTACCAACTGTAATTAACTCGCTGAAGGGCAATGGAACCGCGACACGGTGAGGACTCTTCGACCGACGACGACGCTGCATCGCAGACCACCGAAGACGATCCCCAGGTGCCCGACAATCACGAACCACCGCCAGCGCCTGCAGCTGCACCCGCGCCCGCCCAACCTAGTGCTTCGGCGAGTACTCGCGAGAGGCCGCATTATGAGCTGCGACATACACTTAGAGGACACACATCATCGATATCGGCCGTGAAATTTAGCCCAGATGGGACCCTTTTAGCGTCATGCGGTGAGCCTCTTCGTCTGTGGACATCTAACCAGAGTGCAAACCGTGCGGTGTATGCAGCGAATGACAAGGCAGTTAAAATATGGAATCCATTCACTGGGGAGCTCATACGGAACTTGAACGGGCACACGAAAGGTCTGTCCGACATCGCATGGTCGTCGGACAGTGTGTACCTCGCGTCCGCGTCGGACGATACGACCATCCGGATATGGGATGTTGACTCTGTGAGTACTCGATCCGGTACCAGATGATGACCAGAGTACTCATTTACAGTGAGCGTAAAGGGCCTGACCACGAAGCACCTGAAGGGGCACACAAGTTACGTCTTCTGCCTGAATTACAACACCTCGTCGAACCTGCTCGTATCCGGGGGCTGTGACGGGGACATCAGGATCTGGAATACCAGTCGGGGTATGTTTGGTTCCTGCCTTCCGCCTCGTGGTGAAGTAATGTGTTGAGTCCTGTAGGCAAGTGCATGAAGACTCTGCACGGCCATCTGGATTATGTGACCGCTGTGCATTTCAATAGAGATGCTACCCTGATAGTTTCCTGCGCCCTGGACGGCCTAATGTAAGTTTCGCGCTCGTCTCTCATCCTCACTCTCACAGTATGCGCAGCCGTATATGGAACACAACCTCCGGCCAGTGCCTGAAGACCCTCGCAGAAGGCCACGACGCTATCTGGTACGCCCCCTCTCCCCTCGCACTCCCTTCCCACTTACCCCAAACCAAATAGCCAACACGTCCAGTTCTCCCCCAACTCAAAATACATCCTCTCCACCGCACACGACAGCGCCATCCGGCTGTGGGACTACCAGACCTCCCGCTGCCTGAAGACCTACACCGGGCACCGCAACGTGAAGTACTGCATCGCCGCATGCTTTAGCGTAACCGGGGGCAAGTGGATCGTTTCTGGCAGCGAAGATAACAAGGTGTATCTCTGGGACCTCCAAAGCCGGGAAGTTGTCCAGGTGCTTGAAGGACATCAAGGTACGCATGAAAGCCCCCTGCTTGAATATTGACGTTGACGCAACTCCCTTCCAGACGTGGTAGTCGCAGTTTCGGTATGTCGAACCTTACAATGTCTACGCACGTCTCTCACGACCTGCCCAGACTCACCCCCAGCAAAATATGATCGCGTCTGGATCAATAGACACCGATTTATCCATCCGAATATGGTCTGACACACGTAGTGGATCTTGACACTTCACGTCCATGCACATGTCTTTTTCTTCCTAGTGTATTTCATACTGTAGCCCATGCGTCCTCTCTGTAACACAAATATGCCGAGGTGGCAGAATCGACTTCATGTCAAATATACATATGTAATCCAAAGAGCAGCCGAAACTAGCGACATGTCCGTGAACGAGGTTATCTAGGGTGATTGGCCTATAGCCTACTTGACAGGCTTCGCATTGAGCAGATCTGATTGCGGCATTCAGTATGCAAGCCTTCTCGTAAGACTAAGGACGTTCATACCTTTCGCGACTTCCTTCTGTTCGTCGGTCAAACCAGAGTCGTGTGCCTCCAGGAAGGCATCCACCTCGTCCATAACCCCATCATCCTCCCCTCCAAGCTCATCGTCGGTATCATCATCCAGCGCATCGTCAATGGCGAACTGCGGTCGCTCCATGAGCGCTTCATTGGCCGTCTTCATGATCGATATTGGCGACATCTCCGAGCCTTGCACCAATGTCTCTGTCGTCGACCGAGCATCAGAACTCAGAGACAGGTTGGATGTGGATGCGCCAGGTGACTGGGCCCTGTCCGTCGGTGACAGTGACGACGTTGATGTCGAAGGCCGCATCGAAGGGGTCAGTAACGATTCACGAGCCTTAGGCTCCTCTAGCTTGGTAAACCGTCCGATGGCGGGTCTATGTATGACCTGTTGCATGGAGTGAGAGAAGAACTGGCTAAAAAGATGTTTAAGAGCTCACTTGATGTTTCCCGATGGTCCGCCCAATCTGGTCAGTGAACCTGTTAAAGAGCTTCTTGTTGTCATCGGTGGCAATGTTTGAGATGAGGTCTCCAAGGAAGCCATTGCCCGACGAGGGCAATTCCATCATAGGGACAGGTTCAAGCTTGAACGAGGCCGACAGATCAGTCTCGAAGAAGGATTCCAAGATCTCATCTGCCAGGACCACCATCCTGAACCTATGGCACACATCAGGGGATGTAACTAGAGCAGACAGTTAAACTCACGTCGCGAGGTTCAAGTACGGTTGATTGGAGGCAATCCCGGGAGTCGGTGGCGGCTCATCAGAGTCGCCCTGCCCTTCAGGCTGAGGGAGCAACGCATCACCATATTCGAAGGCATTTGTCATGAATCGACTGACGGCTCCGAGGTACGCGTCTCCGATCTCAAACCGGAAAATGAACTGGACGAAACTCAGCAACATCTTCAGCAGGTTTAGTGCGGACATTTACCAAGAGGGACTCGGACAAAGTCAACACTTCATCTTTAGTGAGATACCCGTCCTTATTCTTGTCGTGAAGGTTGAAAAACCATTCGATGTTTTCCATTAGGTCATTGAACATAACACCATCCAGTCCCGATACGAGATCCTAAGCAACTATCAGCCGCTGGTCTCATTCACAAGGCAAGACTTACTTGGAAAGATAAGGCACCTTTGCAGTGCACGTCCCAGAAATAGAAGAGGCGGTCTATGAACTCGTGTTCAGCAACCTCACGGTCTACTCTTTGCTAGACGAGGAACAGTCAGTCGTTAGGCCAGCAACGCACAAGGATGCCTAGTTACCTGGAAGCCATTGATAATGATTTTTTCGTCCCTCGCCCACGTAGCAATCTCGCTAAGGAATACGCGGAAGGTGCGCAGACCGATACGCGTCTCCGGCTTTTCCTCGTTACCGTCGCTGATGAGCGTCGGCGCCGGTCTTGCTACTTCTGCAGGTGGTGGGATGATGCACATAGCTCTGTAGAGTGCATCATATATCAAGCCTGCCTGCTCTTTAGTGAACCGCTCCAGTGTCTTCAAATTGCGGATAGCTGCTCGCTTGGAGAAGGACTCGATGCTGAATACAATCTCATTCCTGAACTTCTTCCTCTCGCTGTAGATGGTATCATCCGTGATGATAGAAAACTCCCTGAAAGACACTAATAAAAGCTCTTGGAACCGGGTAATAGCACGCGCACGCGGGTCGGGGGAGTGTGGGTGCGCTGACTGGCCCAACGAGGAGAAGTAACTTCGCATTAGCCTTCAGTTTCGGCAACAGCTATGATCGTCAAAGTTTCTGGGATTTATAGGCATAAAAATACGTACTGGATGAAACCTCCATCGTCTTGAATCTTCAAAAGCTCCTCACCATTAATCTTCAGAATGGCTACGGGAAAATTGAGATGTATAAGAATGTCCTACGTAACGAGTACCTACCGAGTCTTCCATCCGCGAATGGGACTGTGAGCACAGTGATGCCAGACGAGATAATGACAGTAGCTCACCCGACTTGGAATAGGACCTTTGGACCCATGCAGAAGAAGCAGTCGATTATGCGACAAGCAAAAACCATGGGCATACTGTTGATAAACCTGCAGCGCATGGATGAGCTTTGACGTACGTCAGAGAATACATCCAAACCCACAGACTCAGGAACCATGGTAGGGAGGCAACTGAGAGCTGGACGTCTACTTCTTGGAAGTGGTCATGGATGATGGGCAGGCATTTCTGGACAAGAGATTCAAAAACCCTCTGATCGAGAAGTGTGCCATGCATGGACGTGCTAGGGACGGGTCAGTGAGTCCAGTCCGAGTAGCACGAAGAGGTAGGCAAACCTGTAGTAGCCCGGAAGCAGACGGTCACAAACGACTTCCAGAAGCCAGAATGCCTGCTCTTCGGACATGTAGCTAGTAAGGTTAGCGTGGCAAAGCTTAGATACATATACCCGCTTACATTAGAAGCGCAGCGACAAGTATGTTCATGGCCTGCAGGAGGAATTAAGGCCGAGTTATAGGAACTTATATGACACCCGCACCTGGCAGTATCCTAGTTCCGGGTTCTTGAAGGAGTATGCTTGTAATACCCTGCGAAGAGCCGAAATACCCTCTTCTGATTGGTACGCCGAGTACTCAGGCAGACTACGATGCAAGTCTTTCTCGATGTCTTCGGTGCTGGTGCTCGTCCGGCCCTCATTCTCTTTCAATATCTCCTCGTACACACCGGGGTTGCTGAAACGGAGATATAAAGACCCAGAAAGGACCTCCCACATCTCACCGCGCAGTCGGTTCGGCAGCCCGACCTGCACAAGGCGCGTGCATTGAGGGTAGCGTAGGAGAGTGAGGTTACGACCGTGAGCTAAACCCTGGTGAGCTTCATCGCGTTAATAACGGTATATTGCAGCTTACTCCGTAGGTAAGTCTTCCATAACTTGACTTTGGAGGCTTCTCTCAGTCTGGAATCGTGAGTACACTTCTCGCAGTAGCATCGATGAAGGAGAACGTTACTTTTTGGGATCTCCCGGGAACTTAAACCTGAGCCCCAAACCACCGTGATATGGAGTCTCGACATTGTCAGTTCCCTCGGGTGCAACCTTCTCTTCTTGTTCCTCCTCCCCAGCCTGGGCCTCTGAGGCAACGAGGGTCTCCGAGTAGCAAGTCTTCACAAAGCTTCTGACGGCTTTCATCTGGCCATGCTGCAGTTCGGCCTTCAAAGAATCGCGTAGACTGGCACAGAACAAATCAGCAGTCGGCCTAAGGGAGGTTAGTTGTACCACCTTCACGCATGTCAGTAAACATACGGAGCGACGCTGCCTCGGACGTACTATCTTCATTCCATGCCAAAGAGACAAGCTTAGAGCGTATATCCCTGCTCTAGCATTCAACCTCTCCACCCTCCGTATAGTACACAGCGGCAATGTAAACCGGCATGACTTCCGGTCCAGCGAGGCGAAACACAGGAAGGGTGGTATTAGGTGGAGCTTTCCCGCCTGCAGAATCCACCACCATCCTAGCGATCTGTACAACGCTCACTTAGCGGACAATAGACTACTCACATACGAGTCCTCCTCTGCCTCCGCGCTCATACTCAGCACCGCGTTTATCTCCATCTTCTCGAGCCCATCCTTCTCGCACCGAGCCGTAAGGCTTGGAGGGACGGAGAAGAACAACTGTGTAATCTGTTCCTTGTTAGGTTCCTTGAAGGTCCTCAAATGCGTCGATATCGTCGACATATTGCTTCTTCAGCAGGCTACCCCGCAAGATTTGGGATTATTCCGCGTTTTTAGAGTAATAGTCCAAAGAAATGCTAGCCCCCGGTATCGATGTATCTCCTAGCCGTGAGTCGAAAGCAGACCCTGGCACAGCGAACAGAGCCTCAATAGTTATAGCTGCGACATGAGCGAGAAACCGATCAACCGAGACGGCGGTGGCAAGCGAGATATACACGCGCCTACATCTCCGAAGGTCAAGCTATCCATTCATTTGGTAATGGTACATTGGATTTGTTCGTTCCGCATAAAGTAAAGTGCTACATAGATAGAACGAAAGTTATGCGAAAGGATCGCAAAACGAATGCTGCACGGACGATGCAAATGCTAGTAGTGACAAGAAATATTAGTCTATACGGTTCGTCATGAAGTGTCGTCAGAAATAAGATAGCAACAAAAATACACAGCGCGCCCTCCCTCTCGTCTTCATGACCTACGCTTCAGGTACATCTCCCTCGCTCTCTGCATCGACTCCCGCAACTCTGGACTCTCCCACGCAGTCGGGTCCTCCTGGAACTGCGACCGCTGCGACTCGACAGAGGCGCCTCTTGAGATACCTGAGACGCCATGCGAGTGACCTCGCTCGAACTGGTTGACCCGCGGCGAACTGCTGGCCGATGCCGAGCCAGCGAAGTACGCGGGCGGAGGGTGAATGGCTCGAGGCCTCTTGGACCGGCGCATTGAACCTCTTCGTGAAGCAGTGGAAGGTCCGGCAGACTCTTCCTCCCAGTTACCAGTGCCATCATCGACTTCGTCTTCTTGAGCGTCACTCATGACGACGACCTCCTTGCCGAGCGCCTTCTTGCCCTCCTCGATGAGCTGGCTGATCTTTCCACCAATCCAGTCCATCTGAGGAACGTCAGTATCAACGTAGCATGGATATCAGAGGCTATTCACCTCTTCATCGACGTCGAGCTCCACGTCAGGGGTAGGTAGCTCCGCCTGCTGACTGAAATCGAAGCGAGGCTCCGGATGCCATGCCGGCGAGGCACTTCGGGTAGAGGTCTGAATGCGAGGGCGGGTAGGCGTGCGGCGGTGGCGGGTTGCGGCACGGCGGCTCCCAGCTGGGCGAGATCTTCGGTTGTGTTGGGGGGTGGATGGCGTGACTTGCACGGCAGGAGGCTCGGGGGACTATCATCGTCATAAGAAGGATGCTATCTCTAACAGCCATTGGTCGTACCTTTGCAGACTGAACAGGGACCCAGTCCCTTTCTTGATAAGGCGGGGGTGGTGGCAGCTGCTCGGGCTCCTTGCCTCGGTCTCTCCAACTGTCGTGTGGAGTTAGCACGCGAGCGGCAGCAACTTCGACGATAGACTCACAGGCGATAGACGGTGAGACCGACCGCCGTGCCTATTAAGGCCGCGCTCAACGCAGTTGATACAATAGAGCCGGCGAGCGTTCGACGCCGCTTGGCGGGGGGTAACTCTACTCGTATATCGATAAAGACAGTAATGAGGCGATTGAACATGGAGGGGTGTAGAACAGATGGACAGAGAGGATCAGGTCTTAAATGGGACACAGCCGTATGCACGTGTTGGGGGCATGTACAACAGGTGCCAACGAAGATCCGAGGGTTCAGGGCATGTGAAGGAGAGGGAAACACACCTGCGACCATGTCCTCGACCTCAGTCTCCTCGTCCCTCGACGGCGCCATGTCCCTGTACTTGGCTGGGGTGTCGAGGTACCCGCTGGTGGAGGTTTGATCGGTAGTTGCTTGACTAGGCTCAGCGAGGGCTGGCTCCCACCCGCGTTTGCGGTTTAAAGGCAATGTCTTAGTCGATGCAGAAGGAGAGGGCAGTCGGCGTTGACGAGGACCGACATCCCGTCGAGACAGTGTCTGCCTGCCACTGTCAGGACACCTCGGAGGCGAAACTTGCCGCTTTGCCGCCGCGAACGGGTTCGGTATCTCGGGCACGGTAAAGCTGAAAGTAAAACTGAAAACCATCTCGAACCGTAGAGTTAGAGGTATGACCACCAGAGCAACGAGGAGTACGATGCGTGAAAAGCTGAGCAGCCAGGCTATGGCCAGGCAGCAAGCTGCGAGCACCGATCGGATGCACGCGCGCGAAGCGGCCATGCACAAGAGGAATTGAGCATAACAAGTGTAAACAATGGCACCCACACCATGATAAAGTTCCTCCTGCACCCGGATGCAATGGGAGATTAGGGGGAACCTTGTTCCTAGAGCGCGAAAATAGAACCGTCGCATCATGCAAAAGCAGAGGGGTGTCCAAGCGAAGTCGGTGGGATGTCCAGGTAGTTATGGACTGGTCAGAAACTGGACCACATCCGATGTGAGATCCCGCGCAACCCTCACTGTACGGGAGAATCTAGGTCGTGGTGTGAATGAATGTGAGCGCAGTAGATGGCCGATTTGATTCAAAGGAGGGAGTGCAGCCAACTCGAATCTCGATACTCAAGCAAACATGCACTAGTACTGATGTGGCTCAGGCAGTAAGGCAAGAAGGAGGCGACCAGATGACATGTTCAATTTGTGTTCAAGGTGGGCGGACGAAAAATGGAATTGAACAAGTCGATCGCTTCTGCCCAGAGGTAGTTCTAAGACCAAGGAACTGTGGAATGTCCGCCCATGACAGAAACAGCCGCTCTGTGCGGTCGACTGCTTTAGCATAAGTGGAAGGTCAAAACGCAAGGAAGTTCTCCTAATGATCCTGTACCCTATTGGTCCGCAGAGACCTAACAATCCTTGCAATGTCCATCATGAATAATCGCAGGCTTAGAACAATTATAACTCACAGTGACTCCAAAACGCTGGCTGGTATTATTACTGGTAGTAGGTTACCAGCTATGCTAGCTGCGTGGGACAGTCCCGGTTGCTTATGAAGACAAAAGTGCACTGCTACACCAGTCACGGATGCTCTAGGAGGGGATAGCACACAGGACGCGTCGGTAAATTGAACGCGTTTGTGGCAGGCCACGTGACTGTGATGTGCGTGACACACTGGTCACTTGTGTCGTGCTGCATGCTTAAAACGAGGCATCGCTCAAAACTCCTCTCGCCATCGAGAGCTATACTGATACCGTTCTCTATAGCGCGTATGTAATTTAATTCAGATGATCCTTGATCCGCATGTAGTCTCCACAAATAGTCTGGGAACCAAGACCGCAACCTACATGACCCTCGACGCGAACTTACTCCGCCGTCGAATCGCAGGTCCATATAAGAATAGGATCTACAAAGAAAGAAGATGGACATAAATCTGGTGCTTCCAGAGACAGAGATATGATCTCGTACCAATGGGATCGGGATCATGAGCACAGCGATCAGCGCCAATAGCGTGCTCGACCATTTGTATGTCAGCCGTGCATACATTTGCTGGCTAAATAATGGGAAAGCCATGCCCATGAGATTACCTAGATGATACGGAGATAAGCACCCGCACGACAAGAATGTGTAGCAGAGATAGAACGCACGGCACAAGCTCTGTCCTGCTAAGGCAGACGAAGCAAACGGTCCGTAACTAACAAGAATTCAGCCCGGAGTTATAGTCCTATGTGATAAAAATCATACCAATCTGCCAGGTAGGAAAACACGGCAAGATACATGATGAAAAGAGCCCACATGAAGACCTAAACAAGAATGTCAGCTTCGTGCAAACCTTCAACCTCAACATTCCTGAAGCTGCATACCACAATGCCGATTGCCAACCCTATCCAGTACACGAAGGAAAAGGAAGACCATGCATAAATGAACAGTCCAACCGGGAAGAGTACGGCCGCGGCGCACGCGCAGTAAAGACGAGCTTCCGGGCCTCTTTGCGAGACGTACTTCCTGAGCGCTGTCAGTCATGGTAGGAAAGACGAGCCGGCCGAGTACATACTGATACAGCCGCTCCTGGTACACGTTGGTCAAGAAACCCAGCAGGGTACCAATTCTGCCCAGACATGAAACGTGAGATTCGCATCTGGAGCACCGGGACCTACCTACGGCATAGTAAGGAAGATTAATCCAACTTGGCCGGAGTTGAAGTGGTGTAGAGTCTTAAATATGGGGGAGATGGACCTGTATTTTTTTTTAGCTGCGGGCATTGGATACCAGCGACTCAGTAACGTACTCGATCATGCCGTAGAAAATGCCCCATGCAAAGCCGATCCATAGCTATGGCCGAATGAGCCAGAGTACAAGTGCTTGGAAGACGTCAACTCACGCTGAAGCTAAAGACGGCAGGCTCCGTGATTAACAGATCTGAAAGAGTTCTTATAAATTCAATCCGGACATAACTTAACCATAGCTAAAGCTTACGCAGCGGTCGTGTGCACGAGATTAAAATGAGAGTGCGCAGGCTCCCTCTCTCATCCTCCGCCCTAGCACGGTACCGGTGATTACCGGTCTCCTTGCGCAATTTCCTTGCCAGCCGTGTCAATAACACAGCTGAACGCGTCTCCTTCATGAGAATGGGTATCATGACTACATATATACCCGTGATGCTGTAGGATCATTCTGATCAGCGTCCTCGAGTGAATTGAAACGGAAGCGGCACAAACATCAGATGTACCCATTGAATCCACCGCCATCCAAGCCGGTGGTTCATTTCGATCCAACCAGAGGCAGCAGGGCCGAGACCCGAGGCGCCTATCGCGGCCACTGCGAAAAAGGACATGGGCAGACCCCGTCTGGTAGGTATGCCCGGTCAGCACCGATATTAACTGACATGTCGCGGGAGGAGCTCCACGCACTCGTATGGAAGCCAGATATCGGCAATGGTCCCACCCACCATGGTGGCTCCTGTTGAGCCGAACGCGCCCGCCAGCAACCGGGCGACTATGACGGTTTGTATATTCTTCGACCTGGAGACGAATCAGTTTATTCGCTTGTTGAAGTGCGAGCTGCCGTGAATGAAACTTACAATGCAACCATTAGATGCATGAGAGCAAAGCCGATGGCAGAGCCTATGTACAGAGGCTGCCGTCCGAATTCTTCACTGAAGGAGGCTGTCACAAGAGGTATTATGCCAAATCCCAATGCGTAGACAGATAATCCAATGGACGCCTGGAACGTAGTGCAGTTCAGGTCGCGCATCATGGACGGGAATCCGGTGTTATACGTTGAAGCAGCAGCCGCTAAGCAGGACAGATACGACGTCGGCCATGTTTCAACCATAAATATTCGCATAATTGGATAGTACCTGAAAGACCCGTGAAAAAGCAAGCGCAGAGGGTGAGCACCCATTTTCTGGTACGCGAGAAGTTAATGGGATTCCGCGGGTCGCCTTTCTCAAAGTCGACCTGCCTCAAGGGTGAGCCTTCATCCGGCTGTAGAAAGTGCGGGGTAAATCACGTATATGTGTTCCGCCTCCTCAGGGGCATGCTTCTCAATATCCCCATGGTGGTGATGGTGGTCCCGATGGTGAACCAATTCGCTGAGTTGACGCGACAGACTCTCGTCCACTTCCTCGTCGTCCGGGATATCTTCGGGGCGGATCCTGGGGTCAACGGCGTCCGCTACCTCCTCCGCGCTCTTCACGGCGAGTCCTTCGTTGTAGAAGGCCTCTTCGCGCGGGTCGCTCCTCAACGTGCTGGCCGGAGACACAGTCATAGCAGAAGGGGAGGGGAACAGAGTCACGATCGGGAGTAGCGCATTTGATTATTATAAGCCCCCGCTTGACCGTGACTCCATTGCGACATGAAGAGAGCGGTGACTGGGGAAAGTGCTAACGAGCGGCAGCCCGCGGCACAGCGGCACGGCAAGCCTGCGGGACCTGCATCAACCAAGGAGAACGCTCGGAATCAGTCTCCCGGGCTCACGGCTTCGCAAGGCATGCCAAAGATGGGCGGAGTTTCCTGGCGATTGCTGCTTCTTGATTCGACGGCATCGGGTTGGCCAGCTGGACCCACCCAATTACCTTTCGTGTGATGCCATGCTGGAATGGGTCTGCACCCATAAAATACATGCAAACGATAGACCTGGGCACGCATGGTCACTGGCTACTGCTAGCTGAAGATGATTCTGACCAGGTTAGGCAAGGGTTGTTCCACTGATACCCAGCTGCGGCGTTGAGGGGACAATCAGAGACTCGGCGGTATCAGCTACAGATGCAAACGCGGCAGATCCGAACGAAATCCGAATAGGAATGAATGTCACATATCGATCTGAAACTGTTAATCATGCTACTTCTGCAGCTGGAAAACTTGAGGCTAGCAGTCTCTTCAATTGCCTGCCAGCACGCGGTCCTACAGATTTCCTGGTGTCATAAGCCTCGGAAGATAGGTGGAAAACCTTAGTGATTGATCAATGCACAGCTTGGATAGATGGTCTAATTACCTTCCTGGACCACAAGCCAAGGCAGCTTACCTCCATAAGATTCCGACCGACTACCGATGCGTCATCTAGAGGGACTTATCGTGAGACGCCCAGTCCTCGAAAGCAATATTTCCGTAACAGCCAAGTTCCTGCTGTCGTAATCCACACAGTCCTTCAGTAAAGTGATCCTCATCCCTCTTGCGGCCAGATAGCGAGACCGAATGTCGAGTTGGACTTGGAGAAAAGGATAGACATGAAAACCGTTGACTTATAATCAACCTCTTCTTAAGCACGAGCCTCTGAAGGCCATTCCAATCAGAGGCCAGCAGCTGCCTTTGCGGTTCACTTTGCTACCGCCGTCTCTGATCGGACCTTCAGCAGCAGACATCTGTGGCAGACGGACTAGGTTCAAGTAACCGGTATATGAAAGCTGTGCGGGACACGTTCGGCGTGGGACCGATCGGAACGATCGACTGATGGGTGGCGTCGAGAGCAACTACCTAACCGTTTCTTGAATAATAAACCCCCTCGTGCCCTGGCCAACCATTTGCTAACAACTCTTGAGACTCAGAATCAGATGCGCAAAGTCGTAACAGAGTCTGACGATGATTGGGAGGAATGCGATGACGAGAATCCCTCAATTATGAAGATACGCGACCCGTTATGCCCCGCCGAAAGCAAAACATTGACCACGAAAGAGCTGCACAGTGAGCAGAACGATTCCCCCCCAAATGTTACAGTCTTTTGACTGCAACCGCAGCTCTGATACATGAGGGACACATTGACTTGTGTCCCGCTTATCAAAGAGGTTGGTACTAAGGACCCTCTCCCCGTCTATCGTCCGGTAATTGGGGTGAAAGACGTGGTATGGCCGGAGAATAAGCAGATCCGCCTCATCGACTCGATATTCCGTAACTTCTACATACCTCCAATCGTCTTCACCGTTTCGAAGGACCAGGACGGCGAGGACGTCTGCACTTGCGTCGATGGTAAACAGCGCCTAACGTCTATCCAGAAGTTCATTGACGGTCAGGTGAATCACGCCGCTTGCCCCTCGTTAACGGATATACTCATGCAGTACAGATACCACACCGGGATCCTGTGACGGGCAAGAGTTTCTGGTACACTATCCCTGAGAGTCTGCGCTCGTCGCGGCTCGAGGTGCCTGCCCACTACAAACGTCTCTTTGAATCGAAGCCAATCGCATGCGGTGAGTGAGACATTAGACTCCGGCTTTCTGACTGTGGTACGACCATACGCAGCGGAGTATCATAATCTTCAGCCAACGACTGAACGTGAAATCTTCCAGAGGGTGCAGCTGGGCATGGCACTCACAGTAGCGGGTGAGGCAATCCCAGCCGCCGGCATATCCACGCAGAATTTCTGAAGCCCACTGTTTGCTGCAGAAAAGATGCAGGCCATCTCCTCCCCACGGGCGACATGGATCGCCGATATGCAAGAAAAGTGGGTCCTGGACGACCACAACGGCCTGGCGGACATCCTCGACTGGGACACCAAGCGCGGGCGCATCTTCCAGAACCTCGCGCAGCTCATCTTCCTCTGCGAAAACTGGCCCACGCAGTCTGTGCCGTCCTCGAAGAAGATCGAGGTCTGGCTAGACGGCGGCGACCCAGTACGCGAGGAATTCAAGCAGCGTATCGAGAAAACGATGGAGACAATGGTGCACATTGCGAGTCATAAGTCACTAGCTAAGGGCTTCAGGCAGCTGAAGGAACGTGTAGCGCCTATTGAGTTCGTTTTCATCGGTGAGCAATTACCCCCGTAACACCCGTAGCTCCTACAAACCCGTGATATCATCTGCAGGAGTGATGCTCTTCCTCATCCCTCATGCATCGCCCGAGCAAACCGCTGATAACATATACGATTTGCGAACGTTCCTCCGCAGGAAGTTCCAGGACGTGAGGAACAACGCTCCGATAGTCAAAGCTCTATGGAATTGGATTGACCAGAAAATGGCCGAAGACGACGATGAAGTGCAAATCGTCGAGGACTCACTCTTGCCATCGGGTCGGCCCCGGAGGTCGGCCGCCGGAAGAAAGAGGAAATCTCTGGTCGAGTCTGACGAGGGGATGGATGAGGAGGACAGTGACTTTACCAGCAGTAAAGCAAAGCATACGAAAACATCCAAGAGGGTCGCCGCTGGCGGCCAGAAAGGTCGCCTAGGTAGGAAATGAGGGGTATTCACTGTTGGGCTGTCTAACTGTTGTCGAGCTGTGTACCGGATCTGTCTTGCATGTACATTAGTAGTCTGCTGTGAACTGTAATAGCTTTGTCATCTTGAATAGCATGTCTTGTTGTTTTTGTTATTTGGTATGTCCAAACGACGCCGTCGCACCGCTCGAATATACGCACTCCAAAGAGACGAGGATCGCACGAAGTTCGCCGACATGCTATGCTGGCTGAACAGGGAGATAATAATGATAATGATCGCCAAGTTGACATCCATACCGAAGTCAACCCTTGATCGCACTATGACACCGATCCATCTCCGACACCATTTGTTTGGCCTCTCTCCACTTTCCGTCGCCACTCCGCCAACATCTCCACGCTGATCATCTTCAGCCCCCATCGGTCCGCGAAGCGCCTGCAGTCGTCTCGCCGGGCCATACTTCCCTCGTCGTTGTCATTCACCAGCTCGCAGAGCAATCCCGCCTCCGGGAGGCCCGTCAACCTGCACAAGTCCACGCTCGCTTCCGTATGTCCTTTCCGGGTCAGCACGCCACCCTCCCGCGCGCGTAACGGGACGAGGTGGCCGGGCCGAGTGAAGTCGGTGGGCGCAGATTGCGGTGAGGCGAGCGCCCGCGCGGTCAAGGCACGGTCGTGCGCGGAAATCCCTGTTGTGGTGCCGTACTTGTAGTCGACCGTGACTGTATACGCCGTCCGATGGCGTTCTTCATTCTGCGGGACCATCATCGGGATGTCGAGCTCTTCCAGGCGCTTGCCAGGCATAGCTATACAAATGTACCCACTGAAGTTCTGTGAGCTGTAGTACGGTACACGCTGGAGGCAAAGGCACAGACCTCGTATGCTTGATCATCCATGCCATCTTCTGCGTGGTGCATTCGCTTGCGGCAATGATCAGATCACCCTCGTTCTCCCTGTTTTCGTCGTCCATCACGACGAGGAATTCGCCCCGACGAAAGGCCGCGAGCGCTTCTTCCATCGAATCAAACGCAAACTCTGTCCTTTCCGGGACGCCTTGCACTTCCACGGGTCTGCCATGCCTCTTGCCGTCTGCAGTAGGCCCGGAGGATGAAGCGGAAGCCATGTTCCGAGATTCCTTCGGATGTCCGTTGGGAATGGATGCTGAAGAGGATCGATCGACTGCTGCCGGCGCCATAGAGAGTATGAAACAAAGTAGTTGCCTCAGCCCGTGCTCGACTTTTAATGGTGATTTGAGGCCTCGATGGCCTGAGTAAAGGCTTAGTCCGCTCAGATGACAGAACCGATGCGTTGCACGTGAGATACCGTATCGAGCGTTCCCGCACACAGGCCGTTTATGAGCAATTCATTGCGAGTCCCACCAGAGTATAGAGCACAGCGACGAATATAACAGCTTGCAGACCTCCGTTGCCGTCGTGCGCGTCGAGCAGAGCCCCCTGCTCGCTGGAACGGTCAAAGAACGGTCATAGCTGCCGAATGACGCATGTGGGTCGGCACAGGCCGGGAGAGAGTGGGAAGGACTGCCGACCCGCGCCGGTATTTTTCTGCAGCTCTGACAACGCATCCATCGTTCTCAGCATTCGCCCCCTCCTCCTGGTCGAGCCCTTGCGCCGCCTCTCTAGACTTACCTACATTAATTCGTAATGACGACGCCATACAGCGGAAAGTGGGACGCCAGGTGAGTTGCCTTCGCTGTCGAGCGCGCTGTCGCGCCAGCGGAGATAGGGAAGGCGTGTGTTTTGGACAGTGCTGATAGTGCGCGTTGTGCAGATACCTGGGCCCCGTCCCCCACGATGTCTCGTACTACTCGAAGTGTATGCTCGGCGGTGCCCTGGCCTGCGGTTTCACGCACGCCGGCATCACCCCTCTCGACGTCACAAAATGTAACATGCAGGTGAGTCTTTGTGGTGATAGACGCGTTCTTTGAAATCAGCTGAACACACTTGTACCTAGGTCAACCCCGGCAAATACAAGGGTCTGGTATCCGGTATATCGCTCATCATGAAGGAGGAGGGCTCCTCTGCCATTTGGAAAGGCTTCGGCCCGACCTTCGTCGGCTACTCGCTGCAGGGCATGTTCAAGTACGGTCTGTATGAGGTCTTCAAGGATCTCTACATGAACTTGGCAGGCGAGGAGGCGTCGGAGAAGTACAAGCCCGCCATCTGGCTGGCCGGCTCTGCCTCTGCTGAGGTCTTCGCCGACGTCGCCCTTTGCCCTCTGGAGATGACCAAGGTCAAGATCCAGACGAGTGCCCCCGGCACTTTCCCCATCCCCATGGGTGCTGCTCTCGCTGAGATGAGCAAGCTCAAGGCTGAGACCCGCTATCCCTTCGGTTCGCTCGTTCCCCTGTGGTCCCGTCAGGTACACAGTCTATGATTGCTGCAACGGCTCGAGCTTACGATTTGCTGTAGATCCCGTACACCATGGCCAAGTTCTTCTTCTTTGAGGGTATCGTCAAGATGTTCTATACGCACGTCTTCACTGCTCCCAAGGAGACCTACTCCAAGGGCACGCAGCTCGGTGTCACATTTGCTTCCGGTTACCTGGCTGGTGTCATCTGCGCTATCGTCTCGCACCCCGCTGACACGCTCGTCTCGCTTATGGGCAAGCCGGGCAACAGGGGCAAGAGCGTCGGTCAGATTGCGTCAGAAACCGGTATTGTCACCCTCGCCACGAAGGGTCTTGGTACCCGTATTGTCATGATCGGTGTGTGGTCCTCATGTGTGCTATCGTGACCCCTGCTGATGCTTGCTGAAGGTACCCTCACTGGCTTCCAATGGTGGATCTACGACACCTTCAAGAGCACGATGGGTCTGGGCACGACTGGTGGCAAGTAAACGTATCAAAACTCCAACCGTATTATATAGAGGTGAGGCGTTCGTTGTTGATGCTCAAGGAAGAGATCCTGACTGTCTTTAGGGTGGTGGATATGCGAGCGGACGATTATACAATCGACTTGTTTTAGTTACGGTCTCTTACTTAGTCTTCCTGTTATTTCCTGCGTTGCGGCGCATCTCCGTTCACGCTTCAAATAGAAAGGATTCCCGCATCTTCTCATTGTCCCTGATCAAGTGACGCTGGCTATGGTGACTCGTAACGTTATATTTGCCGTCGGTATCCGCGCAGCTCCCGATGGGGTCGCAATGCGGGCACACAAGTGTCCAACTCGGGCTTTAGCAGTGTTTAGGCTTAGCGCGGCACTTGTGAATTGATGATTGATCACGCAGGTCTTCCTTCTGGGGACGATAGGGCCCTTGATATTAGGATTCGTTGTTGACCGCTGTGTGACCATTCGTTTCACTGAGCCGCCCACTGCCCGTGCCCAGCAGCGAACGTCGTGTGGACGAGGTCGACCGACTCGTCTGAATTCGTTATGCCCAAAGTACCGTCGGAAGGGGCGGTGACGAAAGAGAACCCAAATGTGCTGAAGAGAAACCAAGTGCGCCCGAGTCCAGTCCCCGACCCTCCCTGTGCGTTACACAACGTTAACACTGACGGGGTTTCCCTGTGTAGGCGTGTCATCAGTGTCGGCGACGGAAACTGGTGAGCTGCGTGCCTCGGATGCGCGTTTTGGCTGATTGACCGATGCCCGATCCTAGAAATGGTGGGTGGTGATTATAGACGCTGCTGCCCGAAAGCCCGAGGTTAAACCTTTTGCTGACCGGCGCGCCTTGCTTTCGGTTCTGTGGGTGGTTGGGGATGTAGTGATGCGAAGAGGCCGGCGTGTTCGACGTGTGTGAGATCGCATGCGCATGCAGTGAGCCATGCACCGGCGGGGGTGGAGGTCCCAGCGGTACCCGAGTGCTCCTACGACGAGAGTGAGTGTTAGTACTGTCTATATTGGTTATGTGGGTGCTGACGGCGACGTTGATATCGGGATGTATGGTGGCTTTGATAGTACCTGAGGCATCGAGTTCATCGTCGGATGGCCCGAAGAGTCGATATGAGAGGCTGGAAAATAGAATCAGTGGGTGATGTGTTACTAATAGCTGATCCGTGGTTAAAGGTCGTATGCCATTACAGATGAACTGGAAGCCCTGCTTCGCCAGAAGGACCAGGCAGAAGCCCTCGGTAACGGCGGCCCACCTCCTGCATCGTTCTTCCCCGCCCCAGGTCCAGGCCACCACTACCGCCAGTCTACCTCAAGCTCCGAGGCGTCTGACTGGGTCGGCCCCCGCCAGCCTATGCCAGGCCCAAGCATGGGGTTCGCTGACTACAGCTTCGCCGCCCAAGCATACCCCACTCCTGATGCAGTGGGGTACCAGACACATATACCGTCCCCCTTCGAAGCGCGGATCGACTCGGTGTCGCCGACGGGATTCGGGGCGTCGTCGACGAACAGCCCGGCTACTGGAAGTGGTAGTGATGGCCTTGTATGGTCCTCATGGTCGCCGAAGCTTCCAAAGCCAGAACTAGTACGACATCTGTAGGGAGCATGTGGTTTCCTTGCGCCAAAATGGGGGCTAACTTCGTGCTTAGGGTCGATGCATTCTTTTCTTTCCATCCGAACGCAAGTCGGCTGTTCCACGCGCCTACGTTCATGTCCGCGCTTTCATTGCCGCCTGGCCATGCCAAGTTTCCGAATCCTGCTATTCTACATGCTATCTGTGCACTCGCTAGTCTGTACACGGCAGCAGTAACTTCACCTCCTCGATTGAATCCAGAAGAGCCACCAGGTACGCCGTGATGCTATGCTGATGCAACTTCTTTTCAGAGAAGATTTGAATGTCTGCGTTGTAGATGAACTATTCCGACGGCGGCATAAACCGAAACAAGGTCGTGTAGATACGTTCGCTGATACGCAGGCAGATTTTGCAAGAGATTCCTGTGACGAGCAGTGGAGCATGGGCGAAAATCTCTTTGAGGTGCTGCAAGGTACTGGCGTTTTCTATGCTAATACTTTATTCATCTGACACCACACGTGAGCCCGAGTTATTCTGACATACTTCTACTTGGCTCATGCTCGGTAATTATTGTCTCGTACATCTTTCTCATGTAGTTCACTGACGCACCCCACAGATGGAGTGAAGTGAACATCAACCCGCTTTCTATCTTGGAGCCACAGCTCACTATAATATGCGTTTCCTCCGTAGGTATACCTAGCCGCCTCAACCATAATGCGAATATCAGTGGCATGCGGACTCAATTGTTGCGCGCCATTCCACACGATCGCTAACTCTACAAGACCACTGTCCTTGTTGCCCCGCGCAGAAACCACAGTTGAGGATGAAACACGTCGGAATACGTTCTGGTTGGCGTACTGCGCCGAGCGGCTGCACGGGTGCGGGAACGGATGGGCTTTGTGTCTCGACGATATGGACGTGACGCAGCTACTTCCCGTTCGCGGCGACCAATTCATCCAGGGTGTAAGTTGATTACATGCTGGGATATCCGTGCATTCTCACATAGCTCCCCAAATGAATCGATAGTCGCTCGTCGCCACTCAGCATCGACAATGGGCGCACAGCAAAGACTTGTTCCACAACCATCCAGATGACCACACGGACTCGTTTACACTCTACGTTAAAGCTGTCATGTTACTCTCCAGAGTGAAGAACTTCAACTTACGGTTCCGGACGCGGCAGTTCTCCGGGGACCCAGCCACCATGCCTACAAAGCCGTCAGATCCAAGGCACCCCGACGACCCGCGCACGACAGCCGCGTTCATGGAAATCGACGATTTCATCTCCTCCTTCAGGGCGTCATTCCCCCGACATTTAAATAATCCCATCGACGGGGACGGCACCGTCGACTGGCATTTATATACAGCGTGCTTGGTACCGCACGTGTAAGCTCACTCAATTGCTCTAAGGCAAGGGACCTAGAGCTATTCCTAATGCTGCCACAGGGCCTCCATCCTACTTCACGAGCCGCACGCCGATCTCGAGCATGGGGGTTGCGCGTCCTCATGTCGTATCCTAGAAGCTTCCCGCGCTATCTTAGACTTGGTGTATGCTCTCACCTCTACCAGTTATGATATCTCACTCTTGGATAATTTCTCTACGGTGCGTTGCGATTTCAGTCTCCTACGTCTGTCCGTTGAGTTGCCCTCAGTTTGCTTGGTTCCTGGCTGGCCGCATCCTGGTTCGTTTTCTCGAGGCGGCCCAGCTGGCGAATGGACGAGATCAGATACCTACTTTAGTGAACGAAATCACGTACATCAGGTAGGAGGCGAGATGGACTATGTTTCACGTCTGCTAATGCCCCTAAAGGGTCGCGATCGCGAAAATGGGAGAACGGGTCCCGCTTGCCTGTGAGTTCAGCAATGAATAATGACCTTGTAAATGTCTAAGCAGGATTCATAGATCGCTACGGCAAGATGCTGAACGACTTCCTCGTCCAAAAATGTGGCGAGGCCCATGCGCCACCTGTGTCCGCCTTGGCTCCGCGCTGGCCCATAGCGCCGGTTCCGACTCCTGTCACTTCGTATTATGAAGCAGCTGAGGGCGGTATGCACTTTGATTCAATTGCGTGTGGGAGGATGGGGATGCCGCCTTCGCAGTCATATCCGCATAATCCGTAAGCTCTCATAGGTGATTTTTTTGCCTTACAGATACATCGATATACGTGTAGCGGCGGGGTTCATAGGCTGTCTTTTCTGTAGCGATAGTAGCAGCGGGGCTATACCCGGTGTTTTCTTGTATATGTAGTTTATGACTCCTGTACGAGATTACCACGCATGTGCATGAGGAGCAAAGAACGGGTTGTTTATTAGCCTGAGCACTCTTCACATAGGTATCAAATGATGTACTGGTTGCACGGACCGATCACTTAGATTCATATTCGAACCATGCGCACTCGGGACCGAGTCCTTCCGCCAAAAACATTGTATTGTGGCAATACTGCTGACATTCGGTATGCGAGTCAAGCATGGATCGACTGCCTCCCTTGCAGCGTTCCGCGAGATGCAATCGAGGGGACACGTTGTCCTACCATGTCAAACTGCAGCACGGCTTTGAGAACATGGGCCAGTCATACAAACTCATCCTCCATCAGGCGCTCGTGAGTCTCTTCTTCGGTCTCGCAGATGATAACTCTGGGTTCTAGCTTCCCGTGATCCACGGGGTTCACTCCAGAGTCTGGTCCTGGGTAACCAGTGGGCCCTGACGCGCCATCCGGGGCGGGCTTCACACTCTGCTCGTCCTTGAGCTCCGTGAAGCCTCCAGGAAACTGATACGCCTGGAATCGTTTCCCTTGAATTCCTCCATGGCCCCCTCGTCCTCCTTCGCCTCCAGGACCTCCTTTGCCTTGTGCTCCGAACTGCACTCCGTCATTGTTCAACAAAGCCACAGACACTGTAAAACAATGGCCGGTGGTGTTACTCTGTAGCCAGTCCGGAACCTTGGTCTTTGTCGCAATTATTTGAGAGACGGGGAATGTCGACGGTCGTCCTCCGCTACCACCTGTACCCCCCGTGCCTCCCGTGCCTCCCGCTGTTGCTCGAGCACCGCCAATAACAGAATAGGAATAACCTGTCATTCCAGACCAGGGGTCAAAATTGGTATCAACAACACACTTGTCGCTGGTGCCGTTCACACCATCGGCGCCAGCTTGACCATGAGCACCTTTCTCTCCTGTGCCACCAACCCCACCTCGATATTGGATTTCAAGATGGAGCCTGAGCTGCTCAGGCTCGCCGCTTTTGTAGACACTTTTGTCGGCGATTTGAACGAGCCAATTTCCTGTGACACGTATATCCACGAAACCGCCCATGTACCCGTCATTTCCTGCCATGGCCTGCCCGCCCATATCTGCGTAGCCACCCCATGGATCTCCTGATCGCACATCGAAGAGGACAACGGGAAATGCTTCAGGTGTGCTTGCTGCTGCCGTGGTTGCATATAGCTCAATGTCTTCGCATTGGAGCAGGACCTGTATCGGGACATCACTTTCGCATTTGACGGTGAGAGGACAATTTCGCATGATCAGCTTGCGCGCGAGGACGCGATATTTGACGATTTGCTGCCACTCGTCTCTAATGGCGAACAGTGCAAGCGGGTCATGCTCAGCGCCATCGAGAGTGATTGTGTCAGTCACAATGGGCGGAGCAGAGTTGTCCCTAGGAACTTTGGGGGCGTCCGTCGACTTCGAAGGTCCATTCATGAAAGCAAAGTAAGATTCAATGTCGTGATAAATGGCAATATCCTCAGAAACTCCGGGTATGGGACGTGGATTAGGCAGCTGTGAAAGAACATTGGGACCAATGCCGACTATCAAGAGATCTTCGTCTGATGCCAAGTCTGCAGTTGCATAGGCTTTCTTATACCCCTGGGCCTTGTACAGGTTCACAACCCTTTCGACGGAGTGACCGTACGAGTTCCCTTTCCCAAAGGAAAAGTACACAGCTGGATCCCCTGCACTTCCGACAGACCGAGGAATAGAGTCACCGAGACCTCCATACTTGACCTTCAGTGATGCCTCGCTGCCATGATGGGTTGCGATGACATAGTAGAGCTTGCCATCGAGCTCGGAGATATTGTGAATGTACTCGTAGTTTGCGTCACCAGGATAGAGTAGCGGACGATCGTCATCCTGCAGTCCGACTACCAATGCCAGTGCGCCAGAATTATTCTTGTCGTCCTTATCAGTTGACTGGCATCTGAGTATCCGCCAGTTTCCTCCGGCTGGGCCGTATTCATCGGTGGTGCACCATTCTAACAGCCCTTGAGCATGTATTGAGCAAGCCAGTTCGAAAGCTTTCGCTGTCAACGGTTGATCGGGGACAACCCAATGGCGTAGTGTAGGACATAGGCCGGTGCCACGAACGAGCTTGGCCCGTCCAGAGTCAGCAATCCGATAATGGTCGCGATCCCAATGGGATAAGATCACCGGCATATCCTGGGTCTGTCGAAGGAAGTGATCAATCATGTCGGTGAAGTCACGATCTCCTTTGCCGAAGCCATAGTCGGATATGATACCCCATTTCTCCTTAGTCGAACCGATCCAGCCCGCGGCTGCTACAGCCCACATGTTAGGCACGGTCAGAAGTATCCTAGCCTGGACGGACACACCTTGCCCCACATTTGCCATGGCATAATGATCTGCCACTTTGTACTGACTAAGAGATATTGACTTCTTTGAAATGACGTCCGACAGACGGAAGAAGTTGGTGATATTATGACGGATAGCCTGACATCGCTCGAACAAAATTTGCAGCTTGTCCAAAGCTGTCTTAGGGACGTCAAGCGTAATCTTCGCCATGTCCACAGTTGCTTTGAAGCCGTTGTCAGTCTTTCCAAAGTTAGACAGGGCTCCACCAGTAAATGAGGCATAAGGGGATGTTACTTCGACCCAGCAAAGACCATTATCGAAGCTACCTTCAGGCGGAAGGACAGGCGCGTATGTTGCAGGAGTTGCAGCTTTCATGTCCAGCTCGAGGTTAACCCAGGTGCCGGCTTTAATGCCCGAAGGCAAGCTATGACAATAGATCTCGAGGCAGTAAATGCTGGTGGACGCAGCAGGAATGATGTTATCAGCGACAGTAATTCTCTTGATCTTTTGAAGCACTTCGTCGTCACCAAGGAGGTTTTCCTTGACGGCTTCGATACGGACTGCGTAGCCGCGAGGATCTCCGGAACGCCCTTCCAGAGGGATAATCATGGCGACAGAGCCGTAGTAGTAGTCTTTGCGCTTGGCCTTCTGTTCGTCATCCTCGCGTTTCTTGTCTCGCTTCCGGTTTCGCTCCGCCTGCTTCCGCTTTTGTTTCTCCCGAAGATCACGATTAGCTTGATCCCGCTGTTCTTGCTGAGCAGTTTCCTGCGCGATCTTCTCCTTCAGCTGGCGCACAGCCTCTCGGAAAGCTGTCTCATCGGTTTGTAGGACCACACGAAATGAATGGCCGTATCGACTGGACAGGAGGATCAGCTCCATGTATAAGGCCGATCCGATCACTAGCAGCAGGAGGGCGGCAAAGGGAATGATAATGATTCCCTGCAGAGATACGTCGTCTTTGACGATGTGTGCCAGCTTGGATACGGCTAAAAGAGGTTCAGCCAATGTTTCCTCACTCCCCGAGGACGCTACCTCCTCCAGGTTTCGATTGGCCATCCGATCTGATATGAGAAGCAGCCTATCGACAGAGGTAGACGCGGAGGGTGCCAACAATAACGATGCCTTGAATCGTTCAACTGCATCGAATGAGGACTTTGCGATTGCAGGATCCGATATCGACGAAACGTATGCCTCAAGTTTCGTGGTCGCATGTGCTTGAATGGTACTCCGCCATTTATCAGGGTCTAAGCCATTGGTATGGATGTTATCCTTCAATAACTGTATCGGAACATATTCCGGGATATCGGTCCCTTTGGAAAGCAAGGGTTGGTACTCCTGACCGGATAGCTCGGCTTGAAGCTTCCTGTGCTCCTCGTGGATATCGTGCGCATTTTTGCAAGTCGTGTTAAGCATCTCGTGAAGGGAGTCCGCCAAGGCATTCTCGACTGCGTCCCTACTGAGTTCAGGAAAGCTTTGAAAGACATGTTCGATGTCCATGTTGTATTGACCAGCGCTGTATATGAACTTGAGATATATTACTTTGCCTGCGTAGCACCGATGTGTGAGGGTACTGACCGCGATTGATATTCAGGGCTGAAACTTGAGACAGAGGGTAGATTGACAGACGCTCGTTCGTCAGCTTTTCAGGACAGATTTCCAGGAACACAAAAACGTCCCCGGCATGAATGCGGTATAGTACTTCGTTGGTGCCTTGAACTCTGACACTCAGGCTGTCAGGGCTCAGTCATATTCCGTCGCCATTGTTGCTCGCCGCTTGGTATAGCTGCCAGAGGGCGCGCTCCATGCAGTGCAGAGCGGAGACCTCAAGCTTGATATACGAATTCGACCATGCTGAAGGGTACCTGGAGACCATTGTCAGGAGCTTACACTGTACAGCCACTGAGCCAGGAGAGATTAAGCCGCATATGGTCACGTGACACAGTCGCGCACTTGCAAGCCTTGAAGCCACATTGGCTGAGCGAGACCACAAGGTGTGCAAGGTAACTGCGCTAGCGTCTGATTCGTTTTTTCTACAACAGTTTTGTAAAGGTATGTATACCAATCAGGACCTCAATCGATGCACAAAAGGCCTGCAGACCGTGGTTATTACAACCATTCATTCGTTAAATTCAAACTGAGATCATGAATGAATCCATGTACATCATTTCAATGCTCGCTGTTACCAGTCTGAGCCGGATTAGCACTTGGTACTCGCATAGACCTGAGTGGAGAAGCACTGCCAACCCATCGACGTTAGCAGGGGGTAGCGACGACCAGCGGGTACATACGTTGTAGTTGTCGGCATTCTCAGCAGCCTCGTCGGGACTCGATTCGCCAAGGCTCTGGTCATAGTCGCACCCGTAGCCCACTACCACAGTGAATCAGCAGGGAGAAAGAAGCAGGCGAGAAGCGACGCACCGTCCTCCGTGCCGGAAGTAGCATGCGTAAGCTCATGCAGGACCGTCCCGCCGCGGATGTTGCGCGACGCGACGGACGTGCCCGAGCACAGCTGCTCCGTCTCCACCTCGTCGTAGAAGATGTCGCAGAAGTAGATGTCCGTCGTGGACGTGAGCGTGTATGCGATCACGCCGTCGTCGCACGCGTTCGCGACGTCCGCGCAGTTCAGCGTGCGCCCGGAGTCGTCCTCGTTCGCCACGTTCTATCGGGTATAAGCGGGACGGCTTGCGGTGGGGAAGTGGGTACTTACGTCAAGGACGCCGATGACGGTGGAGGTGGGGGTCGTGCCAAAGTACGAGGTGTAAAGGTCGTCTCTGCCGTTGCTCGAGACATAATCCGAGGCTATCGACGCGAGCTCCTGGCCCTCCTGGTAGCTGCAGCGCTATGCTCAGCCCACCGTAGGGTCAAGAAAAGGAGTCCGAAGCCTACCTGGACGAGATGTAGCTCGCCTGGCTGGTATCGTCGCAGCTGACGGTCGCGCGCTTGCGCGGGAGTTCACGCCGCTTGACGTCACCGTTCACCTTCACGGCGAAGGCTTCGCTGCCGATCTGGGCCTTCGCGCGGTCGACGGGCTCGGAGTCGTTCGACCAGATCTGGAAGGTCGTGACGGGCTCGATGGAGTACGAGCCCGTGCCCAGGGACTCCAAGTCGTAGAGGGCGGAGACTGTTGTACGTGAGCGGGTGGAAAGGGGAGCATGAGTTGGGTGAGACTTACTGTCGTGCTCGACCGTGTAGGTCTGGCCGGCGGGGATGGTGATGAAGGCACCATCGCTGACCTTGTTCAGGTCCACGGAGATCTGAGCAAGTGACATCAGTACGTATATCGCACTGCCAGCGATATTTGCCCACCTTTGCCCCGGTGAACTTCGCCTTCTGTCCGTCCTTGGAGATACGGAACGAGCGCGTGGGCAAGTTCCCATCCAAAACCGTACCATACTTCAGGATCTTCACGTCCTCCGCGCCCGCGTTCTTCACGGCAGCAGTGAGCTTCAGTTCGCCGACAGAGTTAACCGACGAGGGCCCCGTGAGCGAGACGGAGAGTGCCTGGGCGCGTTTTGCTGGGCTAGCATAGGCGAGCGCGCCGAGGCCGAGGGTGATCAATGACAGGCAGAGCATGGTGTTCGGAAGGCGGGAGGCGGCTCGGGAACAAAGCTGGGGAGGTCAATGAGTCCTCTGGGGTGTAAGCCTCCTGGGGAGGCCCTTTTATACGTGCTTTGGTCGGATAGTCCCCCAGCATCGTCTGACTCGGTGTTTTGGGGTTCACTGGACTATGCGTGCGAGTTGGAGATAGGAGCTCTTGCATGTGTTATGACGGACACTTATCCCACCAATCATTGGTTCGTTTGACACTTCTTCATGAGCGGTAAACAGGCGACTGTTATCATCACAGCAGTAGAGATAACTTGCCTGATCCGAGGAGGGTTTGTCGTCACCCAAGAACATTTTAGGCTCTGAAGAAGTCCTTCCCTAGGCTTCCAGCATCTGACCCAGAACAAGTGAGAGGTTCGAATGAAACAAGTCCGAGGACCCTCTTTTCGTATCATGTCGTGGTCACCCAGAACAAGTGAGAGGTTCGAATGAAACAAGTCCGAGGACCCTCTTTTCGTATCATGTCGTGGTCCTCGTGCTGAAACCGCGTAGAGGGCCCGTATACCGCCCGCAACAATGCCAAGAGGGCCCGTATATCCGTACTTCGAGCTGCTCAGCCGCGATTTGCTCAGCGCGACGTCCGAAATTTACGATCTTGCATCTCTTCGTTCGTTACGTCGGCGGAAAAAGCTAATTCAGCCTCAACCTCCGCTGTGTCTTGATATCGAGTCCTTATAATGCCAGAAACATGGAACAGGCCTAGGAGAGATCCGATTGCTGTGAAAGCCGGAGCTCATGCTAGCTCATGCCAATGGATGTCACGGTTGCATGAGGACCCCTGAAAATACCGATAGATGCCGGTGCCAGTCCGGACAAAAAAGGCACCTCGGGTGAGGAACGCCGGTCCCAGTCCGGACGTAAATGGGGGGCTCAGCCGGCCAGCCCGGTTTTTTAGTCCGGACACCAACGGCACTGGATGACTTCCCGTAAGCATTTAGAACGCGTTTTGAGCAGTTCTAAATCTCTAAACGCATCAAGCCGAGATGCCGTCTTGTCACGCTCTCGCTTAGACCAAGTTTTGATGAGGCTCGTCGAGCAAAAACCGTCTCTAAACTTTAAATCTAGCAGGGGGGGTCGACCCCCCTTTCCAAATCTCCAGACGACTCTAAACGCTCGCTTAGCCTCGGTTGAGGTCCGCGTATCAAACCTGCCATCAGCACCTGCTAACTTGAGCGATCCGCTCGCCGTAAATGGAAAGCGACCTCATGGTCGTGACTTGCAGTCGTCGAGCGTTGGTCTGGCATTACGGATGGGAGGAACGGTTCTATTTTTCCATTGCACCGTGGCAGCGAGTGTGACCAGGTACGCTGATGGCGTTTAGAACTGCGAAATCTAGGATTTTGGCTTACGGGAAGTCATCCACTCCTTCAGTGAGGGCGGTTGTAGTCCGGACATGGTCAGCAGCCCGTCACTTCGTCCCGACTGGTACATTATCATTACCCCGTATGGTGTTTTGTACCAAATAAGGATAGACATGCATGGAATTATACAGTTTTTAGTATCACGACGGCTTCCGGCGTCCAGTGGCTGGCTGTAAGACGAAAGCCACCATGCTACAGGCCATTGAGTCTGATGGGGAATGTGACGAATTTTAGGGAGGGACATGATCATCTATCTCGAGAACTAACTTTCATAGATGGTTCAGGATGGTGGGCTAGCATACATACACCCTAGTATCTCGTGTCTAGAATGAATTGTGGACTACAATGGGTGATTTTCGCTGTTTCCTAGAGGCCGGGGCCATAGTCCGGACATGAATCCGACCTTGGCCGAGGCCGGTATTTTATCCGGACATAAAGGCGGAGGGCAGCCAAAAAAAGTCCGGACATGACAAAATCGAGTCCCGCACCGGCATCTATCGGTATTTTCAGGGGTCCTAGGAGTCCTCGTCCGCAACACCAAGTCCGTCGCTGTCCGTCATTCCATCTCCAGCCGCGAGCTGCGTCTTCAGCTGTCCCCGTCGTCTCGCACGTTGACCAGCTATGGCGAGCTCATCAAATTCTTCCTCAATGTCTGCCGCTCCTCAGAAGCCCAGGGGTTCCTACGGGTCGAACGTTCTATGGGCTCATCTGCTACGCAAAGACACGTCCTTGATGCCGCAGCCCTCCCTGAGCAGTAATTCTATAGGTCCTATAACACCGACCGACAAGACCGGCACATCTATGCGTATACTCTTACATGATACACAAGCTACCCTGGAGAAATTCTCGGCGCGGGTCGATAAACTGACGTCGGGCGTAGAGGAGACGAAGAGGGAGATGGTGACTATGAAGACGCTGTTCGGCGAGGAGCACGATAAGGTTGTCGAGCACACGGTGTCACTTGGTGAGAGGTGGAGGCCATCAGCGGCTAGTGTACCGCGATTATGACGCGCATATACCGACGTCGGGAGCGTATTGACGGCATTCTCTAGTGAACAGGTGCCAGACGACGTTGCAGTCCTCCATCGGAGCGCCTGCCCAGGCAGTCAAGGTCCAGGAAATTTTAGACGATCTATCTTCGAAAGGGGCGAAGCTCGAATCTCTGGATAAAAAACTTGAGCTACTTCAAATGGTACGCTCATATCCGCTGCTTGCTTCCCTCGTCATTGGTGGCCGCATATGACCGTTTCTCTAGATGGTACAGATGCAAACACAGACGTTGCAATCTATCCAAGAACAACAGGTCAACTTACTAACGTCCATAGTCCCCGTACTCCCCCTCCTCCAAGCTATCCCCGTCCAGCTCGAAGCAGCCAAAGTCGACATCAAGGACGCTATATGCAATATCCCCATGTCTTTGCCTGCTCCCCCTGCAGCTCAACCATTTCGACGTGCAGTGTACCAGTCCTCGAGCCCGTCTCTCGGGTCGCCGTCGCAGACCCAGAGTCAGACGAGGAAACGCACGAGATCCACAATAATCCCAGACGACGGGCAATATAGCAGGTTCTCGTCAAGTCGCGGCACGTCCGGATCTCCTGCTAGGAAGCGGCGGCGTACATCCTCGCCTACCTCACCTGTGCCCCCGAAAAAATCTGGAGGTATCTGCGGACGGTCACTTGATATCGGAGCCCTCTCTCCGCTAACGGATAGAACAAATCGATCCTTTCATAGTCGATCTATTGGGGACCTGGGTGTCGTGCCACGATATCCTACGCCGAAGCAGACGTCCCCTGTGCTAGCAAAGCCCTCTGATTCTGGACTGGAACGCTTTGCAGCTAGCTCAGAAGTGGTCCCTGAATCTCCTAATGCTAGTCAGTCTAGTCATGTCTTTCCGGTCGATAATCTGTGTCTGGCTAGTCATGGACACGCGTCTTCCCCGAAAGCAAGTCCGGGCGTTGCTGCTAAGTCCTCCGCTGTCTATCGCCTGGGTGCTCCCCTCCTAGGACATGGCCAACCCGGCGCTTCTGTGACTCCTTTGTCTAGACGTGTATCTGCCGTTGCATCGTCTTCTATGCTCACCGGCGGGTCCAGATTAATACAGAAGATCCCGCCTCCTCACTTGCCCGCTACTCCCAGTGTCAACAGACGGCCCACGGTGTCACGTTTGGTCCCTCCGACTCCCCTCGGAAGCTCTGGTAGTCGATTGCCTCTTGGATGTTTTGGTCGCTTTGCTCCTCCTGGACTGGCGGAGGGGTCTCCTGCACTGTCTGCTCAGGGTACAAGTACCGAAGCTGGTCGTCCTGCACGGCCGGATGTCAGGAGGTCTCCAGACGTAATCGATTTTGTTACCCCTCAGTTGTCCGGAAGTCCGCCTGGTATCCCTCTGGGAGGCGTCTCTAGTCCTGGTGGGAAATCTCCTCCGTCTTTGTCGTCACTCTCTCCTCTTCCTGGCATTAAGGGCAAAGTTGGCTCTGAAAGTCAGTTCTCTCCTGAGATGCCTCTGTCGCAGGTCGTCAGAGGTCGCCTCTCCTCTGTTCTGGCGACTAGCTCAGTGAAGACAACGATTACGCTCCAGGCCGAGAAGGAAGCGCGGGTGTCTTCGTCTCCTCCGATTTCTGCGCGCCCGCGTACGATCGGGGCGCCCACGGCTGCTGCGCTGTTCGATACTGATCAGGACGTCACTGTCATCTCGCGCGCGCAGGCTGTGGGACAGCCAGTGAATATCTTGGGGACCACTGTGGCGTATGATTCAGGGTCGGTGGGCGGCAAGCCTATGAGCTTGAAGGATAGGATGGCAGCTCCGGTACTCGAGTCTTTCTCTCTTCTTCCCTCTCGTACTGACCATTTAGCAGAAGCTCGAAGGGAAGAGGTTTATACCTGTGGATGACTTAGACGACGATGACGAGAGTTCGTTTGGGTGATGGTGTTGTTCTTCTTGCTCCATGTACGCGGTGTTATCTGTGAACTGTTCCGACTGCGATCTCGTGATGTACGTATACCGTTAGTTAACCACATGATATGCTTCAACGAATGTATACGCCACTGGGATGGCATGCTGCGCACGATTAACTGCCTGTGGCAATCCAGCGTGGCTGTACATCCCTTACGATACCGGCTCTGGGCTGCAGTGTAATGGAGTGCATACCCACGTCGGAGGCGTGCCCCGCCTCGTCCAAAGGTGCCTTATACCTGCGCGAACACCCTACACCGTTCACTGTCGTCTCTTGAGGTCAAACTGAGACTTTCTTGATTATTCATGAGTCTCGATCAGAACCTGTTCACGCTCAACTTGGTACAGCGTCCGGACAATCCTGCTGTGATCGACCTCGTGGATACGAATGGGACGGCGCATTATAGGAAGCAGAGGATCCCGGGGAGCGTGTATAAGATAGAGTTGGTCGGTGAGTCGCCTCACGTTCGATGGGGGCAAGCGGATGGCTGATTCTGCCTGCCTTGCGTCTTCCTGCATCAGATCCCCTGTCCGAATCTGTACTTGCTACGGCGACGGCGCCGAGCGCGACGAATAAACATAAGACTATCGAACTGTACAATCCGAACCTTGCGATAGACTTGAGGTACACCGGAACTTTGTCGACGAGGTGGAAGTTCAAGTGGGAGGAGTGAGTGCTACAGTGCTGCTGGATGAGTCCTTGAGGAATGGCTCTGAACGTTGCGCTTGATTTCAGCCATGAGTTCGAGTGGAAGAAGGAGGAGTGCTTCATTATACGGAAACCTGACCCTCCCGTGCTCGTCGCGATCACCAAGGAGCCCTCGAGCCGCGTCAGGTCATGGACGGTACAGATATTGGATTACAACATCAACCGGTGCGTTTCACTCTGACTTTGGGTTGATATGGGCGGAAGCTAAAAGGACGCGAAAGCTTTGACATTGAGGACAGGAAGGGGCTCGAGATCGTCATCCTGACGGCCTTGCTTACGTTCGGGGACTCGAGCGACACGTACCATCCTCCCGGGGATGATCCCCCTCCCTACTCCGACCCTATCCCTTCGAGTTCCACTGCCCAGGCTGCACCCGCGAGCCTGGTCGCGAGTAGTGACATCAAAGCATCGCCGGAAGAGCCCCTTGAGTATAAGCCCCCGACACCCCCGCCGAAGCCTACCCCGAAGACGGGTATAGACAGGATCGCCGAGGTGCACGCGATGAGGGAGGAGATAAACGAAGTCACGGTCGACGATGAGGGGCTCTGTATGGATTACGCGCGGTACTGCTACAACCTGCTACAGGTACGGACCCAGTCGTTGCCTTAAAGCTCTCACTGACTTCTGCTCGTAGGACGAAGCGATGCTGTTTATAACCGTCCGCTCTGCGAGCCCGGAGCAGGTGCCGAAGGTACTTCATGTGGTAGAAGAAGCGAAACGGCTTCGCCACCAAGCAGGTACGTACGCTCGTCGTCCCGCAACCTGGGCGTAGGATTGACCACATGCCGTATCTAGGGATAGCTTACGAGGAAGAGCTTCACCAGTACGTCGTGTACGACACCAAGCCGGTGCCTCGGAAGGTACCGCGGGTCATCAACCTGGACGACCCTCCGTCTACGTCGCTGTATACGCCCCGGTCGAGCTTGACTGTGCATCTAAGTAAGATCCCTATGCCGGAACTGCAGCCGAAGCCTCCTGCACAGCCGGAGCCTGCGTTCAATCCTGAAGAATTCGGAACGTGGGCCCATCACTCGGATTCTTATCCTACGCCGAGCCAGTCGCCCAAGGAAGAATCGCACAAAGGGAAGGGCAAGGAGAAAGTTTTGGATCCGAAGGGAAAGGGCAAAGAGAAACAGAGCTCGAAGGACCGGAAGAAGAGAGAAAAGATGGAAAAGGAAGAGAAGGAACGAGAAAAGAAAGAGCAGGAGGACAAGGACAAGAGGGAGAAAGAGGAGAGAGAACGAGAAAGGAAGGAGCGGGAGAGGCGAGAGAAAGAGAGCCCGAAGCAGAAAGCCAAGCGAGAAAAGAAGGAGCGAGAGCAGGAGGTGAAGGACAGGGAGAGAGAGGAAAGGGAACGCCGGGAGAGAGGTAAGTAATTGTATACGCAGTTGCTTTGCAACTTCGCTGAACGCTCTTCTTTTACAGAGCGCAGCAGACTGTCTAAGCGTCGTGCATCTTCCTCCGGAAACCTCCACGTTCCTTCGAACCAAATGCATCCCTCGCAACCTTCGCCATCTCCTGCGCAACTGAACAACCCCGGTATATACATGGCACCGCCACCTCCGCGAAGTCCCAGACCTGCCGCATTGCCTGGACTGCCGCGTTTGCGGATACCCTTACCAGAACCGCAGACCTGTCCAAGACCCCTCACGTCGTACGCTCATGCTAGGTTCTCGTCCTGGACCGGTGGGGATCGACCGGATGGGCGGAGGTTGTCCACTGCGGCCCTGGCGACAGATTTGTACGACTTATTTAACTACAGGAGGACTTAGCGTTATGCCTTGAAGGTATATTGCGCCATTTTCAGCCTGTTCTTTGTATACTCTCTTTTCATCGATCTCTGCCGTGACCTTATTTATAGATGCTCGTCTCCTTTACATGGATATATGGACATACATTTGGGCTTGTACGATGCCACAGGAAAATACTACGCTCTTTGCTATCGCATGCCTGAGCAGCTGTCGATCCGGCCGTTATTCTTCAAAAGAGGTCCTGATCATTTTGTGATAACTGACGACTCTGACCAGAAGGTCTTCTCGTTGGAAGAAGTCCCCTCAGTGTGGTGCGCTAATATTATTATTCACTTGTACGACGAGAGCTCACCCAATGTCATACTAACAGTGGAATATATTCCTCCCATGCTGTGTACGAACCGTGCCATCACCTCTGTCGAATCCATGTCTCCCACCCTCGACGCTCAGAACACCCGTTACTGCTGATCTGGGACCAACGCAACCCTTCCTTTGAGCTTCCCGGCCATCATCTCTTTCAGGACCGTGCCACAGTCAGACAGAGGTCTCGTTTCCACGTGGGGTCGAACGAGCCCCCCCCTAACGGCTTCGAGGACCTCCTTCAACTCCCCCTTACAGCCCCAGAAGGACGATTTGACGGTAACCTCCTTCAGCGCCGAAGGTAAGATGGGCAGCGCCATCGTGCTTGACCCCATGCCTACCACCACAATCGTCCCCCAAAATGCCACTGCAGAAACTGCAGTTTGGAAGCTGGCATCCGTCCCGACTACGTCCACCACTACGTCGATGCTAAGCCTGTGCTCCTGGATCAGGGCTGCAAGTCTGTCCGGTTCGACCGCGTAGTCCGCTCCCACCTCCACGGCGGCTCGCAGACTCGTATCTCGGACGTCTGAGGCAACCACGCATCCCGCCCCGCAGCAGTTCTTTGCTATCTGGACAGCATTGTACCCTAGTCCTCCGCATCCTAGTATGAGGACTGTCTGTCCTGATTGAATGCGAGCGATGGTGCGCATGGCGTGGTATGGGGTGAGGACAGCGTCCGTGCTTACGGCGACCACTTCAGCTGCTATGTCCGAAGGACTCCCTGGTACAGCGACTATGGTCGAGGCCGGTACGACACAGTACTCTGCCCAGGACCCGTCTACTCCCAACCCGACCATATGCAGGGTGTAGCAAAGGTTATCTCGACCCATGGAGCACAGGACGCACGCTTCCTGGAGGCACGGGTTTACCCCAAGAATCGCCACGTACGTCCCGAGGCTGAACTCAGGATACGTCGCTTCCACTGACGACCCAAGTGCGTCGATAATACCTGCTCCTTCATGACCCGCAGTGAAGGTGTCTACGCGCGGCTGCAAGGTGCCCTTGAAGATGCTGACGTCGCTGCCACAGACACCTCCCGCAAGGATCTTGATGCGAACTTCGTTTGCTTCTGGTGCGGGTATAGGCATCGTCTCTCGTACAGGCTCGTGCAGACCCCGGTGATAGCGGTAGGTGACCATCGTCTCAGCGGCGCTAGTAGTGCCCATGATTGCTGTTGACTCTGGGCGTCTTACAAGCCCCCTCATGTTACAGTCCATATTTAAGGTGTCCGGCAATTGTTTAGATGCTCAACAGCAGGTGCCTTAATTCTTGCAAATGAGTAATACATGTAGGATTCTGACATCGAGAATGGGACTATACATATGTCAGATGCTCGGAAGGGAAGCCTTCGTTGAACCTCGTTGGCATTCAATACTCTGTTACACTCCAAATATACAACGCACATCTGCCCAATGCTTCGGGATCAAGTACTTATCTGTTTGACGTGAGAAAGAACATAGCGGTATTCGCTGACCTGATTTTGAAACAAGGTTACCGACGCTGCTCTCGTAAAGCAGTCGCAGCAAATAGCTCCATAGTACTGCCACTAGGAGTCAGGGCTCCGCGAGTTCAGCTTTATCTCCCGGAAGCCTAAACATCGACTTCCTAGGCTGATATGAACTGCCCTGGCCAGGCGCTATACCTGTCTCTTTCTGCGATCATATCACCCCTGAGCGATCACGCTCGCTGGACAGGGCATTTCCGGTAGTCAAGCGGTCTCCAGACGCGAGTACATCTCTTCTGGACTCTCTCGCCCGTAGGAGTTGAGGATCACAGAAAGACTCGGTGTCATCTCGGACGGTCGAAAGAGCCCTGCGAGGCACCCGTCCTCGTCCACCACCTTCGTCCCCACGAGATCGTGTAGCTTGCCCCCTTCGAGGTGCCACGCCATGACCATCAGCCGTCGCCGGGCCAGATCCCGAGAAATGACGAACGGCCGCCAGACCCATGCCTCATCGCTGGTGCGTCGCCATTCGACGTAGCCGCCAGCGAGCTGGATTCGCAGGGTACGAGGGAAGGTCTCTTTGAAGTCGTTTAGGAGCTCTCGCTGCATCTTGAGATCGAGGCTGTAGTTCTGGACGTTGAAACGGGCGAACCTCGATGCAGTCGCTGGGTAGAAGCGGACGTTACGGACGGCGAGTCGCTCTTTCTTGACATCGAGGCGCGTCTAACGTATGTCAGATCAGAACTTATCAACATACGGTGACGAGTCACAGTTGCTCACCTTCTCGATGGCATAGATAGTGAGGGTACGAAGATCTGGAAAATGCTCGTTTATATCCAACTCTTGGTACGCGCGGTCAGTGATACCGAGCTCTTCGACAGCCGCACTGGAGCGTTTTATCGGGGTGACGTTGATGGGCCTACCGTCCAGCTTCTTGAAGGGGTTCAGCTGTATGACAGTCACAGCGCGGACAGGGCGGCCGGGAATCAAGATCGGTAGGAACTCTCCTGGACATTGCACCTCTCGAAGGTGCGGCAGTGCGGACAGGTCCAAGTTGAACGCTGGAGCATCCATGAACTGAGTAGGCGGGATGAAGGTGGAGATTCTGAGGGCTTGAATGGATGGCGTGCGACAGAGGTATTGAGAGAATTGATCGAGGCTCGAGCTGCGAATCATAAGGTCCAAGTCTTCTACGGGGCAGCTGTTCCCAGAGTGCGTGATGAATGAGTGCGTCAAGTCCCAGTCGCATAACTTGAGCACACGGAGGGTAGGGGTCGACATCAGTTTGACTATCACAGCGAAATACGGATCGGCAGTGTGATCCAAAGGCCTCGAGATAGTACCATAGTGCTCATATCGTCGCAGGCGAGCGATGGGGCCTGGCAGGACCACGTCCTTGACGTTTGGATAGAACTTGACGTCTTCGAGCGCAAATGTCTCGAGGTTAGGCAGCTGCTGGATCACCTGCAGCATCCATGCATCGATAGCAACAGCATTCAGGCGCAAACTTTGCAAGTGAGGCAAGGACGCGAGGGTGCGCAGGTGTGTCTCGAAGACCTGACTTAGAGCGATCGGTCCTCTCGATGGCCAGTCGGCGAGTGTGTACGACTTTATATACGACCTGATTGGCGATTCCTCCTTGATCAAGTCCCACCACTCACAATTTGTTTCCCGGTGCCGGGGACACTTTGTAGGATCTCCGCGACCGGAGAACGTGAGGTCGCTGAACAAAATGGGCCGCGCAAGTGCGCAGAAGAATCGGGACACCAGCGTAAGGTTCGCTATGTCCCATTTCAGCTCTTGCAGGCACTGGTCTTCGGAAGGCCGCAGGGTATCGATAATTTCACACCAGATATCGTGTGGTATCCGCGCAATCAAGCCTTCCCCGCTGGGGGAGTGCATAGCTATCCGACTACGGTCAGCTCAGGACGTCGACGACCAGCGGCTGCGTGTACTTACGCGCTTGCAGGGGTCCAATAGTCATAATCGTTCAACAGGTTGATCCAGCGTATATTTATTGCTCAGTAAATTCGTCGAACCATTCGTGAGGAAGAGCAACACGGCACTGCACAGCCGTCATGGCCCAGCGGCCGCGGGTTGTGCAGCACTCTTCATCATCTGCCGCAGCGTCGCCGACTCCAAAGCATAGCCTGGCATCTGCGTATATATAGGAGCGTCAAGATGGGGAGATGGCAACTGTCTCACGCGCAATCCAGTGTCAATGCGGGGATCAAATACATCGAGAGTTAACCAGGACCTATCATAATGTGAAGGTTTGAATTTTCCGAGTCTACAGTATCCCTTTCAGCCACGAGTCTGGCTAGTATATGTACGTCTTCAAGCTGCAAGATTTAACTGCATGATGCTGCCACTACAATTTGGTGCGGAGACTTGCTCGTCTACTAAGTCTTATCTAGGAGGCGCGGTATCAAGTCTACGGATATTATTGTATTTGGAACACAGCCGACCGCTGTCCTCCATCGCCCAGTACCAGTCCGGATTCCGAAAGCAGGTGTACTTTTGATCTTACCCGTGGTCGTGTCCCTCTCCAGTCGAGTGACTCGAGTCGTGGCCTGTCGTGGCCTGTCGTGGCCTGTCGTGGCCTGTCGTGGCCCGTCGTGGCCCGTCGTGGCATAAGCAGGAGAGCGCACGATGGGCGTCTATCTATTACGGGAGCGTCTGTTCTGAACCTCTCTGGGTCAAGTTCGAGTGAGTTTGCATCAGTATCATCAGCTGCTCGCCATGGCAATATAAACCGCGCCATCACTCTGGGGCTCAGAATTCGATTAAGTATGCTTGCCAACCAGTAGAGCGTACTTTATCATCACCCTGTTAGTCCTCCTTCCCCATGTCTACCGACGGTCCTAAGCAGGCGGTGGCGCCAGGTGCGCCTAGCGGAACGACGATACAGATAAGGTGCGTCTTCCCTTCCTCCACGAATGTGAAGTTTAATCAGCGTCTCCTATAGGCTTCCCAGATTTGAAGATGCGATGAATCGCCTCCAGAGACCTGCTTCATATTTTATGTTCTACGTTATCCTATGGGCCCTGTCCATCCCGGTTGTGGTAACAGCATTTGTTGATTCCTGGTGGAGAATACCTGCGGGGTTTTGGCTTCTCCACTTTATGATCGATACGCTCACCGTCGCTGAGATGGGCCTGCGAGCTTCCTCGAAGGGCACGGTGAGGTCGCGTTCATTGGTCACCCTGTGGTTCGCGACTTACGTGTGACCTCAGAAATTCTGGATTTCCTGGTCAAGCGTGCCCGAAGCAGCGTTATGCACATACACTCTCATTTCCTGGTCTTTCGTGATTGTATCGGACAGACGCGTACGAAAAATAGTCGTCTGTATCGGTGCCGTGGTAGTCCTCGTCCGCAGCGTCTTTGAGAGTTTAAGGATAATTCTCGTCGTGCTCAAGTAAGTACATCCTACATCGCTCTTTGGGCCTCGCTGTTTCTGAACCACTTGGGATGGGATGGTCAGTGTGACGATTTTAGGCAAGCGAGTACAGGATGGCAGCATCTCTTCTCAGCCGGATAGGGACGTCGACGACTTCGACATCCGGAACGTCTTCCGACCCGTGCATCATGTGCAGAGTATTGATGATGTGCTGACGACCTCGTTCAGACGCGCAGCGGTGGGAACCCTGCGTATCGCCCAGTTGGTCCTCGCTATCATCGCTGTAATCACGGCCTTTGACGAGGAAGTTGTGGTGATGTACATAACAAATGTGATCGTGGTGCTTGAGATCATAACCTGTTTCACGAGCCATGTGAGCAACAAGTCGAGTATCCTGAGCAGGTTTCTCAAACTGATTGCACCCTTGTAGTTTCGAGGTCCTATCTTCCTGAAGCTCGCCTTAGGCCTTGCAGATCTCGCTATATGCCTACTGGGACCAGCAGTCTTGGGCTTGCGAATCTCGGGGGACTGGCGTACGCGTGCCTGGCGCATCGCCTCTATCCTGGGCATCGTCGACAGCTTCGTCGTTCTTGCTCGTAGCATTGTACAGTTAAGCTATTTTGCCTTCACGATTGTGCAGTAAGTTGCAAGTACCTATGTAAAGGCAGCATGGCTCAACGTCGTGACTACAGGTCTGCTCAGGTCGCGTTCACGGAGGGTGGCGGAGATATCCGTCTTACGGAGGAGCCTGAAGTCAACCTATTGGATGCTGAATTCGGATCGAATGTTGCTGCCTAACATGGTGTATAGATAGCATGCGTAGCATTAGGTGTTGTGACTTGTCGTTCCCGCTAGGCCCAGGTATGGATGTCATTATTAGGAAACAAAGTGTAAATCCGTGGGACTCCCTTTCTGCAGCTGGCACTGCGTCAGTAGGCATTGCCTTCGCTTCGTAAAGACTCTCGTAGCGCATCCAGAATCCTGAAATAGAAGTAGTTCATGACTATTGTAGAATGAGCCCACCAACGCTCGCCTATTCAGAAGCGCTGGCACTCGCATGCCACAATATATACGACCACTATCACGTGACTATTTGGCGGGGAAAGCACGAAATCGGTCTTATAGGTTTGGGCACAGGTAGGAAGTCACAGATGTCTTTTATAGGAATCAGAGGTACAGTACATACATACAAACAGTTCCTATAAAAAACATTCGAGGATTTCGACCCATGGAGCTTATAATAACCTCGACAGTGGTGATTTCTATCGATGCTTAACTGTGGCGACGCTGGTGCTCACCACGGCGCAAGGGGGCACCTAGCCCAGTGCCAAGTGCTTCTGAAGTCCGGGTACGCCCGATTAGATACACATCTAATGCTAGTCCTACAAGTAATACAAGTCATGATTAAACTGATAATAAATCAACGAGATCCGTTCACAAGGTCCTTGAGAAGCGGTCTGCTTCTGAGGAGACCCTCCTCAGCTACGCGCTTGACTTTCTTTGTTGGCCGATCCAATTTATTCTCCTTCAGGGGAGTTACCGCGACACCCGTGACCTCTAGGCTGCGTTTCGTGACGGTTTGCGACGCAGCAAATGTATGAAGGGTGTCTGCTTTAGCGGGGAGAGGCACAATCCAGCCCTGCTTCTGCATCAAGTCGAAAAACTCAGAGAGGAGCGGCGCTGTCTGCAGTGTCTTCCGAGAACCGAAGATAATGAGTTTGGAACGGGCTCTCGTAAAGGACACATTCATGCGCCGCCAGTCTCTGACTAGCTCTCCGATCTGCAAAGGTATCGGTCATTTAAGAACCGTTCAGTGGACAAAATCGAGCGACGTACCTGTCCACTGTCGTTCGATCGTACCATGGAGATAATAATGCATTCTTTGTCTCGTCCCTGACTTCTATCCGCCGTTAGGATCTCAATCCCCTTTCTCGCAAGGAGCAGGTGGGATAACAGCTTGATCTGTTGGCGGTACAGCGATATAATGCCAATTTGCTCTTCGGAGACTCCGGCAACAAGTAGTGCTTCGGCCATCTGCTGCACTAATCTTGCCTCCACTTCATTCTGCACTAGGTCGCCTACACGTGAATCGCAGGCAGGGACGCCGTCGGTGTCGACGAATACCGCTTTACAGCTATATTGAGACACTCATTAGTGGCAGTTCATACTCGCTGGCGGCCGTAGTGATCTCACCTTTCCGCCATTAGCTTATGCAGCCAGCAAGTTTCCACGGGATAACAAATTGGTCGATGTATGGCTTTCACGGCCTTCGGGTTGGGTAAGCACAAACTCCTCTTCGCAACAGTCTCGGAACCGCAACGCAGACGATCTCCATATATAAGCTTGTTGGATAGAATCATGATGTCTTCATTCATGCGGTATTGTAGCGCCAAGTCCACAACAGCGTGAGGATGAGCGTCCGAGAGCCGACGGAAGAGGGATACATCCAGACCGCCCTTCCTGGCTGAGACGCTTCGAACCTTAAGACGACTTAGAAGTACAGAGGAGGAGTATGTGATGCCTGACGTACCAAAGGAGGAAGCTGGAAATGATCACCGACGAGGACGAACTTGTCAGCGAAGCGCAGGGGACCCAGACATGTGGGCAAGGTAATCTGCGATGCCTCATCAACGATGCAGTAGTCGAACTTCCTCCGCAGGAAGAGAGGGCTAGGCTCTATTGTGAGGCAATCTATTCCGGAGGAAGCGGACCTTCAACTCACTTATCGATAGACAGGCAAGTTGTCGCTACGACCGGCGGGGTTATCAGCTGGTGTTCCAATTGCTCAACCGTGCTAGCTCGCTGTCTAGCAGCGGGAGTGAACTCCTGGACATGTGGATGAATCTTCAAATCCAACGCAATACACGTGAGAATGTGAGAAGACACACCAACGAGGAAATGAACATTACCTTGTCTACATTACCCAGCCTCAGTATACCGAAGTCGACATTCCCCTTGAGCTTCAGCAGGATATTATCAACAGCTGAATGTGTATATGAGGTCAAGAGGACCGTCTTTCCCATAGATACCAGAGCCTTTATTATGGTTGCGATGACAGTGGTCTTGCCAGTACCAGGCATGCCAAGTATCAACGCATAATCATGAGCGGTCATGACTTTCTTCATTGCTTCCTTCTGATGCTCATTTAGATGAGTGGCAGCGGAAACCTGCTCGGTAGCGTCATCATCCATGTTATCCTCGAACTCTGGCGGCATTAGGTCAACCACAAGTTGAAGTCTTCGTGTGTCGCCATCGACATAGAACAATTGCGCGAGGTTCTCGCGGATACGCGCCATGCCACTGAAGAGCTCGTCCCTGTCAATCCTGAATACTACCCGATTGTCCTGGCTTGAAGAGGAGGAAAAGGGATCGTGAGAGAGTGTAGCAGGAACATTGCATAGTGACAGGATATTGTTGATGTTGAGCTCGTGGTCGACACCGACTACCACTTCAGTAGGTGTCAGTTCCGTTATAAACCCACGAGTCAAGGCAAGAAGGTCAGGTTCCACTGAGATGGTGACGGCGTCGCCACAGCTCATGTGCCCGTTCAGCAGTGAGGTGCCTTCTTCTGTCACCTTCCGGATGAATTTGTACGTGTGCTGATGTATCTTTCCCTCCTTCTGACTGGCAGCAATGGGCGCTGGTGGACAGTAAGACGTGTCTATGACCATGCACGCGAAACAACGACCCTTCGTCTCGCGCTCCTTGGCAGCCATAGTCCACAGCTCTTTCTTGAACCGCATGAGGTCCTGCTCCTCAAGGGAGATCAGGGCTTCCCACGTCTTGAAGAAGTCCAACTGCGTCGGGGTGAGATGAGCTGTCTTTAGAGCGTAAATGTCTGCTATGGGCGAGGAATGATCTTCGACGCGCTCGACGGCCTGAAAGGTACATTAGTAACGACCGCATAGAACAGGCGGACAAAGAACCTTTCTGTAAAGCATGCAGGTATCCAGGGCATAGCAACGTTTACAAGTTCTCTCATCGTCGATAGTAGGCGGCAAGAAGGATTCAGAATCCAGATCGTCTCCAGCCTGGTGTCCTGTATTTTGTGCTCTTTTCACGCCTACGACTCGATGCCGTCGCACCATATAGCCTGCGATTTCGTTCCTCGCCAGTATCAAGCCCTTCAACTCGAGCCTTGCAGCAGGAACCTTGACGACCTCCTCCGTGTGGGTATAGAACAGCAGCCCAGATGGCACGTCCGCCTTGTACCGCTCGGCCATGAGCAGCGTGTAAAGCATCGTCTGCGCGCGGTGTTCCATCCCGGCAACAACGCGGCCCGTCTTCAACTCCAGAGGCATCGGGTAGCTTCTCGTGATGGGCGTCGCGAAGGGATACTCGCGCTCTTCGATGATCGCTTGTACAGACGCGTCGAGTTTCCCTTTGAGACCCCAGCTGGGAGACCATATGTCTTCCTCCACGTCGTGTAGCTTGGAAATAGCGAGCAAGGACTGCTGCTTCTCCGAGGCCCTGGTGTTTGTCAGAACCGCGTCCGCCTAGACCCGTTGTTAGCTCGAGCAATCATCGGCGCCGTCCCTCCAGGCCTACCTTGGGGACTTGTGCGATGTATCGACTAGCGAACGTCTGCAGCCCTTTCGCGCGGACCTTGACTTCCCGCTTCGCCTCGTCAACGCTCACGCCTATCTTGACGAGCTCTCCGAGGCCGTTCCTCACCACCTCATCGATCCTCTCCTCGATCCACCGCTCTTCCCACCGATTATGGCTTAAGCAAGCTTGCATCACTTCGTGCAGCATGTTACCCCAGACCAAGGCGGGAGTAACGTCCGACGTCGAGCGGACTAAGCTGGATAAAATGGGTTTGCGTCGACATTGGGGTGCGTTGGCTATCGCCGTTGCTGTGAGCAGGATGTCTGGGTGATGGATGAAGTAGTTGGCTTTTGAGGTGATTGATATTGTGGCTTCAGGAGAGGTGGACGAGGATTCTGCAAATGTCTCAAATGAACCCATGACGTTGACAGTATCGCCTACGGAGGGTATCACTATAGTCACCAATCAATATAGATAGGAGAGTTCACGTACCAATGCGGACTTCGGACTGGGACCATTCATCGCACAGAATGACAGAGCAGCGGCGCTTGGCAGGCTCTGTGATGACAATTAAGTTCTGAGAAAGACGTGAGCAAACATTCGTTTTTTGAATAGCTGGACTGTTTGCCCTGTCGTTAGCTTGCCAAGATCGTAGCTACGACCCCTCGTGATGCACTAGATAGGAATACGTCGCAAGCAAACTGGCCAGACAGGCTGAGACCAAGGGACGCGTAGCGAGGTTCCGTGCTGACCAATCTCCTACGGGACTTCCAGTCCAGCTTTCCTACAGATTGGACATACCTTACAATATCTTCCGTTTATCGATGATTCTTGGACCTGCTCCACGATGCATCGCGTACATGGATACGGGGTGTAGTGTGGCACGAGTGACGCGGACTCGGACTCCTGTAATAAAAATGGTAATCACTGCTGCCGAATCCACTAAGTCCAGAAAGACGTGCCTGTTTAATGGGTCTCGCTTTCTTAGGCGTCATGAAATCACATTCCATGTCGTCCCAATCCCAGTTGTCCGCGCCATCGATGAGGGTATCCATGCTTAAATCGCCTGCCGTCTCTAAACAGCTGTCCGGGTGCTGGCTTAATTCTATCTTGACGATATCCCTGGATTTCGTAGGCGTTCTTGGGGGAGAGGTGCGCTTCGGATTTTCCTTCACCGGCGACGAGCTCATGGTGAACACCGACGCGTCGAGTCCACCGAGCAACTCGTGCATGAACGCGGCTTCCTCATCCTCGGTCGGTTTCTTTGGGGGCATCGCTGTCCTAGTCGAGTTTAGCAAAGGTATCGTGTACCATTGAAATCGCGGTTCGCGACTTTTAATTGACGTACACGACGCGCTGCTGCACGTGGATAATGCACGTGATCGCGTCGCGCCTTAAATGGGACCCATAATTAGCACGCAGCGCAGTGTCTTCGCTATTGTCCGCACACTGGTGGTATGGGTCCCGCAGGCGTATAATACTTTTATTCTTCTCATTATCGACTATTGCAACCCTCTTTATCTCCTGACCGCGTTTTTCTCATCTTTCGGCTCGCCTACCAGGTCGTTACTGTCCGCCTCTGTCCGCCTGGCACCAGGCAGTGTACCAATCGCAGATCACCGTTGCCAGCACATGACGATGCCGATGTCGATCCCTCTCTCATTCCTCTTTCTTACTCCGAAACGAGTCCCAATTGCCGTCGCCGAGCACCCGTATGTGCTCTCGGAACCCGAAGTAGAGGAAGAAGTGGACGCCCTCGGGCGGGAGTGGGAGTGGGGAGGCGCAGGACCCGATGACACCGGCAGACGCAAGGCGAAGATGAGGCTCACCTGGGGAGGGTTGCGGCTGAAGAGGTTTGTCTGCTTTCTGACCATCGCTATTAGCTTCACATGAATCATATGCACAACAGACCTCCGTCCCCACCGCTGCCCACGGATCCAGATCCAAAGTGGCGGAAACGCCTACCTCGCTTGTCCTTGAAGAGGACCCGTACGAGGGACAAGACCGCCCGAAGATCATTCCTCGATTAACCTTTCGCCTCATATAAGGGGACGCACCGTCTCCTCCTAGTTCTGACCCGCTCACTTTCTTGGTTATAAGGTTTTAATCCACCGCTGTTTAATGCGGGGGTGCTATATTGCAGTATACGACTTCCACGATCCTTCTTTATGTCTAATATCTTTCACATCTACTTGTGTCTATGCTCTTCTTGCTTTATGTTGCTCTCTTGCTGCTCGAATTTGCTGTCGATTGCCTTGTATCACAGATATCTCAATTTTGTCAATAGGCATGTGATGTATTTTGTAGTGCTGAATGGACTGGTTTCTATACGGGTCGTACCCAAGGATGATGCTAATGGCACTCCAGCTTAACGCTCTTGACAGTCGCTCCGATCCTCCTCGGAACCGTCTTCCAATCAATCGGCCCACGCGCCCACGCAGCGGTACCTGCGGGACTCGATGCGTCCCATATCCCAAGCTGTATGCGCGTAGGGTGACTGGGGAAATGTTGCGTGCCGTGGTACATGGTCTGGTCTGCCCCACGGAAATATATCATGTGAGCAGGTTGGTATCGACGGGTCGCAACTAATGCGAGAGGCAGCCTACCTTTCTTGAGCGTCCGGATGTCTTCACCGTCTACGCTCCATATTATGCGTTCGGCATTCCAGTCTATGCTGTAGGTATGTACGTCCTATCAACCGCCCATTCATTAGCGACACGTCAACGTGCAAGGTGTTTGCGTAAATCGTACCTCGGTGCTACCTCTAGGGATGCTGTCTACACTGCTGAAGACCCCGTATAGCGGTCCGTCATCATGAGGCCGGGGCGCAAAGATGTTCGACTGGAAGTGCGACGAATCACTGCCGAGAAGTTCGACGTCCATCTCGTCTCCTTCGTCCGCTGTCGGAAGTATCAGATATCATGAAAGCATATAGTGATCCTGCGCACCGATCAAGATAGCGGCGGTAACGACCCCGGGATGCGTCGGCGCGCTCAGTTCGTACGTGACCTTCCCATACCTTCCGAAACGCGGTCAGCCTTGTATCCAGTGAAAGGTGAATGCACGCATACATGAAGGAGAAGGTCGAGTTGAACGTGGCCCCATCGGCGATCTTGTCGTTCTCACCGCCTTTCGTGCGGATCTCTCCTTCGGGACGGTCCAGGTACATCTGCAACCCGCCCGAGCTAACCTCGTACGTGTTTCCATGGCCGACTGCGACCATACCTTTGGGGAGAGTCGAGCCTGAGAAGGCTGCGTAGAACGACTCGCAATCGGGAGAACGGGCAACAGGGAGATGTAGTCCGTGGGCTAGGAGACCTGAGAGTAGACTGAGGAAGACGACAGGGAACATGCTTGGGCGAGCGATTATAGGGATATAGGTGAGTATTATTTGTGAGGGTAAGTTAGTCGGATAGGCGGCGCTGGTCAACAGGCTGGGTGCTTGGTGAGGGGTACAGAGAAGGTTCCAAACAAGATGCAAAGTCGAACCTGTTCAGACGCGACTTCACGTGAAGAGGTGAACCGATCAAGGTGCGGTATGGGTGAAGGGTCGGGCAGTACCCCACTACGAACTCGAACAGTTCGTGCAGTCATCATAAGTACTTACCGCTGAACAACAGGCAGGTGGTGTAGGATCCCAGGACCAGGACGCCGAGGAATACGGTCGGTATACAGACAGAGGACAGGAGCCGAGGAATCGAGTCACAAATGCACTCCAGAATTGTCTGCCGGTGCAAGGAGACTCCATATATTGTGCGCCCAAGCGAGTGGTTATTGTGCTTGGAAGCTTCGCCAGCGCTGGCCGATTCGGAGTGGCGCGACGGAGTTACGACCTGAGCATCAATTTACCCAGATTTTACTGGGTATTGTTGAAGAAACCGAGGTTATACGACGGATGGAAGTTCTAGAGTTGCTATAGCCTCGAGTGCTGAGCAATTTACCCAGTGCTCGAGTCATCAGCAACTGTGAGTTTAAAAAGCACTCGTAGTCTGCGCTAGCGAATTGCCACAGTGGCGTGAGTGCGTCCACTGGCATGCCTTAATCGTCTCTTTGAAGTACCTTCGATCTTTATTTGTCCCATCCTTCTCCGCGATGGCACCCACGAAACGAAAAAATGATATCGACGGCGATAAAGAGAAAAGCTTCATCTGCACGCTCACCGCATCTCCCAGACCATCGACGACGCGCACTAAATCTCACGAGCGATTAACTACACGCCGGGCAGCACGGCCTCGTCCGGGATCGTGAACTGCGACAAGCCCTCGACGAAAGCAGCAGGAACGCTAGGAGCCAGTCCCGAACTATGAATCTTGAATACGTGCGGCTCGCCGATGACACATCTGAGGGTTAAAATACCTCTCCCGTGCGCACCTACACTTCATCTGACAGAGCCAACAGGCACCTATGTGTATTATGCATATCATTCTGTAGATAACGAGGCTACTTGCTGCGCCCGCCAAAGAAGGTCTTTGCGTGGTTTTTGAGGGCACTTCGCCACCAGAGTTTTGCATTCTGTCCTGCATATGTTTAACTGTGATAGTCGGCAACTAACTTAGAATCAACAGTCAATTGACTGATGCGAGCATAAGTAACAGAAAGCATAGACATGAAAGCTACATATCTTGTGATAGAGGTTGCTCAGGTCTGCACCATCCATAGAAAGTCAAATGACAGGATGCGGGCTTCATATAGAAACCACAAGATCCGGTGTATGACTCGCAATACATGAGGGGTGCTCCATCTCAACTGAACCATCCCCTGTCAGAAATGTAGTCATTATGAAACATGAGGAATGGAGCAGGCGAGAGTACGTATAATTGGCTGTGGATGAATAAGGGGAAGGGACGAATCGGCAGCAGTGGCATCTCGGCATGCCGAACTAGGATTGGGAGCATCCCGTAATAGAATGAATACGGCCGTTCGATAGCTCTGGGAGGCTATAGCCCAGCCATAGGTTCATTCCTCGCGCCGATCGCGTGAACTGGACCCAGCCGCCATTTCGTGCAAATACCGGACGCGTCGACCGGAATCGCTGGCGATTCGCGAATGCAGCGCAGGGACGTAACGAACGACGGAACAGACGACGTTGAGGTTAGGGTTCCGTCATGTGAGGCCGGCACCCCGACATGGTCCGGGAGTGACGTATTTGGGGGGCGACTTTTGGCAAGTAATGGGGCTCCGTGGGAATAGAGAGCACCGGAGGCGGCGGTTGTAGTGACGCGAAGTGGCTTATTGGTTACGCCGCAGCTAGGACCTTTGTTCAAAGGGAAGTCACTTTGAATTTGCATGCATAAATTCTACAGTAGGGGGGTTTAGGCTGAGTTCATAAGCTCCACTGGACAGCAGTGACTCGCTCATACTGCTTGTAATGGCTTTACTGCCACAAATAGGTAGGAACTCTGTTGCACTACGTAGCACCCTGGCTCACCACGCTTCGCGGCCAAAGGGACCAGTGACAGTCAGCCACAGTCGGAGTGCCCGTCGTTGATGCAGCGTGATTGGTCGGGAGCACAGGCAGCGGCAAAAGTTTCTTTATAGCATCGGTCTGTTTCGGTCGTGTACCAAGTGAGCCCGCCGCTCTCGCATTCGGCATTGCATCTCGTCGCGACTGACTCATCGCTGCTGCCAGCCGCTCGTGCACCGACCCGTACGTTCTCGGGGCTTCATGTCAGCTGCCATGAAGAGCTGTCTCAAGCACTCCCCGCCCTCCTCGCCCTTGTCACGCGACGGCGGCGACGCCGCGTCCCACTCCGACCCCTGCTCGCCGCGGCCGACGCCATCTCGCCCTTCCTACAAACGCAAGTCCGTCTCCTTCTGCGACCAGGGTCAAGAAGAGGTATTCATTGCCGATGAATGGGACCGGACGCCAGCCGAGGTGACGCAGAAACTCTCGTATCAGTGAGTACCCGTTCGGTTCGTCTATCTGCCTTGGCCTTGTTCTCTTGCGATTCCACGCCGTTCATCGCCGTCTCCATCCATCCCATGTCCTATGTATAACTGTAGCGTGTCGGCAGAGCGGATTGGAGACGATTGGCGTTGGTGGCTGGATCGGCGTGCTGTCGGGTGATCTCTGCCCCGAGCCTCCTACATATACGCCTCTGGCCACAGCTGCCATGCAGATTCATCTAGACGAGCGTAATTCCCCTCTTATTCACCAAACTATTATGTCTACTACATTACTTCATCTACACTCCTCACCCATCCCCATTCCGTCCGCATCGTCCACTTCATACTTCCCCTCCTCCTCATGTTCCACAACGCACAATCCCTTCCCTACTTCCCCTTCATCCTTCTCACCCTCCTACTCCTCTTCCGTCCTCTCCCCCACATCGCGCACGCCACTAACCATTGAAACCCTCAGGGACGTCCTCGAGCTCAAGCAGCTCCAGCTCTCCCTCCCTCACGCACCCCAGCCGCCAGATCCCTTCAGCCCGCGCCCTCACACGCACGTCGAGTACCTGCGTCGCGTGCCCATACGTCTCATGCCGTTGCTCCCGGAAACCGAGAGCTCGCCCGCGCGTACGCCTCCCGCGGAGGAGCCCAAGCCCGCGTCCCCTTCACCACCTGCTCAGTCACCACCGACGACCACGCATTGGATGCAGCTAACATCACCCATCACTCATTCCGCTATCGCCCCCGCCCCGCGCTTCTCCCCTCACCCATCACCCCGATCATCTCCGGCTCCGTCACGCACGTCATCACCCATCCCATCGAATCTCCCACCGCGTGCGCCCTTAAGGCCGCGCCCGCATTTTGCATTCTTGCCTCTCTTGCCGACGGAGGAACCGACGAAGGGACCAGAGGCGGAACCTGGAGAAATGGTTTTCAGCTGGAACGACGATGAGGAGACGTCACCCATGAAGGAGAAGGAGGAAGTAGAAGAGAAGAAGGCAGCGGAAGAAGAGGATGTCGCTCGGACCCCACATGCCGAGAGCGTCCTCGAGGGCGAGATGCTCGACCGCGTATACGGCGCCGAACCCGCCAGCGTTGGCTCGAGCGTGAGCAGCTCCGCGCCCGCGGCTTTCCTCGCTTCCGAGCACGACTTCGACCAGGACTCCGTCCCGAGCTCGTCTGCGTCCGTATCCGACGGGGAGCTGACCGCGGACGAGTCGACGCCGTCCATGACGACCTGTTCTCTGAGCCCCACGCCTTCGCCCAGCCCGTCGCCGCCGATCCTCAGCGAAGTGGCGGATACGCCGAGCGCGGAGGAGCACCATCCGCCTGCGTCGAAGGCGGAGACGTATGGGTACTTCCAGATCCCGACGGCGCGGGCGGAGAACCTTCCGTACCAGCTGAAGAAGCTGCGGCTGCAGGCGCTTCCGAGTCCGTCGCTGATGCCCCCCAGCCCGTTCGAGCTTGAGCTTTCTGCCCCGGGTGGGGAGGGCGAGCAGCGGGGGGAAGAGGGGAAGTTGGAGGAGGTGCATGCGTTTGAACGGAGGAAGGGTATGGGGAGGCGGGTGGGGAGTGTCCTTGCGCTGGGGCTCAGTGTGAAGGGGGAGGGGGAGGAGCGGAGAGACTAGACTTTGCTCAGTCTGTGTATAGAGTATAGATCCGAGGAGAGGGAGACGAGGGAGAGTAATATCGCACTTAGTTCTCGCATACCACGCGCTATTATCCTACATCGTAACATATATTAGTCTGGTTTTTGTCATATGTATACACGCTTGAAGCACTTGCAACAAATACCTCTGTTGGACTCGCAAGTGCAGAAATGCATAGCCACGAAAAACGGAGTGTAATAACGTGTCGTCATAAATGGCATTTTCATTTGAAATTCAATCCGCTTGTTCCGCCACCAGCGTGTTGAGGCGCAAGCAATTGACAGCTCTACCGTATCCCTTCGACTTTGCATAAGACATCTCAAAATATAGAGTATTACTATTAGGCACAAGGCATAGGTACGTCGACCGTGGGTCTCAATCATAGCGTTATCCCGACGTTGTACGAGAAATCAAGCTTCGGGCACTCACCTGTCTCGCATAATCTGGGAACCTCCTGGAAGCTCCCGCCTGCATCTTCCTGTACTCCCCATATCCTCGGCTCATATGTCTCGGCGGCCCTTTCCTCCCTTCCGTGGCGGTAAATACCCCAGCAATAAGTCTGGCGGCCCATCCCACTCCGAAGACACCCAGCCGAATGAAGCACTTGCCAGTCGGGGAGGCGTGCCACAGATAATATCAAAGGTGCCTGCTAGGCAGAGGGATAATGGATGGGCATGGAGGGGCGCGAGGGGGAGAGGCGGAAGCAGGGGAGGGATGCCCGTTGCAAGCCCTGGGCCCTCCACAAACAGGGCCGCTGGGACAGTACCCAGCAAGGTCGGTGGGAGTCAACACGCGTCTTCTAGTACGCAGGCCAGCATGGATAGCAGTAGCGGTGAGAGGATCATGACGATCGGCGAGGTATGGTTAATGCGGAACAGCATATCCCAATCTCCTTCTAGTCAGGGCGGGGGCTCCCAAAAAGCAAGTGGGAACACAAACACACGAACTGCACCAAGTCAAAGCCCAGTTCGCGACATTCAGACCGCTAGCCCGAGATTTACATCGTCAACAGAACCTCCAATTGCATTTCCCAGCGCGACTGCTTGGAACGCGTCTCCCAAGTTGCCCTCTCCACCTGTTACGCCAGACACAACTCCCGCCTTCCACGCCATGTCGCCGCCGGGGACAGATACCGATGCTGAAAGGGCGGCCAAGCGGAAGGCCACGTTTGAACTCATCAGGGCCAAGAGACAAAGGTTAAGTTTACAGGAGGAAAATAGTCCTCTCCGAGACTCATCCTCTCCCCTGGCTCGATTACCGACACCTTCGTCCCGAATCAAGGAGGAGCCGGTGGTACCCATCCTCCCCCCTGCACTGTCCCCGACGTCACTGAAGGAAGAGCCGGACTTGGCCACCGTCCCTCCACCTTTACACCATTCTCCTTCGCGAACATCTCCGACGCGGACACTCCAGACACTTAAGCCCGAGCCCGAATCACCGTCTGTACAGTCTTCAGCGCAAGACTCCCCATCATCATGCAGGAGGTTAGTTACCTCTGGATCATTACGTGTGCACCCCGTCCCCGCCAACTGCCTAAAGTCTGATCCGAACTGGAAGAGAAATAGGGAGAAGTGGGCCGAGGAGCAGCGGGCGGAGTTGAGGAAGAAGGGAGTGATACTGGGGAGGTCGTTCATCAGGTGAGTGGATGTCTGATCAGTGTGACGGGCCTAACCTGAAGCGAGAAGAGAGGACGGGTTGGTTATAGACTGGTGAGTATCGCTTTTTTTTGAGTCCCCGTGCGGGAGAACATGAATATGGTTGGGAATTTTTCATCTGGATACCACATACTAATCGTTACAATAGGACAAGTCGCATGCCCGTGTACTCCGACACTCTTTGCCCACCCACCCCACCCCCATCCCAACCACCACTGTCTCATGAGTCACCTCCTCCCCCTATAGCCGTGTCTTCCTCTCCTCGTCAGCCTTCATTCTCACCCCCACCACAGCATGCGCCGCACCGGCTGCATCTGCCTCGGCAGTCCCTCCCCTCTCCGTCTCAAGCCGTCCAATCTTCCGCGGCGAGTCCCTTCACGCTATCTCAGTCGCCATCTTTCAGTAGCCAAAGTAACCATGAAGGTCCTGCTCCGCCGCGGACACGATCCGGGCCGTCGTTGAACGAGCTTAGAGCCGCCATGAGGGCGAAGCAGGCGGTAGAAAAGAGTAAGAATAAGGGTAAGCAAAGGGCGGAGGAGATCATCGTCATTGACTCCAGCTCGGATTGCGAGGATGTAACTGCGCAGGAGGTGAGGATTGTCCGTGGCGCATCGTACTTGCGATGACTCATGTCTCGCTCCCCCAGAATCCTCCTGAAATCAGGCAAGTTGAGTTTCGTGCTCCGTCTGGCACGCCACAGGAGCCTGTCACAAGTCCAACGAGGGAAGCACCGACACGGGTGCCACTTTCTCCTCCCGCAAGTAATTCAATGCAATCCTGCTCTTCGACTTTCGATCCTACTGCGGTGCAGCGTACGCCGCAGCCCACGCATATATCTCCCGATCCCATGCGCCACATATCCTCATCACCGCCGCCATTGCAACCTCAGTCCCCGAGGGTACAGGCTGCATCTCTTGTCAATTCAGCTGGGGATCGCCAGCCGCAAAATGCTACTTCCGACGGATCAATAGAGGAGGTAATGCAAATCGAGGACGACCTGATGTATGTGGCGGGTCCATCGTCACCATCGGCAGTGTTCGTTCCTCTAGTTAAGGAGGAATTTGAGGACATGGTGAATAGCCACCATTCCTTGCGAGATGGAGGAGCAGGTCTGGAGCTAAGCGAAGTTGGCCCAGCTGCCTCAGGTAGTTCACTGTCACAAGTCAGCTCGTTGTCGAATAACGAAGATCAAGCGGATGTCCCATTGGTCGAGCCCCCCGCCACGCCCGAACACGAGCCACTACTCCTTTCTCACTCAGACGGTGTTCACCCGCATCCTTATGCACAAGGAGAAAGTCGAGATATTGTGGTCGATGAGCAAGCTCTGTCGGAGCAGTTATCCACGAATCCATCATCACCCGACCCTGTACCTCCTCGTGCTGAGGCTACAGACGCAATCGGCGACCTTCCTCCTGAGATTACATCCTTAGCTGAGGAGTTCATTCGCCGGTACGCTCTGGTAATCGGGTTTCCTTTGCTCCCCCTTTCTGATGTAACATACAATTTTGCATTGGTTGCGCTAGGTATGTCCAGCTGTTCGATTCTGACCGACCAGCACTTGCCAGCGCGTACGCAAGCAACGCCACCTTTTCGTATCGTGTACTTGCTTCTTCGGCGCGCTCAAGTACCGAATACTCTTCGTTCGCGCCTGTGGAGGGATCAAGGGATGTTTCTGGTGCGAACTACGCTCTTCCCGAACGTGACACGTGCATTGAAAACTCTCACAGGCGCTAACTCATTAGCTACTATACACACCTCGCGTCTTTCCATAATGAGTACCCTCCTCTCATTCAGTGATTCGTACAAATTGATATCGGACGGCGAGCCGGTGGATATGCCGTGCGACCTCACGTACGTCAAAATGGGGAGTGAAGCCGGACCTGGGGTATGCGAGGTGATCCTCTTGGTATGCTACTGCAAATTGCGATGGTGCGCAGAGCAGGCAAGGTCCGCGGACGAACGTGATATAGGCATGGAGATGAGTTTCGTCTTGCGGAGGAAGGAGGCTGATGCTGCCGACCGGTATGTCGTTCGCAGATGCGGTGCTTGAACTGTACTGATGACTGGTCATAGCGAGACGGAGGGACTATGGTCATTGTTGGTCGTTGCCCACCAGATGGTTATCAGGGTCAATCATGTCCCAGATCCAGTGTAGTGGTCCTTTCTTGGACTGGCTTACCGCCTGTTTGTCGGAAATTGGGAGCTTTGCGGATGACGTCGAGGACGCTATCCATGTCGGTGATTCCGACATCTGGAAGGCGATAAGATGTATGTGTCCCATATTTTGGCGATTTAGGCAGCACAATTTGGCACGCGGTCTTCTGTAAGAATAAGCAACATCGCTGTAAAGATACATCGTGAGTGCGTAGGGACTCGGGAACCCGGACGATGAACTTTGAAGTACCAATCTTTTGGTGGGAAGCTTCATGTACGTGAAAGAGCACACGATGATCACACGTTGTAAGAAATCCTCGCTTGTTCGTTGCCGCTTGCTACTGTAATATATAATCTGACACTCGTATGTTGGCCGGACAGAAGTGCAAAAAGTGAACCGACCCAGACTCGAACTGAGGACCGCCTGTGACCACACAATGTGTTAGACAGGCGTGATAACCAACTACACCATCGGTCCTTGCTCGTAAGCTTCCCTAATCTTTTATTATACCAATACGCCATTCAGGATGTCGCTGATCCGTCGCTCCCTGATTAGGACATTGTACTTCTGCTTTCGATGTCCAGGGCAGCTGAACTGCCAAAAGCACCATCGCTGACGAAGCTATCCGCTGCCAGTCGTCAACGCGGAAATGCCACCCTACCCTTATAGTATCACTCGCCGCTGTCAGCGTCCACGCTGTGATACGCCCCATTTCTTGTGCACCAGTCTTGCCTCCCGCTGACAATCCTCACTACCACCCTTAAGTCTACTCGGACTTCACCCATCATTCATTTATCGGCCCATCTTTCTCTGGCACCGGAAAGGCCTAGAAATTCTGAACGATGAGTCGGACACCCGATCGCGAGGACGACGACAAGAATGTCGCGGGGGAAGATCCAGCGCTCCAGCCACTCCTCCCAGCCACCGAGAATGACCATGATACCCATACTGCACATGCGTATGTTACCCAGTCCGGGTTTAAGAGGCTTTCAGCCACGGACAAGAAGACGTTATTATTGACGACTACCATGGACAAGATGGGCATGGGACGATACTCAGTCAGTCGAAATGGTCTTCACACACGGTCTATCCACTGGCGAGAATAATTGTGCTGATTTTTTTCTCTACAGTGGTACATCTTCTTCGTAAGCTTTACTGCAATGTCTACCACATCGTAGTCGGACTGAACAGGAATCCAGTTATGCGGCTACGGTTACGCCCTCGATTTAATGTGGGCGCAAGCCTTCGGCCTCATTGTCAGCTCCGCGCAGCAAGAGTTCGGCATCCCAGGTGACTATATGCGCACATCAGATTGTGAATACAGACCCGATAGCTTGGCATAGATTCACAGTTTGGTACTCTTCTAACTGCCTTCAACGTTGGCCTCACCATAGGCGCCTTTACATGGGGAATCATTGGAGATATGGTATGAGTGCTACGCAATCTGCGCCTATAATCTCCAGATATTTTATTTACGTGTCCGTGGTCGACCACTAGTTCGGGCGGAAATGGGCATTCAACCTGACAGTCCTCATTACCGGATTTTGGGGTATGCTACTTGGCTCTGCCCCCAGCTGGCCCTGGCTCTGCTTCCTTTCTGTCTTCACTGGTTTTGGGATCGGAGGCAACATACCGACGGACGCTAGCATTGTTCACGAGTTTCTGCCACACGTTCGTACCTGCTCATTCTCTTGTCCATATTTCCAACTCAACCTGAACGTCTATAGGACAGCAAATACCTCCTCGCAGCTCTATCGCTCTTCCAACCTCTTGGCGTAGTTGTATGCTCCGTCATCGCTTGGGGGTTCATCCCATCCAATAGTTGCGAGACCGGGCTAAGGTCCTGCTATATCGCTGATCCCGGGGAACAGTGCTGTGCGAGGGAGGACAATGTAGGCTGGAGGTTCACTACGTGAGCTATTCGGAATCGCTATGCACGAAGGCGTACGCTCATTTGAGTCGTTAGAAACGCGATCGGTGCTATCACATTGTTCTGTTTCTTCCTCAGATTCGTCGTGTTCAATTTTCAGGTTGGAATAAACCACACTGGAGCTCCTCACAAGAATAGCTGATTATCATTTCCTTGCGTAGGAGAGCCCGAAGTTCCTGCTACTCCAGGGTCGCGAGCAGGAAGCCGTCGATGTCATCCAGCACATAGCCAAGGTGAATCGGAAGCCGTGCTCGCTGACTGTCGAAGATATCTACGCTCTGGATGGTGATGATATATCGGAATCTTCTTCTACAAGGTCTGGCGAGCCGAAGACTCTGGGAGAGATGGCCAGCCAGTTCAAAGTGTTCTTCTCGACGCCCTATATGGCACGACTGTCACTTGCGATATGGGCTACGTTCATTTTTGATTATGCCGCATTTTCCATTGGTGAGTGTCCGCGTCCTACGGCCACCCACAGTGGCTCACTCTTCCGCAGCCGGTGGATTCCTACCGGATATCCTTAGGAGGAAGGGCGTGGCTGCTGGCCAGTCAGTAGACATCACATATCGAAACTAGTGAGCAATCCCCTCTTGGTTTCTGGGGCTGGAGAGTATCATTGACGGGGCCATAGTATAATCATATACGCTCCAGGCATCGTCGGTGTCGTGCTCGGGGCGTTTGTGATACAGACCAAGATGCTTGGCAAGACATGGTCAATGACGATTTCTGCTAGCCTGATGGCCGCTTCGTTGTTCGCTTTCGTATACATTGTGAGTGACAGACCTGACCGCTGTGGATCTTAGTGAGGTCTTGCTAAACTAAATCAGGATTCCCCGGCGGCTAATGTGGGCTTCAACGCCATGGAGTATTTTTTCCAATCCATGTGAGTGCCCAGCATGCTAATTCGTTTTGGAATATTAAACTGACCTGCACGAGGTTTAACGCCATTCTGTATGGCTACACACCGGAAGCGTTCCCGGCTGCGGTGCGCGGTTCCGCTTGCGGCATCGCTAGTACCTGGGGTAGACTTTCATCTATCGTTGCACCGCTGGTGGCAACCCGGCTACTTGCGACCAGTGTGGACGGCGTTCTATACCTTGCTGGTGGTGCAGCAGTCCTGTCCGCTATCGTGACCCTTTTCTTGCCGGAGAAGCTCAAGAATGAAGGCTTTTGACGTGGGGCGAGGCAGTGTCAGTCTGTATGAATCCGAGTCGGGACGGTTGTTGTAAGGTTTCGTACTCATCAACTGAGCGGTAACTCTCGAAGATCTGCTAGTGCGTTTATGTACTCTATGTTTCCTTGTTCCCGTGTAGAGCCTGTTTTACCTCGGAGGCCACTGTTGTATATGCCTTGGTATTGCACGTCATCAGCCGTACCGCGTAGTGATTCCTGTTTTATAATCGTAATCCGTAGCCCTCCATGTACCATATGCATAGCGTCGTCACTGTATGTAGAAGCCTCGTATCGGCCGTTCCATCTATTCCCCCTGCCACACTGACAGAGTTAGGGTTAGGGGGAGCTGTCCGCCTGGGTATCTTGCCCATGTCTGTGGTAAGGTAGCGATCGAGCTCCGATGTCTGGTTCCGTTCGCTGGGCATGTGCGGTACCGCAAATAATGCCTAGGCCACGAACAGGTGCGCAAGCCCAACGCCTTCTTCCGGACGTCAATAAATCCCATGAAAGAGAATGCCCGACTGGTAGGACCCGTGTCGTAATTGGAAATGCTGCCCTCCGCCCGTTCCATCATCCGCGTCACATCTCGTCCGCCCCCTATTCACGTACGAACACGAGTGGCAGCGCAACCTCCCGCTGCCACCTTGCTGAGGAACCAAGGCACACATGACAGAAACGATATTACGCCCAGGTTACCCCTCTAGCTGTGTAGGCTACTATTCAATACCCTAGAAGAGCTTGATCGGCTGCCTCCGTGGTGCCCAATCAGACTATGGACGCCCAAAAGAAACGTGGAACCTTCCACAGGAACGAAGGGACAGCGGAACAGCATACGATCAAGACAACCTATTAACCCTTTGCAGTCTTGTACGTGCGGCTTGCGCTCAATGTATCGAGAGCAGCAGTCGGCGTGATTCCCGGTACTTTCTCTTTCGAAGGGATAGGGGACTTGCCGGGGTGTTCAAGAGAGGACGACGGGGACAAGAGCAATTGTCCCCACCGTTCTACCTATCCCTTCCAGCAACCCCCTCTCCCACCAAAGAGCCGACCCACCATGGCCTTAACGCTGCAATCAATGATCGAAATTGCGCCTGGCGTAGATATGCCTCGGCTGGGGTTCGGTGTCTACGCGTCTGCGAAGTCTATCTGCAAGAGAAGCGTGACATGTGCCCTGCATGCCGGCTACAGGTGAGCACGACACCAGTTACGGACTCCCTTGTTAGTACTCACGCAGACCCTTCGCCCCTCCCAGGCACATCGATTCCGCGATGTACTATGAAAACGAGAAGGAAGTCGGGTTAGCGATTCAAGCTTCGGTTATACCACGCCACGACGTTTTCGTGACGACGAAGATATTGGCGCCACCACCTGATGATCCTACCGGTGGAAAGCTTTGGGCAATGCTGAACGAAGCTGTAGACCGCTTCGGTCTAGGTTAGTCAATGAACTTATTGCCCCATGCTCGCCCTGTACTGAGACAAGCGATCGCCAGATTATGTGGACCTGTTCCTCATCCATACGCCGACAAGTGGCCCAGAAGGACGAATCAAACTGTGGAAAGCGCTGGAGAAGTTGAAGCAGAGTGGCAGGGCGAGAAGCATCGGCGTATCTAATTTGTGGGTAATCCGTCTGCGCTTAGCTGGTCCCTTCACCTACTTTCTTGTAGCGGTATCAACCACCTCCAAGAGCTTGCAGCATCGTCATCGACGAGGCCTGCTGTCAATCAGATTGAGGTGCGAAGCGGTCGCCACGAATTGCATACCTCTACTCACCTCCGCTAAGTTGCATCCCTGGTGTCAGCAGAGAGATATAGTCAATTATTGCCAGAATCATGGAATCACAGTCCAGGTAAGTTCCCAGCCCATTGTGGGGACTCAACTAAGCGGTATGCAGGCATATTGTCCGCTTGTCCGAGGACAAAAGTTCGAAGATCCTACGCTTAATCAGCTGGTGTATGTGCACCTCAAAGACCCCGCACAAATTCTTCTTCGATGGAGTCTGCAAAAAGGGTAAGCACGAGATTCGAGCTCATTGAGCATGGTAATCAAATATAAGCGTAGATTCGTTCCGCTACCAAAATCGGATACACCATCTCGGATAGAGGCAAACGCGGCCTTGTATGACTTCGAGCTATCGGCCGAGCAGATGGCTTTACTGGACAGTCTGGACCGGGGAGCAAAAGGCGCCATAGATATCAACCCGGTCAACTGTCCATAGGCCAAAATGTTCACGACCGAGATACGACACTGAAAAACCAAGATAGACGGCCGATAGAGATCGTTGAGATCGTCCTCGTAGTGACTAGGTGGACCAAGCAGGAGGCAAGAAACCTGTCTCCCTCCAAGACGCCACGAATTTGCCAACGAGGGTGGAAGAGATAGCCGGTGGCTCTTTCATGGACTTCGATATTGTGGCAATGACCGAGGTGTCGTAGCGGACATCCATAATGTTTTTCTCTTTACTGGTGTACTGTTACGCTTTATAGCCAAAATGTATATTAGGGCATATGAGTTATGACCACTCACGTTTGCATGCCACAACGGCAATAAGGCACCTGTGGGACTATCCGGCTTTGACGATAGAGCGCAGTCTAACCGTTCGAGCCATCGATCCGGGGGTACAGTCTTGAATTCCAAACCCATAGAGGAAAGATAGGACAAAATGTCCTCCCACGACGTCGCTGTATTCGGATTCACAACGTGATAGACTGGGATAACGCTCGTGGCTTGTATAGAATCAGAGCCGTCGATAATATCCATGATAGCCCGGGCAGCGATATCAATGGGTAACCAGGAGGGCCGCTGGATGCATTAAGTTTAGAGTGAATGTGAAGGGGCGGCCGGAAGTGCACACCTCTTGTAGAGCTGGAAGACAGCCAGTATACTTGACGCTGGCGATCAGAAGAGGCCAGGCCTCTGTTTCATTCCATACGCCATTTCGAGTATCGCCACATAGCTGGCCAACCCTAGCTATACTGATCCGTCCCTTGAGGGGGCCGGCATACGCACGAGCGCAAATGTGCTCGGCGACCCACTTGGAGCGAGAATATCCGAGGGGTGAGGGACTGGAGTCGGATTTGGGCAGGGATTCCGGTATAGCGGAGGATTCGTTTACTACAGCAGCGGTCGAAGAGCAGAAGATCATCGATGCTCTCCGTGGACTAGCGATACAGAGGTCGATTAAATTCCGAGTGCCTGGACAAAGCATACGTTGAGGTTCTTCGACAAACATCAGACTGCTCGTGTTTACCTGCCAAATGAATGGCGGCGAATGATTCAAGGCCCGCAACGAAATTGACATCCCAGGCAGCCTGAGGCAAAATTAGGCAAGGGTATCCTCCAGTAGCGGTCGTTAACGTACGTGAATTATCCAGGTTACAAGATCAGCGATCATGCGATACTCGTCCCGTTTCAGGCCCAGACAAGGATCACCCAGTTGTATCGCAAAACATTTGACTTTCGCCCATACTGATCCGGTGTCGAAACCGCTAAAGCCTCTGGTCTTCAAGCTCTGGACGACACGGGTTTCAGCTTCAGCGTCGTCCCGAGCCCTGACCAAAACTATGACTTCAGAATCACATTCGTGCAAGATCCTAGCTAAGATATGGGCACCAAGTGCACCAGTGGCGCCAGTGAGTACCTATTGTCTGCGTCAGTGCTGCACGGTGCATTCAAAACAAGTTACATACTACAGCGTGCCCTTGGGAACAGTCAGTTGGACCACCTGGCTCAGACGCTTGATCTGTGGTGAATGTGCCATACTTGGCTACCAGCTCATGCATCAATAATGAGGCATTTGCAGTAGTCCCTGCGGAACGCCCGGATCGCCCGGACCGCACGTCCTCCATCAATTTCACTAGCCTATAGCGTGCCACAGTCAGTGTCTCAAGATAGCGAGAAAAATCATCAAACCGACCTATTTACAGTAGAATACTCGTAAACCACGTTCAAAGGTATCGGGTCATCGACTAGCTGAACTCGAAAATCCTGTTGGTTACAGGCGGGCGACTGCACACCGTACCACGCACCTTCTGTAATTTACTGCGCAACGCCATGGCCTTGACGGAGGTTATACCTAGGGCGAATAAATCCTCATCGTTGTCCCATTCGCCGATGCTGCCAGAAAGAGCAGATTGCACGCAATGTCGCACATAAGAAACTAGGGCCTCCCCGTGTAAAGCTTGTAAATACGTGTAGGAGCCGCCGCCCGAGTTGAACGTCCGATACGCCAGCTCTATCACGTCCGCATACTGTGCATACGCCAGAGGACGAAGAAGGGTCCCTTTGCTAGCCTTCGGGATAGTTGAGCCAGACGGAAGTATGACAACCATTTCGTCGACGATGTGGGAATATGACGGTCCCCTCTGGTTCAGCGTATGAACAATGTCCAAAATGGATTCCCTGGCGGCATCCCCGTCGGCGGGCAAAATGAGAACACCAAGCAGTGGTCGTGAGGCACCGAAGACGAGCGCCTCGGAAATAGCAGGTGATGCCCTAAGACTGTTCTCAATAATACTCGCAGAAGTCTTCTTGCCGTTCGTCTAGAGCGGAGTTAGGCAGCATACGTATAGCTGACCAAAGGGACCAACCAGGACTATAATATCGTCTGCTCTGCCTGCGTACTTCCATGTATGAGGCTTTACAGGATGTTTGGCGTATAGATCAGCAGTAGCAAAGCTACCGTCAGGTAGATTAGATACGTTCTGGTCGTGGAGGGATGAGAACAGGCAGCATATAAATAAAACATGAGGCAACATACCAATGTCGGGAATTCTTTGTCCACTATTAGCTCGTAGGTCCCTGTGTCCCCGGAAGGTACAAATCGAAGCAGATCTAGAGAATGACTGTAATCTCGCAGCCAGCTCCATTCTTTATCAGTGGTGTAGTCCCTTGCCGAGCTCATCAAGACTGCGGTTAAGGTAAGCCATAAACTGTTCTACTGACAAGGATAGTCACGATTACCTACATCCACATTCGCTGGAGCCAAGACGGCTCACGAGCTTTATCCCGCGGGTCACCATGTAGTCGCCCGTTTCGTCCGGGAGGGGAGCACCGCCAGTGCTGACGAGACGCATGCGCTGAAGCATGCACATCCCTGCATCCGACTCAGAGAGCATTTTCAGGATGTAAGGCACAGAGAGGAATGCCCGAACGTCCCGGCAGGACGAGAGCGCCTCTACGACGTTAGTTGCGTTGATGGGATACAAAGAGGAGTACAGATATAAGGGAGTACGAGACATCATGGAGCGAAGGAAATCAGGCATCCCGCCCTGAACAGGTAAATCAGCGCGTGAAGCCTTACGACTACCGTGCATATACTCACATGATATAACGGTGTCGTGGTGAACGCCGCGAGTCCGGGAAGACAAGGCAGTCCTTGCGTCCATACTCGATGAGTCTGGTATATGGGCTACACGACAAAGATGAGTTGTACTATTGACCAGACTCGAAACGTCAGAATCGTACTTTGGGCATACCGGTGGATCCACTGGTATGGAAGACAAAAGCGATGGTGTCTTTCTCTTCGTAGGGACTCAAGACGGGATTTGGCAAGGCCACATCGGTACATGTCCAGATCGACCTCGATGGCATAGGTACAATCTTTACGTCTTCTTGAATACTTTGCTGATCGACGTCACGGTTTGCCATAGCATTGCACCCTTCCTGAATGAGAGTAGGGTGGCATATGAGATGTGTAGATTCAGTCGTGCGACAAAGGTGGCGTATCGCATCTGGACTATTCTGTGGACTATAAGCGGAGGATGTCAGTAAAGAAGGACTTAAACATTCGTTGCATCTCCAGTTCTGTAATGTCTGCCTACTCACGCTATTAGTAGAACTCCATAGCCAAGTCTCAGGGCTGCAAAGACGACCACCAAGAAATCCGCACAGCTTGGCGAAAACAAAGCGATTATCCTACTCTGTCGCCCATCTGCCGCCTGTCGAGCATGTAGAGTGCCCCCACGAAAGTAGTGCGAAGCCACCGCATTCGAAGCCTCGAGTAAGGAAGCGAAAGCTGTAAAGAGTCCGAAGGTAAGCGCCTTCCGGTCCACTGTGATGACATGCGAACTATTACTCACTGAACGACACCACCCTCCACTGCCTCTCGGTTTTGCCCTGGCTACTTTCGAGGATATGCGAAGGCTGGTAGAGCTCCGGAAAGCCTGCTATCAGCGTATCTGGATCGCTCTTCCCTCCTTCCTGGAGGACCTGATTCAAGGATACGAATCCATGGGGATCTTCATCAACTAACTGTTTGGCCTGACCACCGGTGCAGGTGAGGTATGATTCCTGTAAGGATATCATGGTCTAGGATTCGATAAGCCATCGCCGACGAGTGCTTATATGTGTCTCTATGTAATGGTTCCGGCAAGAACCTATCCTTTCTAGAGGCGATGACGCTGAGCATACTCGAGCACCCCTCGTAAAGGGAATGAGTGAACCTTAGGTCCTTTCTCGTTCTGAATTGCTCTCGTTGACTCCGAGTTTAGTGCTGCTCTGCCGTTATGGAGGTGCCTCATGGTGTTAACTCTGATATCTGCGAATCCTATGGTACGGCCCCGAACCTCATGGACCGGGAGGACCGAAATCAGGGTCTTTCTGAACCCTTACTTATACCGTATTTGCCCCGTACGCTGAACGCTCCCATCTTCACGTCCTTTTTATGCACAGAGGCGACCCGAGGAGTCCGTCCGTCGCCTCGATGAATGCGCCGCAGTGTCAGAAGATTAGCAACCCTACACGCCGGCAGACAGTTATCACATCGCTTCTGCTCATAGTTCTCTCCCTCCTCACCGCACCGGCTACTTCGATCGTTGTCCTGTTTTTCCTAATTCATTCTCAGCTGAAAGGAACAGCTCTTCATCTGCAGAAATGCCGGGTAGGCCGTAAGACGGTCTTGGTCACGGGCGGGCGTACGAACAAGTGTCTCGTGCTTCTTCGCGCATTCAAGCGCGAAGGTTACCGTGTTCTCGTGGCGGAAGAGGGTTCTTGGGGTGCAATAGCTTGCACTAGGTTTTCCCGAGCAACAGACGGATATTACGCGCTTCCTGAGCCAAGTAATGAGACCGACCGCCTCGCCTACAAAAGGGCGATCGCAGATATTGTGGCTCGCGAACGCGTAGACGTCTGGGTCCCTTGTTCCAGCATATTTGCCACAGTGGAGGACGCGGAAGCTGCCCTGGAGATTTCCTCCGCCGCTCACCATCATTGCGATACGTTCATACAACATCCTGACTTGGTCGACAGTCTGCATTGGAAGGATCGCTTCATGCGTCTTTGCTTGGAGCTAGACTTTCAGGTACCAGAGAGCCAGCTCATCACGTCTTCTGCAGAGGGCGTCGAGTTTCTCTTCTCCGCGGCGACTCGCAAGAAGGGTTACTCTTATATCCTTAAATGCGTCGAACTAGACGATGCTGGTCGGAGCGACCTGACGCTGTTGCCGTTGGAGACTAAGGAGGCGACCATTGCGCACTTCGCGAGGATGCCTGTACCACCCAGCGACAAGATCCCCTTTGTATTGCAGCGTTTCATCCGTGGACCCGAGTACTGCACTCATGGAGTTGTCAGGAACGGACAACTGCGCGCATTCGTTGCCTCCAGAAGCAGTGATATGGTATTGCGATACCTCGACCTCGAGTCATACGCCAAGTCCATCACCGCTCTTCCTAGACCCTTCATAATGGATGGTCTCAAAGATGCAGCCCTCGACCGCGCGACCACAGGAATTCGTCGCGAGCGCGAAGTAGGCAAGCAAGCGGAGCATTGGACAGTCCAGTTTTTGGAGCGCTGGTCAAAGCTCCTGCGTGAGCAGGGCAAGACCGGCAAACAAGCCGAATTGACAGGTCACTTCAGCTTCGACTTCCTGCTTGAAGAGTCGGAAGGGCAACTCTACCCGATAGAGTGTAATCCGGTACGTGGCTGCACTCTTTGGAACGTAGCGCCCGATATTTATGCAAACGTTGCTACATATAGCGTACTCATACTGCTGTAGCACTGCTCTCGGAGACTCCCCGTCTCGCGTCCGCTTATGTGGAAAATGAGGGCCTTGATGCTGGTCCCGTGCGCCCGGCAGATGGTGTTCCACGTTCATGGCTTTCCCATTCGCTTCCCTTGTCCATAGCTAACGTCATCCCGGATTCAATCGCGTCAATGGTGTTTCCCATCATCCATCCTCGCCTTCGACGGTCAGTTGCTACGTCCGCTAACCGAGCGGACCCGGTCCACGCCACATCATCGCCTTTCCCCGGAGATGGACCGTTAACTATGGTTTCCCGTCATATTGCAGGTTTAGAGAAGGACGTTTCATTCGATGCTTCTGATCCATTACCCTTCTTTATCCTTGCCCACGTCCAGATTCCTTGGATTATTGTGAGGCTGTTATGGAAGGGGAAAGGGTGGAGTCGGATCAATACGAGTACGGCGAGGGTGTATGAATGTTAGATGGGTTTGTTATCGGCTTTGTTGGACTCCTCGTATTGTATCGTCTTGGCCTTCTTGCTTGCAAGTGCCCGCCGTCCAAGTTGCTCTTTTTCGGGTCTTCCCTTCGCACCGTTGCAAGTCTCATGTTCGACTATTGCGCCGCAGACGCATCTTGTGTCTGTGTGGTCTTACACGCACCTGGGTATGGCGTATTCTGGCAATGGCGAAGTGCTGAAGTGACACCGTAGGGTTTCTCAAAGAGGCGCATATGCCATTCGCAAGCAACACTCTTCCAGTCTCATACACAAGACGTTTCAAATCACTGTACATTTCGCAAACTCGCGTAACAAGAACCCTGTAATGGAGTCTACGGCATCAGGCATCGACGGCAATGATCTCCACGACGGCGTGGCCGTTGACACCCGCCTCGTTCGCTTTGGTGCTCGATAGGACGTTCTTCTTCTCTGCGGCAATTGCTGCCTTGGGAGTACTAGTATCTTTGGCTGCCACAACGTTTGCTCGCTTGCACAAGACCTCGGGGTCCATACCAAGGTCTCCAATGTCGCAGAGCGCCTATGAGGGGACAGATGAGCCTCGAACTTCACGTCAAGCGAGTTTTGGAAACCATACATCACGACCATGTCCTCCTCCGTACTTCTGCTTAACGAGTTCCTTGTGGATCTTCAATGCCTTGAAGAGCTCGTCGTAGGAGGCGTCGTTGATGAAGATGCAAGTGCCGTACGGGTTCGGAATTGCGAACCTTTGCTTGTTGTCGCGGGTTTTCCTAGAGCCCAAACCGAGTCCGCGGTGAGGAGGTCTGAGTCGAAGAATGCGCAAGCATCGGACGTACAAGATGGCCTTAGTCCCGCTGATGATCATCTCCTCGGTAAACAGCTCGTGATCCATGGACAAGCCCACGGAATGGGAGAGCACATGGTATTCGTCTCTCTCGCTTTCGCTGAGCAAGCCACGGTACCAAGCAAAGGTCCTTGATTGGAAACTCACGTCATCGACCGTTTCCCAGAGGTGAGGCTATTGAACTACTCACACAAAGAACGCCATATCGATATTGATCTACCGCCGCATCCACATGCGTCAATCATGGAAACCGTTATCTTCCGTTGAATTACTCACAGCATGCCCATGACGAAGAGGTACGACGGGGGCAAGTTCCAAAGTCGGGGAAAGAGTGTGGCCGAAGGCAATGACCCTAAATAGCGGGGCGTCAGTCGTGATGATGACGAATCACTTAGATATCACCTATCCAGGCCCAACTCATGGAGGTTCGGTGACTCTAGCTGCAGAGTGAAGACGGTTAGAAAGATGGCCTACGAAAGGTGGGTAATACTTACGTCGAGCATGACCTTGATTCCCCTCCAGCATATTTCGTCGGCGATTACTTTCATAGCAGGGTCGGAACCTTCAAGACGGCCAAATCGAGTCTCGATCAAAGCAGGACCGTTCTGAACCAGGAGTTCCCAAATCCTCTTGTCGGCGCAGGACGAGATCTTCATTAACTCTATCGTATGCATGCGGTCAGCGCCTCGGCTCCGGGGCATTAGCCTGCGAAGTCAAGATAGGCTCACCAGCGAAGCCATTCCGGACCTGGCCCTCCGGGAGCGTCTTCAGCAGATTAAAATCTAGGAAGGTAATCAAGGGCGCGTGGTAGGCCCCGAGACCTGAAGAGATGGGACACCGCCACTCAGGACCGGATCAGCAGTAAGAATCGAGAGAGAGCGTACGGTTCTTGAGATTACCGTGGTTGACAGCAACTGTCATCTCCGGCTATCAGGACCATACGGCAGACAAGTCCGATGAACAGAATACCTTTAATGCTGACGCTTGCATCAATCAGCCCGATGAGCGTAGTCGGCACGCGGATGAAGTTGGAGTTACGTCTGTAAGAAGCACAGGCGTATCCGGCGACGTCGGTGCATAATCCACCTCCGACGACCAAGACTGGCTCCTTGCGGACGAGCCCAAATGCGTCCATAGCATCGACTATAGAGAGCATCGTTGCCATGGTCTTGTTCTTCTCGCCACCCGACATCACGAAGGTGGTAAGGGGAATGCCATGATGCTCGAAGTAAGCTGACCACTGCGCAGAGTAAAGATGGTTGACATTCTCGTCGGTGACAAGGAGAACTCTCTTCCAGTCCGCGTATATCTTCGCAAGGTGATTGTGTTTGAGATCGAAAATGTTGTCGACAAATTGGAAAGCTGACGCGACTCTAGCTCAGTCTCTCAAACAACGCAATGTCTGAGAATACTCACAGTACTTGATTTCTTCATTGCCAGTGACGGCAAAACCGTTCTCGGTAGTGTTGACGGTGGCTTTCAGGTCACTCATTGTGGATAGCTAGTCAGGTGCGTACAAGACTACTGAATCAGAACGATCGTTCGGAAGGACGGGATGCACGATAACGGCGGTCGGTGGACGGGTCCAGTATGAGGTCCACTGACAAACAAGTCTGCTTTATGAACAAACAGTGGACCATCGTGGAAAACGCCGGCTATGTTGGAAGAGGATGTTGAATTAACAGCAGTTACAGCAAGGAGCACTCATGACCAGCCTAACCAAGCAAAGCGTCAACGCGATGTATGCAGGTGTGACCATGGAGATCAAACCAGCCGCCTGAGACAGATATTCGCCGGCGGATTCTCAAGAGTATCAGAAACAGTGGATGAGCAATAATTCCATCGAGATTCGTGGAAGTCGCGCAGAGCAAATTGGTGGCCAGTATTTCCTTCACCATGTCGAACGGGAGATCCTTCGGATGTACGGATAGCGAAAGACGTATGCGAAAGACCCACAACCAGAGAGATGCCGTAGCATTTGAAATATCCTCGTATCGAATTAACACTGATGGTGATTGTGAATCCTAGACAGAGCACAAAGGCAACGACCGAGACGATTGAAAGTGGAATCGGGCGTCCATAGAAAGATGGTGCGGATCCTGGAGCAAACGAACATGTAAAGGGTACATATACTTCGGGCTGGGAAGTGTTGCGGATGATCGACACGAGACTAGGGCTCTGCAGCATGTGCCTTCATGTGTGGAGACATCAACGCAAGAGCGGCATACTTCCGAGAAAGTCTTCCGTGGTAGAACGCCACACTCTCGGACCATCCTGCCGGAAGCAACACTTCGCCGTAGCACTTGGGTATCGAGGTGCTAAACCAGAATCTTGAATGTGCAGGTCGAGAGAGGGATGACGCACAGCAAGGGTAGTCGCCGACAGGCGTGTTGGAAGCGTAGTCCTGAAGTGCAAGATGAAACGGTTATGATACAATAATGGATAGGGATGCCCACATATGTCTCTAACGCTCTTCATACGAGTTTTGTAGGGAACGAAACTAGTCATAGGCACCCTGAAAAGGGTTACGCGTTTCCATCGCGTTCATGAAATGTCCTCGCGGAATCCACGTCCTGGTATCGACTGCTGTTATAGTTCCCTAGCCGGGCCAGCTCTTGAGGTCTGCACCCACCCAACCTTGAAGTTTTGAGGAGCATCCTTCAGGAAGCACGATGCTCAGCGCTGAGAAGGTTCCAGAGGGCTTCGTCCAAGCTCACGACACACCCCTGGGTCGCCTTGCATACGTTATCAATGACTTGCAGGCCAACATATCTTCGTCAGACTCTTCGCTCTCTCCCGCGGCGCGCTCCTTGATCGACGAAGCTACTCGCATCGTCAATGGCTTGGACCCATACCTAACGTGCATGACTTCACCGCACCCGCCCATCCTAGACAAGATGATTAAAGCTGGCAATGAGACTGACTGGAAGCAGTTGCATAAACAGGGAAAGACAATATACGAATTAATACCCGAGATGACGGCCGGATCGTATGAGGCCGTGGTGCTCCAGCAGCTGGCAAAGACCGCAAAGGCGAGTGCCGTTGTTTCCCAACGTTGCTACACTCATACGGACTTGCTCCGAAAGGCAAAAAACATCCTGGAGATAGGCATGTTCACCGGGACGACCACCGTCGCCTTGGCTCTGTTACCCTCGGTCACCAAAGTTGTTACGCTCGAACTAGAGGGCTTCCTGGCAGACTTCAGTATTCCGTACTTCGCGGAAGCTGGTGTCGCGGAGAAAATAGAGGTCAAGATTGGCGATGCCCGTGAATCCCTGGATAAGTTGGCAGCTGAAGGTGTCTCGTTCGATATGGTAAGTTCTGGCAGGACTAATACAGATACGATACGAGACTGACCTTCAGCCGGTATCCAAAGGTCTTCATTGACGCCGATAAAGCCGGCTATTCTACTTACCTCCGCAAGGTGCTTGACCATAATCTTCTCGCAGCGGAGGGAGTTATTGTGGTCGATAATACGGCATACAAGGGTACACCTTGGGCGCCCGACCCGTCCTATCACCTTGGCGCCGCAATACACGCTTTCAATCAAGACGTTAGGTCGGTCTAGCGGCCTAGTGCTGTAAACTGCGAATACTGACAATTCCCAGGAACGATCCCACAGTCGAAGTCGTCATGCTCCCTATCAGGGACGGCATAAGCTTAATCCGAAGAAAGGAGGAATAGGCTCTGACATGTAAACGTGTGGCATACATACCGTAGCTTAGCTGCTCCGAGGTACCAGCACAGAGTTCGGGAAATAATTGGAGACTTCTTGCGTGATTAGGAATGGTCCAAAAGTCAAACAGCAGGATGGCCATCAATCGAGCCAGACGTAAACTCTGTGACAGGCAATCGATAAGTTCTTCTAAACTACGGCTCGGTCCGCGTAGCAAAATGTCTTGTTTCGTTAGTCTGTCGCCGTGCAAGGGAGGGCCGAGTATTTGGATCAGCACCCGCTTCATTTCAGGCCGTGCAGATGTTGATACCAGGTCTCCCGGCCATTGACGCTTCGAGTTCATATCCGAGGAGCATGGCAATCCACGGTCAACTAATGGTCAATGCACAACACATGAATCAGAACCGATGGCTACCTTGGTGGTACCGCTTGTCAATAACCGTGAATCCAGTAAACGTGCGTGATGGGAGCCATGGCGGAGATAAGCAGCAGAATCTGGAGACCAAGATGAGGATGGCCTTGACCACAAGACGGATGGGGTATCGAAGATCCCGGAGGTGTGAGTCGGAAGGGATACCTGAAGAGCACATAGACCCACGGAATTCCAGACCTGTCTATAGCTCCGAGTGTTCCGAACGCACAAAGGGGAGCGTATGAGACCTGAAGTGCTCTTCAGGGGGTTAAAGCGTCGACCGGTGTTCCAGCCCCCGAGCATAAACTAGCATCCGTACCAAAAAAGTAAGCCCCAGAGCACCAAGGACATCCCATCGGTGCCTGCACCGTCCGCTCTGCATCTTGGATGACCATTGACTGTGCCACGTAGAAGGATGCATCCACCTCATATATGTCAGATTCGCTCGCAGGGATGGATTCTGCGGCAGAATCCATATGACCTGGATCCATCAAAAATTTCGCAGGAGCAGCACTTCATTCCCTCCGATCCTTGACTTGGAAGGCAGTGCATGTCCTCTCTGCGGTCACATTTCTCTGAGTACAAGTGGAAAGTCGCCGGGTGCGCGTTGGCTGAATATCAGGCAAGGAAATAAATGCCCCTAGCCTGAAGTCGCCAGTCATCACATTCTTCGTGGTATATCAGAGGTGCAATTTGAAGGTATGCCGGAGTCAATGCTGTCGACAAAGGAAGAAGTACAGCAATAACACTTTGGCCAGTGTGGCATGTGGCAAGCGCCGTGGAAAGACCCAAGAAAGACCGTCTTTTTTTGGACGCGACTACATGACGTACAGTCTTGAGTGTCGTGATCGTACACAACTTCGAGTCCCTGCTACCTTACACCGATCTGCGACGAGAGATGGCCTTACCCACTAGAGGCCGCGTTATTCTCGAGACTACGGTGGGAGAGATAGACATCGAGCTCTGGTCAAGAGTACGTGCACATATTCTCAATGGAACGAACGTTCAACATTGATTCATCCTAGGAAGCACCGAAAGCATGTCGCAACTTTATAGCTTTGGCTATGGAAGGTAAGTATATTTTTCTCACTCGACGGCGTGCGCTATCTCTTACCACGTGTAAAGGGTACTACGATGGTGTCATATTCCATAGGTACGAACCTTGCCATCTACGAGAGGACGCCACCAACAACCATGTTACAGAGTCGTACCGGATTTCTTAGTCCAAACCGGAGATCGTACAGGGACAGGAGGTGGAGGGGAGTCATTCTATGGCGGTAAGCCCTGTTGGCTGGCTGCAGCTGTTGGCCTCCAATGATATGGTAGTCTCACTCAGAACCTTTCGAGGACGAGATCCACCCGCGCTTGAAGTTCGTGCACAGAGGTCTGGTGGGCTGCGCAAATAATGGCACTAAGAACTCGAATGATTCGCAATTCTTCATCACACTAAGTCAGTAAGTCCGGACTGTGCACTGGAGCGCAACCTGACACTAGTGGCAGGCCGCGCTGATGAGTTGAATGGGAAGCATACGCTGTGGGGCCGGTGTGTTGGCGATACTATCTTCAGTACGTTGAGATGCTCCTTCAGATGAGGGAGTCGCCGTAATTAACGTATCTTAGACGTTCTGAAGATTGGTGCTCTCGGTACGTTGCTGGTCGTTCTCCTCCAATCCCCTTCTTGACATGCTCCTCGGGCATAGAGCTTGACGAAAATGAGAAACCATTATAGTCCGTGCTTCACTCGAAGATTCACGTTTGTATCTAACGTCTGCGCTGCAGTCCCCCGAAGATCAATCGTGTACGAATCGTGGACAATCCCTTCGATGACATTATCCCCCGAATAACTGCAGAAGAGAAACGTGCTCAGCAGCGTGCTCGCGAAGAAGCTCAGCGAGAGCGGGAGGAGCAACAGCGGCGAAAAGGGGCGAAAAAGTAGGAATCTCCTGCTCCTAGATGATGTGCTGATGCTAACTTCTTTGCCTGTGCAGGGATGTCAAGTTATTGAGCTTCGGCGCTGATGAAGATCAGGGAGAAGAAGAGCCCATGGTGGTCAAGAAGAAACCTATCGTTCGCCCCGACCGTGAGGCCTCTCCTTGCCTTATCTTATTCCTCTCTTGGCTGAACGAAGGTCCTAAGTGGTCGAAAATCCGGAATTACCTAATATAATCTCAGGAATAGTTCAGCCACCGAAGCCCAGCAGTTCAAAGGCCCAGGAATCAGTGGACAGATCGAAACAGGAACCAAAGCTCGAAAAGACGTCCAAAAAGGACGACGACGTCACAAAAATCCGAGAAAAGCATGAGAAGGAGAAAGCCGCCAAGGGGTATGCTGGATGATTGTACCTGTTGTCTACCGGAATTCTGATGAGTGTACAGCGATTCTCGACAGGCCGAGATAGAGAGGATGGAGGCTGAGATCCGGAAATTGGCTCGGCGGCGTAATGGTGAAGAGGATAGCGACGAGGAGCGGGCTAAGAAGAAAGCGAAGAGCAAGTCGTACCTCGAGGAGGAGTTGTCCAAGTATGCCAAAGGGCGCGGTCTCCATAAGAAGAGTGACAAGAAGAAGGACGAGGGCGACGTCCTAGCTGCGCTAAACAGCTTCCGCAGCAAGCTCAAGGGGACGGCTGCTGACAACGAGCCAGATGAAGCAGCCAATTCCAGAGAACATGACGCAGAAGGTGACAAGGAGAAGCCCACAGAGGACGAGGGGATGGAGGTCGACAACGACTTCGGGTTCCTCGCGCACAAGCTTCACTTCCCGAAAGATAACTCGGAGGAGGTGAATAAGGCTGAAAGAGATTACGAAGTCATTGATCCGCGACAGCGAGGGGCGCGGGCGAAGGAGGAGGAGAGAGAAAAGCGGCGCGCGCAGAAAGCAAAAGGGGGCGGTGGAAGGAGCTATAGGAGATAGCGCGAGTATTGTGTCTTGCCATCTACATATTGCTGTCTGGAACCACTGCTCACTAGACGAGCCTACATTTAGTGCTCTTCTAACTGTTCGGCTTGTCGGATTTTTGACCTGGTATACACTGGAGTTGCGTGGATCTGTTTCCCAGCCGGTCGCGAACGACATCGGTCACATACTAACTTATGGATGCGATTTCCCGGAAGAAGGAGATAAGCTGAGCCAGAATTGGTGCTACCAGTTCAACTTCAAGGACAGCCGGGGCTACCGGTCTCATCTTGGATCCCGTAGAGCAGATCGCAGTTGATCAACACTAGAAGTGGCGCGCCAAATGTTGACGGCGACTTACTTAGAGGCCTATGTTCCTTGAGTTTGTCCGCGGTTGCTAGCAACAACAGGCATAAGTTAGGTACCTGGTTGCAGTCGGTAGCATCGTAACGCAGAGGATACTTGTAACTTTGAGTACTTGAGAGCAGGCACATCCCACAATTGCAAGAGGCGCGTAGCAATCACGTGGTCAGCTCCTCTCGATCACGTTACGGCCGAGCCTCCAGCGGGACGGTCCCAGCACTCCGTCGCAGAGCGCCATTACTGTACCCTTCACACTCCTCCACCATGGCCAGTAAAGCCGCCTACAAACGTGTAAGTATGTCGGCTTATGTAGCGGACAGACTACTGATGTCCGTGTAGTTGACGAAAGAGTATGTGAACATGCAGAAGGAACCTCCGCCATTTGTATGGGCAATACCAGACGAGAAGAACATCTTGACATGTGAGTGCAGATTGATAGTGCGATTGGTCTGTCTATTTACTTTGGAATAGGGAACTATATTATTGTGAGTGATCAGCGACAGCCACTTTCGAATGAATCCTCAGACTTCTGTGCCACATTAGCGCGGACCCCCGGATTCTCCTTTCGCTGGCGGAGAGTATCATGGAGTCCTCATGTTCCCGTCAGAATACCCCTTCAAACCGCCTGGGATAAAGGTGAGACGACCAACGGTGGCGGTCATCGTGTGGTTGGGTCTCATTCTGCTCTAGATGTATACGCCATCAGGACGCTTCCAACCAGATAAGAAGATCTGTTTCTCCATGTCCGATTTCCATCCCGGCAGCGTACGTTCTCTGTGATTCTGATTCTGAGCTTAGCTTATGGCGCGTTCAGTGGAATCCTGCCTGGAGTGTCGCGACAATGTAAGAAAGCATGATCCTTGCACTCCTCTATGTGGCGCTGCTTCAGCGATCACACTAACGCCGATCTTTACTTCAGCCTGACAGGTCTCCTCTCCTTCATGCTATCCGACGAGCTTACAACGGGATCGGTAACATCGTCAGACTCGGATAAGCGTGCCTATGCCGCTCGGAGCCATGCATGGAATTTGAGCCAGCGCAAGTTCAGGGAGGCTTTTCCGGAGGTGAGTATCTTCCCCACATATCCCTCCCGGCGCGCGGTGATCTACCCCAGGCGTCATCGACTCTGCATCACCGATCTGCCCTTAGGCGGCGTTTCACCTCCGCCTCCTAGCGTCCTGTGCTGATGTCGTGATTACTGATCGCCTTCGTGATAGTTTTGTACACCGAACCCCCGGGATTTACCAAACATGGGGGAGAAGGAGCGGGGCAAACCTCCTGCGCCGGAAACCACGAATACCTCTCCATCTGTGTCTGCTTCACCTGCTCCCACCGGATCCCAGGTGTCACACCGCACCAACGCTGTCCTGCTGGATGCGACGGCGTCCCAATCCGGTCGGGCGTCCTCCGCCGTGCAGCCTTCGCAGGGTGGCGATAAACCGAAAGGTACGGGGGCTGGGTGGGCAGACGCCTGGCGCCAGATTATCTGGGAGAAGTGGCGATGGGGTTTGCTCATCGCTCTTGCAGTCATCGTTTCCAGGGTGTCCTCGAGCAACTAACCCGGGGACAGGCCCTGGGCTCGCGGATGGACTGCTGGTTTTTTGGAGTATGTTTGTCAGCACACCTGTGCGATGATTGTTCCCACTAAGTATTATTACCACTGTCCTTAATTTTCAAGTCTTCTCTATTCATCCCTGGTATAAGTGTTACATCACTCTTTTCTTTGTCCGAGGACTTGTTGGATACCACGATTGTGTATGTTAGGTGTAGTAGTTCACGGGGTAACAGTTTACCGATGGTTATGAAGGAATAATAGACGTGTTACTTCCTGTCTCCCACAATCGTGTTACAGGACCGAGGACCCCACTCACGAGGGGTTCCACTATTCTCCAGATGTCCTCCGTGACGAGGTCTATGTCCTGCCCTGCGTCCACGACGACCCACCTTTGCTCTCTGCTTGTTTCGCTACCAATCCTCTGAAATACCTCCCGCACCATTCTTTGCATCTCCTCCTTCTCGTACCGCTCTTCGCCGTACCCGCCGCGCTGCTTCGCCTTCTCCGGCGTGATGTCCAGGAATATCGTAACATCAGGAGCAGGGAGCGAGATATCGGGTGCACGGCACCATTCATATGGGAGGCCTTTGGCCGCGGAGAAAGCTATGCCAGAGAACGCGTAGCGATCGCAGAGTACGGTGGACCCCGCCCGCAGTGATTCCTCAATCGACGACCTGTTCCGAGCACCCAGTGCATAAGTCTAGCCAGCATAGTCCCAGTAAAACAAGTCTGGCCGGCGACGTACGCGAGCTCCCATCGATTCGCAGAGAAGAGCAGGTGGATGGCTCGGTCGTCCAGCTCTGATTCAGAGCGAAGGTAGGAGTCGATTGTTATTCCGATCCCAGTCGTGCGGTCTGTGGGATCATCACGAATGCGTCGGGTTCTGCGGGCAGCGCCTTGAGCGAGACTGACCAGGAAACTTGAGCAGTTTGACGCGGGCGTCTGCCCTCTGTAATCGCTCCAGGAGACGGGCGGCTTGGGTGCTCTTTCCGGATCGGTCCAGACCTTCCATGACAATGAAAGCGCCCCTCTTGTTTCCCGCCGACATTGTTCAGTTTGAGAAGCGATGCTGAACGGCTGCTGAAGAGCACTGTCACGCACATTGGGAAGCAATGTCACGCATCACGCGTACAGGCCTGCAAGTGGGGAGGCGCAATTCCGGGTCGCGCGGCGAGTTGTTTGCATCTGTTTGGACTCTGCAAGAAAGTGGTCGCAAATCCCCCGCCTTCATAGAGCCTTCCGCATGTCGAAATCACGCATATAAAATGTACCAGCAGGGATGTCATGATACAGAAGATGCAACGTTGGTTTTGAATTTCTGATTTTCCCAATATCAAGTTCATTCGATAGAGGTAACGAGACCGCAAGTACATTTAACAAAAATGTACAACCAACGTTGCATCCGCTCGTTGATATAGATTAACTTTTATGAATCAAGTGACGCGTGAATGTGAACGTAGCACGCTGTAGGTTTTCTGGCAGTAAAGAGCAATTAACGACGCGTCCGAACGCGTCGCGGACGTGACAAGCTGTGACACCATCGCAAAAAGTGTCACACCAAATATCCTGGTCACTGTCCGGGCTCTCCTGCCGCAGCAGAAGCAGGTCCCTTCCCCTATGTTAGAACTGTAAAATCAACATAGTACATGAGATATATATTCAGCCTTTTACAGCTGTGATCCAGTACTTGCTTTGTCCATTAAATTACACAGATTTGTGCTTCCTGGAAATCAAGCTCATCTATATCAAGGATAGGGAATACAACCACTGGTGTGCACATAGATATGTTCCAAGTGTTTCTAAAGACAATACATAAC